TTTCTAGCTAGATTCCTCTTGGATCCCCTTAATTTCATCCCATTAGCAAAGCGATCCAACAAACTTCAACCAGCGACAGAACCAAATCCGACTGCTAATGTGCGAGTACTCGGCGGGGCCTCTCTAAGCCCGGCATCTAGTCCATAATTAGACACTAAAGCGAAATTAGATTAATGATAGGCCCACATTGGGTGAGCTAACCAAAACAAGCTAGTGCCACTCGTCTCCCCGCCCTGTTTTGCCCAGCTAGTTCCTATTCCAGCACGCAATGCCAGAGATAGGCCCCAAAAGACAGACGTAGACAACATGCTGATGGAGTTCTTAGCTGAATTTTGTAGAACGCTGCTCGAAGCGTTGCCAGCATGATGATTATTCTTCAAGACAAATGACTTACTTGCTCCCCATCTTGAACGCTGACAAGCAAAATAGTACAATGTCAAAGTGATGTTGTTATATACATAAGATAAAGATAAATAGCAGAGGAAGCTGTACCCCACCTCTTACGAAAAAAAAGAGCAAAAAAAAATATTGCTGGACAAGGCCAACAACACGCGGTGTTCCCAAGCGGTCCCCTGACCGATCTAAGTACTAACCGCGCCGCGCCCGACGCTGCTTAATTTCGGTGATCGGACGAGAACCGATGTATTCCAGCGTAGTATGGTCGTTGGCGAAATTCGACTGCTAAAACTTCTAGTACAAGCAACTAAAGCTCATTCCATCGAGAGCTTTTCAACGAAAGTTTTTTCCTGTTGGTTGGTTGGTTGGTTGGTTCTAGGTCGGTGGTCTTCTTCTTCACACGGTTTTCCATGGAACTCGTTTTCCTGCCACTTTAGAGCTCAATAAAAGCCAAGATAACGGTGTTTGGCAAGCGCTTTTCCTGCGTTCATATGAGATAAATTTAGTACGAGTGTGTCACAAGTATCTATGACAATTGCAGCCAGAGCCCATATACATACATACGAGTATGAATGGAAGGGCTTTGTCTTCCAAAGCCGACAAAGGCAAAAAATAAACAAGTGAAAACCCATAAAGGGAAGAGTGGAATGGGCGGAGAGGGAAAAGAGTTGCCGTTGTCTTTGCCGGCACATTAAGTAATGTGATCTATGCAACCTCATCTGGGAGATTGTATCTCCCAGAGCGTATGTACATGCATATATGTTGCGGCTGTGCGAATCTGCATATCGAATGCATTTCTTTGTTGTGCCACTGGCACTGCCACCACCGAAAGTGCGTCCACAGCTAAACCATAGCTCATTTGCATATGATGAACATCATTTCTTTACGCCCCAGCTCTTTCCTCGTTCCTACTCGTAATATGAATGATATGACGGCAAAAAATCTTGACACATGGGACGGAAGGAAGGTTCTTTTTCTCGGCTAATTAAACTGGCTTCAACGAATCGAATCGTAAATGTAACGTGCCAAAGTTGTTAAGAGCGGCGAACCGAAAATTGCAAACCAGAGAATCGTGCCCCACAAGAGTCGCTCAAGAGTGCCCCGACTAGAAGGTACCCTCTAAAATGGTGGGATTTATGTATGGAAAATGATTTCACGGGAAAGAAAACTCTAAAGGCTTGAATAAATATATAAATGCATATTTGGAATTCTATTAAACGTGTGGAATATTCATTTGTTGCATTTCCAATAATGTAACTTTGGTATATATCTTTGGCTGTATCTTATCGATTTTAAACATTGCTTTCTGCGTATTGCAATATACCCTTATGCTCTACCATTGAGGGCCTTAACAAGCACATGCACACACAGACATACAATACATACACATGTGTGTACATACATGCATATGCATCTGTCTGGCAATTGTTTATGTTTTGCGAAGCGGAACGCAAATTAAAGTGACTTTTGAGGAGCTACAGCCTGGGCCTGTCTTGTGGGGCTGTCCACTTGCCAAGCGATAAGTTCAAAGTGCACTCACAAACACGAAATATATCACTGTCAACTTACCCAAGCCAAATCAAACCCACTACACTACACTCCCGCTCCACCTCCGCTCCAGCATGCCACTTAAAGTTTCTCTCTTTTGTCTCTCTTTTTTGCAGTGCTGAGAGCTGAGCGATTTCCATCATGGACACCGGAAGTGTGGTTAGCGAACCGATTTCCGCGCATCATCGCGCCTTTGCCAAACAGAAATCCGCCTCCATGGTAAGTTCATTCGATTGCAGAAACAAAAATCTATATATGTACATGTATCTGTTCAAGCCGATTGTGTAAGGCCGGCCACATTATAGAAACCGAACTAGCAGAAACATACTCGTGTATGTGTACACATAATTAATGCAACAACTATCGCTTGTTGCCTGTCCCGCCCTGCCCAGCCCTGCCATGCCCCATTGTCTGATTCGATTATATAAGAGCGCAAATGCTATCTACGCTAATTAGATGTTGACACGCACATCCCAACCCAAACCATCCCAGACAGACATTGGCCACTAGGCAGATGGGTACAAAGCTACCTCGAATACCCTCTAATACTTTGCATCGTTTCACGCTAGAAAGTTTTCAAAAATGAAAATTCGAAAATTGCCAAAGATAAATCACAGCTACATGCAATCAAATACCTGATGAAATATACGCAATGAAGGCAATTCGAAGTCTTAGTACCTCTTGTAGTTCTTTTGGTAGTTTATTTTTTTCTGTGAATTCTGTAGGCTAACTTAAGGAGTGCTATACCAACACTTCGTTCGTCGAAACTTAATCGCCAAGAAATATGTAACTGCCAGCTGGCATCAAGAGTGGAAAACACCGAAAGATGGAAACACCCAAACCGTTTTCGACAATTAATTGCAAATTGCATTTGAATGCATTTTTAAGCAACACTTTCACGCGGCCCACAACAATGCAGAGTCATTCATTGCGATGCAACCTGTGCATTCGGTTGCATTCAACCGATTGGGATTGGGTGTTCAAGTATCTAAATATTTTACCAGACACGAGTACGAGTACGAGTATTATGTGTGAAATAATGCATGTGGGGGGGACTGGCCGAAGCAAGTGGAATGAATAAGTGTGTGAAAAGTGAAATTATGATTCAATAGATTTAGCATACAAGAGAATTCCATGCAAGCATATCCTAGGAAGTGCAGCCAAACTGGTAAAAGTAAAAGTGTTGGCAACGCGTAATCTGGGACCCCACACCACACAGATCTTTAGCATTTGGCTTCTGTAGTAACAATCATAATAGCCACATGTAAATTTAACTTCACCCAAATGAACCTCTCTCACTTGCACAATACTCGTAAGTTGGAGATACTTTTTATTTGTGCGGTGAAATGGGGAGAGGAATATTCACAACAAATGATTTCTGCTTAGCAATTTAGTAGAAAGAAGTCCGGCGACCACAATGGAACTTTCACTCGCAGCGAAATGATTGAAAGCAAGAGTGAGTGACGAATACTCACTCTTACATACAGTACATACTCGTATGCTTTGTTGTTGTCTGCGTTCGAGCATCGATCATCAGCATCATCCATAGCGATGCGACTCATTAACCGGCAGGTGTTTAGTCAAGGGGTGTTGGAGAGGAAACCATAGCAATAATATCTATAAATAGTCGCAGTAAATTGGCCATAACTAATGTCTGAACAAATATATTGTTAGCCCAAAGATTGAGTAACGACTTGAACGGAATACCAGCCGTACACTTTTCAAAGTACGCTTTTCCACAAACCTCACCCCAAAGTCGGGTCTGCATTTCACACCCTTCTTGACGACAGATACAGATCCGATCCCTTTGCTACCATTCCAACGGTCAATTAATTCCTTCCACAAAATTACATCAATTACTCAACAGCATTGAGCAAAAGATTCCAGCCTGCATTTGATATTCGAGACTCTCTTTTAATATATGCAAATTTATTTATGATCTGAATGGAAAAGTCAAGAAATTTTATAGCCCAATCCGCTGTGTGAAGAAGTTCTCACGTTCTCCCCTGCTGCCTGGACTCCCGGCTGGACTGGACACTGTCCAGTCTCGATTTCCTCGACTTCCCCTATTCGTTATTAATTTTGTACAAATTTCTCAACAACTGCAACTTTCTTGAGCAAAAGGTAAGGGTTGCCAGCGAGGGGTGAAAGGAAGCTTCAGTTGTGTCAAGGCGGTGGTTGTTGCACTTCTGTAAGTGCAGCTGAGACAAGACTTTGTAACGGTTCGGCATTTATGGGGTGGTGTGCAAATTGTTTCATGTGCCAGAAGGAAGTACACACTGTGCAGCCTTATCCTTTGGGAACGAGATTAAAAACTCGCATGCGGATGAATAAGTAAATATGCTGCAACTGCAAATCAAAAATTCATCACAAAAAGGCGTGCCACGCCCAGGTTGGAATATACATGTAATAAAATCAAACGCTTTTAAGATAACCCAACTCATAATATTCTGTGGTTTGCCGCCTAGCATTTATATTCTATAAACAATATGATCCGATAAATGAATAAATTTTCTACAGTTGTGGCTAACAAATTCTAAATTTCCAAATTTAAAATTCGAAACACACTGCTTTCCGACTTTTTTTTAATGTTTTTTTTTACATTTTCAAGAGTAAATTATTATTTTTATCTCAAGCGTTCCGAATTTGTATGGAGATTACTAATTAATGTTCGGTAGGGAGTTGGCTTCTTTCGCTTTAAAATAAAATTTCTACATGATTTTTACATGGCAAAATACATAAGCACATACATATGTACGTACATGTTTAGCTTCAAGCTCGAAAGCCCCAAAAGCTCCAACAGCGCCAAAACGAATCTCACCTCATCAGCTGATTTCTCTGTGGCACCCCACCACGGCCTGCTGACGTTCTGTGTTTGTTTGTTCAAATTTTTGTTTGTATTTCCTTTGAATTGGCCTTAAGATAAGTGTTTGTTGTAAAGTACAATACATTTCCATTGATTTCGCGGGGGCTACCTCTGATACCTCTGATAATACCTGTGATAAGTGTGATAAACGAGACAGATTGTACGCGAAACTCTAGCAACAACAAAAACAACAAAGTGGTGCTCAATTATCAGTAATTTACAATATTAGGAAACTTGATTCCATAAGCCAACTGAACTGATTAATGTTTAACCAGAAATGAGTCTGAGCTTATATAACAAGTAAACAGAACAGAACAGAAACCGAAGTACAAATACGGAATACCGAATACCGAAACCGATCGAGCAAAAACCATTAGAACCGAAGCTCACCTCGCCGCCATCGTACCGGGAAATTGAAAATAAAATGCGAATCGTTGGCCCCAGTATGCTGTCAGCCCTCAAGCGGCTTTCAGTCAGCCATCAGAATCAGCCGATATTGGCCAGCAAGCGCGTCAGAGCCCAGTGGAACCCAACAGACGCTATCACTACGATCAGTCCACAGTCAATACGGGACAATGAGCCTGCCGGAACGCAAACCCTTCACGCCGGACTTCTTCTTCCGTCAAGTACGTAATCCGAACGAATCCGAATCTGATGAAATTTCCCAGCCGAGATTAACCATCACTGCCAACAGCTGTTCGATGGGGAGAGCAGCACCTACAGCTACCTGCTGGCGGATCTGAAGACTGGCGAGGCCGTGATCATTGATCCCGTGCTGGAGCAGGCCAAGCGAGATGCCCAGCTGGTCAAGGAGTTGGGCTTCAAGCTCAAATATGCCAGTGAGTGAAAGGGGAGGGGCACTCTTATCACCTTGGAGATAATTTCATCATCATACGCACGTATTTCAGTCAACACACACATGCACGCGGATCACATAACGGGCAGCGGTTGGCTCAGAGAGCTGACGGGCTGCCAGTCGGTGATTGCCGCCGCCAGCGGTGCCAAGGCGGACTGCCACTTGAATGAGGGCGATCGCGTCGAATTTGGTAGCCATGTCATTGATGCACTGGCCACCCCGGGCCACACCAATGGCTGCATGAGCTATGTGATCAAGGATCAGGGCTGCGTCTTTACCGGCGACACACTCCTAATACGCGGCTGCGGACGCACCGACTTCCAAGAGGGCAGCCCCAAGAATTTGTATGAAAATGTCCACAGCAAGATCTTTACGCTGCCCGAAAACTACCGCATCTATCCGGCCCATGACTACAAGTGAGTTGAAGGAGGACACAAACAAAGAGTATATCGAGTGCTAACACTTTGATGCTTGCAGAGGACAGCTGGAGAGCAGCGTGTGGGAGGAGAAGCGCTATAATCCCCGCCTAACCAAGGATCTGGAGGAGTTTATCAAAATCATGGACAACCTCAACTTGCCTTATCCCAAGAAGATAGATGCGTCGCTGCCCGCCAATCGGGAGTGCGGAGTCTACGATATACCCAAGGAGTAGCCCATGCCAATAAAGTCCCCACAAGTGCATCTAATTAAACGAACATATATCACAGTACTTCCAAGAGATTTGTAATCTATCAAATAAATATGCCTGTGTAAAATCTATATTCAATCCTGATTTCTTACTGCCGAAACACTTAGCCTTTTGTATGAGGAAACTGAAACTGATTTCTTGCGCATTTTTTACTATTTTTACAGACCATTTTGAATCCGAAGGGCTGTGGCAGTGCTGCCAAGTATAGTCTGCACACGGCAGTGACTGCCGAGAGCCATGAGCCGGGCAGTCACACGTCCACGCACAGCTCCACCACGGGAAGACGACGCAAGGGCGGCTCCCTGGGCGGCACGCTCTCATCCCGCTCCACGCGCAGCGAGTCGAAGGAGCTGCGTTCGGCTCTGCAGGATCGCGAGGCCGTCATCCAGAATCTCCGCATTCAGCTGTGCCTGGGAAAGTTGCCACGCCCCAGCGGACCGCCGCTTGACGATTCGGAGAAGCCGGCGGCGGAGCAAAAGTTGAACCGACTCAAGTCCGAGGCGGAGAACAAGCGCATCAAGATCAAGAACCTAAAGGGCGCCCTCGAGAAACTAGACATCACAGAGTAAGCAATGAAAGCAGATCAAACCGAAGCAGACTGGAGCTAATCCGCATCCCATTCTCTTCCTTTCGCAGCAACATAGACATACGCATCCGTCAGGCAGAGCTGGAGTATGCCCTGGGCCGGGAGGAGCTTCAGATGCTGTCCATAGTGGAGGAGGCGCGCGCTCTACAGGCCAGGCTGGAGAAGTCCAAGCCGGAGGCCCAGACCCTCTACAATATTATCAGCTCTGGGGTGTCGCTCAGCCTGCATGCGGTGCATGCGACGTCCGGGCGATGGGCAGCCCAGCAGCGGGCCGATCAGCCGGGATTCTATGTGGAGTGGGCCCTGGAGGGCGACGGACTGTACAAGGGCGATCGCATACTGGAGATCAACGGACGCCTGGTGACCAGCAAGACCAAAGAGGAGCTGCAGAAGCATGTGGGCAACTCCGGCAAGTGCCAGATGGTGGTGCTGCGCAAGAAGTCCCTCCCCATACCCCAGAAGCAGCTCGACCAGGAAAAGGAGAACAACATGCGACTGCAGCATCGAATCTCTTACTTGGAGGAGCAGGTGCGAGAGCTGCAGACAGTCAAGGAGCAGCCGCATCACCAGCAGCAGCACCAGAACCAGCATCACCACCACCAGCAGCAGCTGCATCAGACACCCATGCGACAGGAGTCGCAGCATGTGACCAGCATCAGCATCTCATCTCCCCCCTCGACGCCGCCCGAGAAGCCGCTCATCTTCCAGCGGGGCAACTACATCACCACCCTGGTGGGGGGCAAGCCAATAGAACTGATGGGCGACGACGGCGGTGCCCAGACGCCCGCGCATGTGACCAAGACCCTGATCAAGGAGAACACCCACATCGACATGCGCGAGCGACTGCCCCACATGTATTCCATGCCCTCCAAGTCGCTCTCCGCCTCGAAGATCTCCATCAACAGCGACTCCGCCTACATGCAGCACCACAGGCGCGAAAAGGAGCGTCACCGGGAGCGTCGCGATCGGCCACGCGATCCCCTCCAACAGCAACAGCAGCTCCATCGCGAGCATCTGATGAGCCATGCCCGCAGTGTGGAGCACCTCAACCAGTACAATGGGTACGTAAACAGAGCTGTTCCACGGGGTTCCATCCATACTAATCTCTATGCTAACTTCAGACTGGAACGTAGACGGGACACGCCCCGCCAGAGCGAGGCGCAGACCATGCGCAACCGCCTACCCAGCGACATGAGGAGCGTCAAGTCCCTGGACTTTGACAGCGAAAACGAATCCAGGCCAGCGACGGAGACACGCACGGTGCGACCCACGCCGCCCAAGAAGCCCCTGCGACTGTCGCTGCAGCGGGCTCAGAGCCTTCAGACGGTGGAACTGCACCCTGGCCACGACCTGGAACGGAAGCGGCCGATGAAACGAATGCATCACAACAACAACAATCACAACAAGAGCGCAGCCTCGCCCACGGACGAGGGTCAGACGATGCTCATCGAGAACTGCAATCCCCTGCACACAGCCTCCCTGGGCAGGCACAAGCTCATCTAAGGGGTGGTAACACGAACACACCCCCACCCCCCACGTAGTGTTAATCTAAACCCCCCGACTGCCAACAGATGGCAGTTAACACCAACAGGCGGACATGTGCAAAATTATAATTAGAATTACGTTTACCTTTAGGCAGTCTTCTCTCACGTAAGGGGGAGACGAGACTCACTGTGCACTGTACTCACTGTACTCCATGCACACTCTACATCGATAAGTAGGGCTTGGCTATAGTCTTTAGTATTAGCAGTAGACCTGATAATTGAGAGATCATTGTATTTTATGATGATTTTATTAGCAAAATATTAAGCAGACATTACTGTAAATACACGAATAATTCATTTAAATTGCTTTTGTTGTTGAATTTATTTTTATATAATATTTTATAGCCACCAGTGTAGGACCAGCCCTCACACACTCGTATATTTTGTGTGACTATTGAAGCTGATAAGATTTAATTGATGGCACCTAAATCATTGATAGATAAGTGCTGAGCAGAGGTAATCCCCATTCGAAAGTTGATTTCGATTCACATTATTCAAGACTCGAAACAGTTTCGCAGCGGTACTCCAGCAATAAGGAGTTTTGGTTAATTTCTCAATCGAAACAATTAAAGGTGAGACTACTTTTAAATGAAAAGAACACGTTCAAAAATATAAATAATTTTTTAATTAAATTGGATATTCAAATTCATTAAGCACCAACATTTGAGTTTATTTAGTTTGGTCCGTAAATCAGTTTAAGAAATTACGAAGTATTTTGGATCACAATCAGTTCTTCAGATAGGAACATTGACAAATATCAGGCAGACAGGAAAATGTAAGCCGTCCATTACCGTGAGAATCGTAAATTAGAGATAGAGCAGAGCAGGTACCTATCGGCCCAGACCAAAAGAGCCAGCCAAAAATATTCGAACCGAAAATGGAACAACGAGAGGCGGGGTACCTGTCCAATAAACAAACACTCATAATTCAATCATTGGTACCTGAACTGAAGTGCTGATACAATGGTGCGTCCCTTTATCGTTTTCAGTTTGGAATATGTTGCGAATTCTTGCGATTGCACTGGCATTCTATGCCACAATACTATGTGCGACTGCTCAGCCGGTAAGCCTCTCGAGGATTAACCAATACTCCATACTCCATACAATAACTATACATTCATAAATTCTAATACGGCCATTTGTTCGCCCTCGGACGACGGAAAATATCCAGAATAATTCATCAAGTCTGCCGGAACGCCAGCCCTTTACTTCGGACTTTTTCTTTCGTCAAGTACGTAGTCCGAACTTCTCCAGTGAAAGCCTTTCAAAAACTGTCTCAACTGATTCCACAGCTGTTCGATGGGGAGAGCAGCACCTACAGCTACCTGCTGGCGGATCTGAAGACTGGCGAAGCCGTGATCATTGATCCCGTGCTGGAGCAAGCCAAGCGAGATGCCCAGCTGGTCAAGGACTTGGGCTTCAAGCTCAAATATGCCAGTGAATACTATATTATATGTAGAACTTGAATCACTTATTTAATATTTTCCCAAAGTCAACACACACATGCATGCGGATCACATCACGGGCAGCGGTTGGCTCAGAGAGCTGACGGGCTGCCAGTCGATGATTGCCGCCGCCAGCGGAGCCAAGGCGGATCTGTATCTGAGGGAGGGCGACCGCATTGAATTTGGTAGCCATGTCATTGATGTCCTAGCCACCCCGGGCCACACCAATGGCTGCATGAGCTATGTGATCAAGAAGCAGGGCTGCGTCTTCACTGGCGACACGGTTCTGATACGCGGCTGCGGGCGCACAGACTTCCAGGAGGGCAGCTCCGAAAGTCTCTACGAAAATGTTCACACCAAGATCTTTACACTGCCCGATAACTATCGCATCTATCCGGCCCATGACTACAAGTGAGTTGAAGGGGGATTAATATAAAGAGAGGATCGAATTTTAATCCTTTCATTCTTGCAGAGGACAGCTGGAGAGCAGCGTGTGGGAGGAGAAGCGCTATAACCCACGATTGGCCAAGGATCTGGAGGAGTTTATTCAGATCATGGACAATCTTAACTTGTCATATCCCAATAAGATAGGTACATATGTTTATGGCTGCTACTGTACACTGAGATTAAAACTAATGGAACTCTTTCAGATGTTTCTCTTCCTGCCAATCGAGAGTGCGGAGTCTACGATATACCCAAGGAGTAGTCCGGGAAAATATATGTAATGTTCGTGTAATTAAATTGTTTAATAGATGCATTGAAAAAATATCCAAGTTTATGTAAAATATAATTTCTGACCAAAGCTTTGGCATACATGAGCTTCAAAGCATTTCCACTATTTTTATCCACCACTGTCGGCACGAGCCGAGCACGTATTTTGAGACGCGATAGTGAATGCAGCAGTGTGCAGCATGATGCTTATGCACTCGAAACAAATCTGGGCGCCAGTGTGTGGGCTCGAGCCGAGCACGTATTTTGTGACGCGATGGTGATAAACTTTTAAAATAAACCTCACGTTAGCGTGTCTCTGCAGCCGTTTGAACGCTAGCGAAGAATGCAAACATTGTATAAGGGGGTTAACCACTCATTGTTAAACTCGTAATTGAACAATACAATTGAAAAGTAAATCTAAACGATTGATAAGTTAAAGCTATTTCTGGTGTTTAAATGCTTCGACTAACCGTTCAAATTCAGAACTTGATAAAGCTTTGCGAATGTGCGAGAGTAATTCAGAGAGGAGAGAGCAGAGAGCAGATTTCTCCCACACACGACACGATCCGATCTCAGGTGCGCTAAAGCTCTCTTCCCAGTCAAAAAAAGTTGATTTGCGGCAGCAGAGCCCGCAACTTGTCCGCAGTTCTCAGTCGACTAGTGCACAAAACGGTTGTTTTTTCGGGAAATATAAAGAATCATATCAGCATTAAGTACTACACTCCATAGGCGCTAACAAGGTGAGTTACTGGGTACCCAGCACCCCCGCTGAAAACAAAAACAAAAAGAACAAGTGTGAGTGAAACAATTGGCGAAGGTGAAGATAATTACTAAAGCTGAGACGTAGATCTGTTTGAATTTATTTATTTATTTATTCCTGTGAGCCAGTTTTCATTTATGAACTCTGATACTTCGCATTGAAACCAGTTACCTTAGCGCAAAACGCAGCTTACAATTACTCATTATTTTACTGTTGTTTTTTTGGGTTTATTTTTTCGCGCTGCGTTCGTCGTCCGTCTTGCCCTTGGATGGGTTAAAGTAACCAGTTATTCTTATGTGTGTGTGTGTGTGTGTGTGGGTGCAAGACTGCACTTGAGTCCCAATTTAAGCTGTCGAGAGGAAGCCAAGCTTCATTACAGTCCCCACACAATCCACGATGCCGCTACCTACGGCTTCGCTTTTGCTGAGTTTCTGATCAGAGGAATGCCACTTCCCACAGAACAGAACACTGTGGAACACTTGTTTGCCATCTTCTACCTATCGTATTGAAACTAATGTAACACTCTTATCTGCATATTTGGCATCGTTTACTCAACTCCATTGTTTGCAAATTCAATTCTTCAGCATTTTCAATGATGGGTACTAAAATTCTAACAATTCTATAAAAATAATTACAAGTATCATGCTGTTAGAATAGGCAAAAATAGCCAAGTCACATTCGAAAACTTTCCAGAAACTAGGAAAAACAGCAAAGCTGATAACTCTTGATTGAGCTTGAACGCTTGGCCATTAGTTTTCAATCAATTACGTTCGCTGACAGGTATACCTTTAATACCAGCCATTTGATGGACAACCGATGATTATTATCCGTAATTTGTCGCAAGGGTCTGAACTATTTCCTCCCATATATAAACAATGATTGCATATTAAAACAGGAACAAACTACGAGTGGCGCTGCCCTCAAATAAAGGTCCGACAATCGCATTTGACTTTTTTCTCAGATAGGAACTCCTTGGGCAGCCATAACCGTGAGAATCGTAAATTGTCGCCACACGCTTCGAGTGCAGATAAAGCAGGTACAAAAGAGCGTAACCAAATCTCCAGCATATCGGGAATACCAAACTGATAAGCGGCCGGCAGGCCTGGCCATTAAACGAGCATTTCTTTTGATGAACTCATAATTCCAGCTCATAATTCATTCACTGAGCATTGGAATTGAAGTGCGTATGAAAAAGAGATTGTTGATTGACCTTCCCCCAAGCCACGCTTAACCCTGTGTAAAATGCTGCTCAAATGTTGATTGGTGTGTGTGTGTGTCTGTACATTTATACGGATGGGTACTCGCATATACATATATCGTATATCATATATGACCCACAAATCGTTTAATAAACTGAGGTTAAAAGCTTTTATTCCGCCTGCCCGATTCAATGAACGGACAGTGTTCAAATCAAGCGAATATTCACCCGATGACGTGCTGGGTAGAGATGAGCGATAGCATCACAGGAATACCTTTTTCACCTTTTTGGGGGGCGCCTGGAACTGTTCGGACTTCGAACTACTTTATTTCCAGGCATTTAAGTCTGTCTGCCTGGATTGTTCACTCTCCTTGGAAGCATTACTCTACCCTTAACTCGAACCCTTGTTCTATTTCAGCTTGGAATATGATGCAAAGTATTGTCATCACTCTGGCACTCTGTGCCACAATCTGTGCTGCTGCTCAGACGGTAAGGGCCAACAGAGCGAGATGATGCTCCACAGAACATGCTTCTAACTTCTAACACTTATTTAATTTAATCCCGATTGCAGCGTAATACGCCCATACAGGCCATAGCCTATGTGAGCGGACCCGTCCAAGCGGACGGCAGCCAGGTCAAGGGGAATGTTACCTTCACACAGAACGACTGTGGCCAGAATGTCCATGTGCGTGTGCAATTGGAGGGTCTGAAGGAGGGCAAGCACGGCTTCCACGTCCACGAGAAGGGGGATCTGAGCAACGGCTGTACCAGCACGGGGGGTCACTATAATCCCGACAAGGTGAGTTGTCTGCGTTGCAAGTCTCCTTCTGCCTCAACTAATGAGTATTTTGGATTCCTTTGATCTCAGGTTGATCATGGCGGTCCCGATCATGAGGTGCGCCACGTGGGCGATTTGGGTAACCTGGAGGTCAACTCCACGGGCGTCGTTGACGTCACCTATACGGATAAGGTGATCAGTCTGACCGGCAACCGTGGCATTATCGGACGTGCCGTTGTTGTCCACGAGGGCGAGGACGATCTCGGACAGACCGATCACGTGGACTCCAAGAAGACGGGCAATGCGGGTGGCCGTATCGGTGAGCAGTCTGATCTGCCAAAGCCCTTTACATTTGATTCTAATTCAATATTTGATTTCCCTTGCAGGCTGCGGTGTGATTGGTGTTAAGTAAATATCTCTCTCTCTCTCTCTGTTCTCTGTTCCGTCAAAGAAAGACAAACTCGAATGGCTTTCGAATATTCTTTAATAAGTACTCGTATACATGTAACTTCGGTGCCCTGGCTAATGGATTGTTCTTACCCTCTCCCTGAGACTCCATTCCCAACCATACCATCCTGTCCACATAAACACCTCCTTCTCTTCCATTAACTGTCGCAGTTCACTGACTCTCTCCGCCTCTCTCTCTCTCTCTCTCTCTCTGTCTGGGTCTGTGTTTGTGTGTAATAAAAACAACAATAATTAACCGAAATCTAAGCTAAACATATTCATAGTATATATATATACCTATATACATATATATATATATATAGCAACTCATTCATATTTTTGTTGGCCTAAACAAACTCTTGCATCGATTGTTCATTCGGGGCGTGGGGAGGGGGTGGCCACGGCGTATTGCCTGCCACTTTTACCCCTAATTTGTACTAACATCATTACCATTAATGCGTATCGAACATATCGTACATATACGTATGTATGTATGTATGTATGTTTATGTTGGGGGGGGGGAGGTATTGTAAGGAGTAAGACCATCTGGAATGACTTACACCCTAATGAAACTGGAATTCAGTTTACCTAACCACAACGCTCTCGAGCTCATCAATCTATGCTAGTAGCTTCAACTTCTGGTCTGGCTTCTGTCTTGCAGTGGCGCCCCACAACAAGAGGCAGCACAAGTGGCAGCGCCTATACGAACACCATCAGCACATCATGTCCATCATCAGCCCCCACTGTACTATGTGCCCCATGAGGAGCCACAAGATCATGTTGTCTATCCACTCCAGCGCTATCCATCGTACCCATACCCATACCCATATCCGTATCCGTATCCGCACCCGTTCTATCTGTGAATCCGTCCTCACCCCGCCCTAGCTGAAGATTAGAATACATCTGTGCACCCAATCTTACACTACTTACAGCTCGGATGTGGACGAGTGGCCATGCCGCGATGGCGGCGTCGGAGGCCTGCGAAGCTCCCTCTCCATTCTAACCGTTGTCGTTGCTCTCTTCCTCTCGCGCAGCGTCTAACCCTGGCATGGGATCGTTCATCTAGCACACACACACCCACACACATACATACACGTACATTAATAATACTCCAACAGCATTATCCACCCAAACTAGAAAAAACTGAAGAAAATAACCAACTAAGTTAATTGTACGAGTATTACGTTTGAAATATTTGCTAATAAAATTTGTTATAATGTCAATCGGATTGAACCTTTTGGAATTGTTAAGATAAGTGACCAAAGATAGCACCAAGCGCTTGTTCCGATAACCATATCTTAGCCTTTATAAATTTACCAACAGAAGTCAAAGAGAACTTCTAATCTACGGCATGTTTCATACCAAGTAGTTCCACAAATTGTTATATTATTTTAAGACCTGCAATCTAGATGCCTGTTTCTTAACACTTTTAACTCACATTCCCATTGGACTTTTACTTTCTTAATCATTAAGTGTCCTTCGACTCCCACTCGGGGACTACAATTAAGCGGAAACCTTCAGCAAATGTTGGCCATCCCATAATTCATAGAACTGCTGTTTCTGTGGATTGTCCAGCGGATTCTTTCCAGAACTGTTGGTCAAGCAACAGTTTTTTATTTTTTATTTTTTTTTTTTGGTGAAATTGCCTAGATTTCTCCGATCAGATAGGACCTCTCACAGGGAGGGAGTCTTGAGGCACTCTGGAAATAAGTCGCGACACGCAACATTAACATCACCCAAAGCCTCTCTCTCCACCCCAGACCACACCACAGAATCACAAATGGGGCCAACTGATGACTCGACGGTAGCATACTTCTGGGCGCCTTCAATTATTTGCACAGTCTTGAATTCGGGTTCTTGGAGAGCGTTTATAACTTTCGTTTTGTTTCCTTTCGTTTCCTTTGCACCTCACACGAAAGCACGCAATTAATTTCTCCTTGAGCCCGGTCTAGTCCAAAGTGTGAAGTGCCTGGCGAGCCGAAGCCGGAGCCTTAGTCTGAACTTTAAAGGGAAATTCCAGCAGCGTTTTTTATGGTAATAAGTGCAATGACCCGCCAGGAAAACAATGGTGCGGTAAGGTAAGCTTCACGCAACACAAAAATAAAGAAAGGAAAGAAAAGGAAAGGCTGGTCTGGTCTGGTCTGGGGGGCGCACGTAAGCAATCACCCTGTCCACTGTGGTCAAAGTTGTTTGGCTTTTGGTTCTGTATCGAGTTACTATTCGAAATGGGTTACAAAGCATAAAACCAGCACCCCATTCCCTCTTCACAATTCCCTATTCCCTATGCCCATTCCTATCCCAATTCTGAACTAATCATGCCTGTCCGGGGCTGGCTTGGCCTGAATTCGAAACGGGCCCCTAAGACTTTCACTCACTTTTACTTTTGTTACCCACTACTGCCCACTACTGCCCACCGCTCCAATCCGTTGCCAGCGCCAACCTCCAACTGGCCACAACACCAGCGCTCGAGCGCCGAGCGCCGAGAATGCTTCTAAAGCCCAGCCGGACCGTGGCTCTGGTCAGTTCGTGGTTTAGCTTCCCATTGACCGCACGCGTCTACTGATCACACAATTCCCCGGCATTGCGGTTCTCTGTCTCTCCTGCAACTGCGTTCCATCCTAATCTAAAGTTGCAATTGGAATTGGCTTCCATTGAGTAAAAATCAAAATGCGTTCTTGCGGTCCGAGCTTAATCAAATATGTTTTGTTTGCCTTCAATGTGCTCTTTGCGGTGAGTGTTAATTAGTCTTGAATACATCAAACTTCAGTTTTAAATGTGACGTCAGAGGGGTCTTCTATAAGGATACGTAATTTAAGTAACAGAGCCATGGAAGTGCATGTTGCAGGAACTGATGATGCTTGGCATTTTCAAGCAATTTCTTTAAACTAAAGTAAACTATATCTTCACTTTCAATGGCAATCCCTAGCTATCCCCGCTGATAAGCCCAAGGAATTCCAATCGAACCTAAATCGTATTGATTTCCGATTCATATTGCCAAATGGCCTGGAACATTCCAACTATGTGTAATTCGCCCTAATAAATCCACTTTCAGCACTATAATCACGCTCATGCACAAAGTCTTGTTTAGTTGCCTCATTTAGATGATTATCGCTGGAGAATGACATTTGCATTGGCCATCGAATGGGCTCCGAATGAGCCTGGTAGGGGGGGTAGTTGCAGCTGGCAAATGTGATTTGAGTGTATTTGATTGTGCCAGCATGCAATTGGATGTACGATGTACGACACGACCACAGAGTGTCCTTCGCATTGACCAACAGAGCAAACAACTCACTGGCAATGACATGAACGTGGACATGAACATGGAAATGCCATTGACGTGGCGTGGAAATGTCATGGGCTGTGGGTGGCGCTGATGTCAATCGTGGGACAATTAGATTTGGAAATGTAAATACTAATACGACTTGATTGGAAGCCATTAGCCTAATTGTACGCGGGATATACGTACACGTGTATTGGGGGACTCTGTGGGGCTGCACTCTCTGGCATTTGTTAATTGTTTTAATCGAATCCGATCACACGCTTACAGCTCTCGGGCCTCGGCATACTCATTGCTGGAGCAATTGTGCTGGCCGATGTCAATGAGTTCAATCACTTTGTGGAGGGCCGAGTGCTAGCACCGCCCATTGTCTTGATTGTGACGGGTCTGATCATATTCCTGATCGCCTCGCTGGGCTGCTTCGGTGCGATCAAGGAGTCACCAACGCTCCTGCTAACGGTAGGTGTTCTCGAACAGCTCCTGCCCCACCGCAGAAAACGCTTCTAACCAAGGTGCATTCCATTTACAGTTTGCTGTCCTGTTGGCCGTCATCTTCATCGTTGAGCTGGCCGTGGGCATTGCCGCCAGCGTGTTCAAGAAGGACCTAGAGATGATGGTGAAGAACTCGCTGCAGGAGTCCATTAAGCGCTCCAGCAGCGAGGACACCGTGGCCTGGGACAACATCCAGCGCAAGCTGATGTGCTGTGGCGTCGATACCCCGGCCGATTGGAGGGCCATCAGTGCCAACAAGACGCTGCCGGCTAGCTGCTGTCAGCCGCAGTTCATCGACACGACTGTCGGGCATTGTCTGGACTCGCCGGCCCTCGGCAAGGACAAGTACTACCAGGACGGATGCGTGGGCAAGCTGAAGGATCGCATCGATAAGAACGCCAGCATCCTGATCGGTGTGGGCATCGGCATTGCCTTCATCCAGATCCTTGGCATTATTCTCGCCTGCTATCTGGCCTCCTCCATACGGCGGGAACAGGCCAAGTAATCCACATCGCATTCCCCCTTCCTGTTCGTTTACCCATTCATATCTCTATTATTGATAACTATTGAAATGTATGTAGTGGAATTTGTCTAATTTACGCTCAACTAATCGGAACTGCATACGAAGAATATGAGCAGCAGAAAGCGCAACAATCTCACAGCTGTCAACTGTCCCCCAACCCCCCCAACCCACCATCCACCACCCACCCAATCATTGCTTCCTCTTTGTCAATTAAACTATTCCAAAACTTAATTTCTCTCCAATGTTTGCAATGCTCGAAATGTAACTGCAAAGTTATATAATCCGCTGACTGGGAGCCTTTCTTTTTCTCTCTAATCTTCTATAGTTCTCCCACCTACTGTTCCCAGTTTCTGTAGCTTGTTGCGCTGTACGACAGACTCAAACTAATTGTTGCTTTTAATTATCAAAAATAAAAATAAAAATTACATAAAACAAGACAAAGGAAGAGGCACTTGGTGTCATTTGGTGTCGTGTCCTTTAGTTATTTATTGTTTTTGTTATTTGGAGGGAACTACTCGTACATTCGATTGCAATTGGCCAGGCACAACGTCCACACAAGCTTGGATTTGATTTGCTAGCCCCTAGGGGGCCGTCTACACCAAAACAGTTAAGCTAACAGAGGGGGCTGCATGGCCTACACAGCTACGCAATGGAATGGAATGGACGCTGCTGATGTGTCTCAGCCGTGTGTGTGTGTGTGGGTGCGATGGCGGTATAACAAGTGCGGCAGGTTCGGCTACTTCTACGTCCACTAGGGGGGTGGCAAATGCAATAGTAATGGTCATGGTCCATGCTCCATGGACCGGAGTCTACGGCTGACTAATCCTCCACTCTCACTTGCTCTGCAGGAGGGACTCGGAGAGGCGCTCGATGGCCGTGGCGGCTGGCATCTTGCGCGAATCCTTCTCGCTGACCTCGAGTGCCGCTGCCGCTGCCTCGGCGGCCTCTGCCTCCTGCTGGACGCGGGCCTCCTCCTGCTCGCGCTGCTTCTGGAAGTGACGGAACTCCGTGGGCGTCAGCATGCCGCGCAGCACCGTGTCATAGCTGACACTCACGCCCTTGGCGCACATCTTCTGGAAGAGCTTCCAGCACTCGCGCTCCTTGATGCTGCGCACGTACGGCGGATAGTTGTGGTCCTGCTGCTCGGAGCAGTTGGCCGCGTTGTTGTTGTTCTCCTTCTTGGCCTCCTCCGGCGACAGCATGCTGGAAGGGGCATCGGCACCACCGATCGGCCCACCCTGGGCCTGCATGGCCTGCTTCCTCTGCGGCTGATCCGACTTGGAGCCGGACCCTTCGCTCAGAAAAATGGAGACAGGCGGCGCCGTCGGCGGTCGATTGGCGCGTATACGGGCAGCTAGAGGGGCTATCGAGCCGCGTCGGATCATGTGCGAGTACTCCTTGGACGCCAGTTGGAAGGTGGGCGGATAGCTGTCTTGAAACGAGACTGCCAAATAGCTTTAGCTCAGTCGCTAGCGTGGGGGGTTGGGGTGGGGGTGGGGGGATCAGCTGGGATCTTGAGACTTACCCGATTTGCCCGTCTTCCGCAAGAGCGGAGCCCTTCTCTGGGGACTGCGCTGCGTGGCTCCCGGCGGCTGTTTGTCGCCACCGCCACCTGGCGTGGAGGTCGCCGAGTTGTTCTCCTCCCGCTCCGAATCGCTGCCCTCGGAGCTCAGCAGGGACACCAGAGTGATGACATCGGGGGCCACAACGCTGCGAGTCCTGCCCAGGGTCTTCTTGCTGGAGGCGTCACTGCCACCCAGGAGGGAACTGCCCTCGACTCCCGCGGTGGGCGATGCCCCGCCAGCCACCGAGGAGGCGGTGCGCGTGAAGATCTTGCGGCGGCGCAGCTTCTGCTGGCTCCGCTTGCTGGCCGCAATCACGCTCTTGCTGTTCTCGTCCAGACCCCGCACCGGAGCGGACATAGCACGCACCAAGGGCGGACGTCGCTGTACGGTCAGAGCAGTTGGCGACACACTCAAGGGATGGGCTTGAGTATTGGGAGCTGCCGCTGGTTGCGGCCTGTGGGGCTGCTGCTCACCGCTCTCCGTGGCGCTGTCGATGTCACTGGGAATGGGCTCCTGCTCGTTGGTGGCCCGAATCGTCTGGGCCAGCACAATGTTGAGATTGATGCGATTCTTGTCCGCCTTGGCGCTGCTGCAAAACGGAAATGGATGGAAAATTGGATGGAAAGAAGCGAAAGTTTTGAGTGACCTGACCTGACCTGACCCGGCCTACTCTTCCCCTCTGCCTGTCTGCGTCGCTACCACTGTGCTCAGGTCTAAATTTAAATCAAATTATTTGGCATTAGTTTGAGGCAATTTATGCTGTTCTCGATTCCCAAGCATGCAACACACCCACACCCGACCAGGCACAGAAATAGAAATTAACTGGCGATGATTCCGGTTACTCCCACAGCCGAACCCACACCCACACCCTCAACCACTGCCAGTGGCAGTCCCTCAGTCGTGTGTGTGATTGGGTAAATGAAACCATGTCAATTACATTTGCAATTTGCACCCGAAAAAAGGAAACGTACAGAGCGAGTGGAGTGGAGTGGAGTGTGCTGCCACGAAAGTGAGTCCATAAATCTGTAGGAGTTCGTTGAACCCTCCACACTCACACAGTACACATACTCCCACCATCCCCCCCCTAGCAGCTATCTTGTCAGGCAATGATCGACTTAAGTATGCCGCAAGTCGGCTCCGGCTGACTCGGGAGTCGAGTCCTGCTGCTCCTTGCTCCTAGCTGCTATTGCGAGCATGTCTAGCGTGTGTTATGCACTGCACATAAAACTTTGACGTTTGATTCTGGTGTTAAGCATGCAAATTGTTGCCCCCTCCCTCCCTCACCCCATCCCTTCTGGGGAAAGTGTCATTTTCGGCATAGTTATATATTTACATAGATAATATCAATGGGGAGGCGGTGTGGGTGTGGGGGCTAATACGCACCCACCTGACACCAAGGTCAAACAAATGGTAAGCCCCAAAGCATATGTAGAGGTATTCCATGGGTAAGAATGTCAGAACTTTCGTTCCATATACTGCCTACGAGGAGCCACACTGACAATACCGCAAACGAGGATTCTTGGAGCCAGAAATCCTTGCGCAAATGTTCCTTTTGTTCCCCAAAATCTAATTCGTACTTACTTCTTTGGATCCGCGTGATCGGTCGGAGGGAGCCTTTCCGGCTCGTGGTCCAGCGATGGCTTCAGCAGCGAGGACGTGGAGGACCAGGCCGCCAGACTCCTCTCTCTCGGCCGCAGAGAGCTCTGGGTGGAGGTTACGCGCGGGGCAAACTTCGGCGTCGGCTCATCGACGGCGAGCGTTGGCTGGCGGCTCACGGGATAGAGCTTCTGGCGAATGTTCTCAATGGAGCGGCCGACGGAGAGGCCGCGCGATAGGTAGCCCCGCTGCTGGGCCGTGAACTTCGAGGCGGGCTCGATGAAGGAGTGCTGCTTGCGCACACCTACGGGCGGAGGTAGCGGAAAGCGCGCAGAGGTGGCGGTCCTGGCCGTGCTGGATGATCCGTTCGACGTTCCAGCTGTCTGAAACCGACGACGGCTCGACACAGACAGCGACATGATGGCGACAAGCAGGCCGACCTTTGATTAGCAACGGTGACAATGATAACGGAACCAAATGGGAGTGGGAGTGGGATTGGGTATGGGAATGGGGATACGGGATTGTCGATTGTCGAGAGGACGGGGCCTGGATGACTAACAGTCAGTCCTGTGTGGGCTTGGGGTGGGGTTTCAATTGCCAATCAATGTGGCACATCGAATGCAAATCAATTACGAAGTCATTAAGCCCCCCCCCAGAGGCAATAACTTTGTCAACAAAGCACAGCCCAGCCCAGCCAGGGGAAACAGAGAAAACCGAAAGCCAAAAAAAAAAAACACCAAAAACTGTAAACCAAAAGCAAAAGCAGCCGCAGTCACGAAAGCGAAAGCCACTTGAGGGGAAGTACCCCAGCCCGCCGCTCCGCCGGAGCCTATTCGACGCGATGTTGTGGCCGGCCCCAAGCTCTACTTATGTTCTGTGTTTGTGATTGTGGAGGCTTCCACGTCCACACTGTTTGCCTGCCGTGCACCGACTGCGTTTTGTGAATGGAAAGCTCCGGCTCCTGCACCAGCAGGACCAATCAGGCTTCGTATCGAATCCGCTTTCGGGCCTGTGTCTCACTGTTTATGTTACCAACAAACAATCAACAAAATCATATCGTTGGCAAGGAGTCAGCCAGCGCCGCGGTGCCTGTTATGCTTACGCTCTCTCTTGGCTCCGGCTCCGGCTCCAGTTTGGTTTGGTTCGGTTCGGTTGTTTGTTCCATTTCCGGCCCACACGACCACCCCCACACATCAGCGCCGCAGACACGTGCAACTAGAAGCCCTCCCCCCTGCTCCATGCCCCGTCTGTGGATGGGTCTGCCAAGTTTTCGCTCAACTCAATGAACTCGCACGAACTTTTGTTTTCATTTGGCTACGCCTGCAGCCAGCAGCCACAAACCAGAAATGTAATCGAATTCAGCTGAAACGAATGAATCCTTTCTTATTTTATTGTCACATCTCTCACACAGGACACGGGCTGTACAGATGCCAGTGGGTCAGAACTCTAAGCGAGGACTTGTTGCACCGCCATTACACACGCTACACGCCATTGCTTTTCAGTTCTACTCTGTTAGGTTCAGCTGCTGCTCACATCGATCTATCTTGAGGCTCAGAAGCCGATAAGTGGGTAAGCCTTGCCCATGAATGAATGTGTCCTCCGGAAGGCAGCAAGAGAGAGAGAGAGAGAGAGAGAGAGTGAGAGGAAATGCGTACGAGTTGCTCAATGTCAATATGGAAGAGTTAGATGTGTGTGTGGGGAGCATGTCTTTGGGGTAGGTATTCTCCTCTCCCGTTAGAAAGTGAAAAAACTTTCATATTTGTGACAATTTCAAATTCATCAAAGACATGCAAAAGTTGCCGTGCGCGTCGGCAATCAAAAGAAAACGTAACGTACACAGGTGAGACGAGGCGAGACGAGACGCAGGCAGGGACGTAGCGAGAACAAACAGAAATGGGCATAAAACGGAGCTGAGAGCTGAGCAGCAACAACAGGCAAAAGGAATGCCCAAAACTAAATCAAGCCCAGTCCAAGGTCAAAGCCACATCAGCCATCAAGCAAGTCATTTCCATATATGCCAGTAAATACGAGTAGGTACTATATACATACATATACCTGCCTATCCTACATGTTGGCGTTGGCTCTGCTGGCATCACGGCAAATAAAATGTACTTAAAACAAAACTGAAAGGCCCCTTAAAGTACGGAATTGCGGGTGGTAGTGGTACCCGGCATTAATCATTTCAAGTCGATATTTATTGCAGGTGCTCGATGACGCGACTTTGACTTTGACGACGGGCCATGTACCCACACCGATCAGACACACAGGCAGAAACCACGGACCACGGGGGCGAGTGGGAGCGGGAGCGGGAGTGGGAGTGGATTCCGTTTCGCTTTTTGCAATTTATAATCAATTACAATGGAATTGCCGTAAATAAGCAGAGCCAAATAAATGCATATTAGACAGAATGGTCGTAACCAAATACGGAGCGGTACCAGCAAACTTTATTCCGCTGTCATGTCAAAAAAAAACAAAAAGAAAAAACCATTTTAATTGAGAAAATCGGCATAGAGGAATTTACTGTGCCTGGAACAGGGTAACCAAATAAAAAAGATTGCAATTGTATGGAGTGGATAACGTAGGATTAGCAAAATAATACACAAATACATGGATCTAAAATTCAGTTAACAAAACGAGTACTATTCAAAACGTAACAGCAACTCAAGTATCGATAGCTACTTGCTACCGCAATCGATATACCGAAACTAGCAACGCTGGGGAGCAGCTGATAGTGTGACCATCAACTATCGCCAGACTTCGTAAAATTTCGTCAACACTCGAGCTGTCAAATGACGTCGCTGCTGTCGTGGCGTTCAAAGTAAAAAGAAAGTGTCAGCGGTTTTGTTGGGCGCTCCTGGAATTAAGCGAATTTTCAATTAAAAACCACAGCAAAACCTACCGGAAATGTGCCGTCAACTGGTTGCCCTCTGCCTGATCGCCCTGATGGGTGCATCCGGTGTCTACGGAAGCTGCAAGGCCACCGTGTCGTCGTTTAGCACACAAGATGCCACCATTCTGATGCAGCTGGCGCACGTTGCCGAGCTCACGCTGCAGTGCAGCAACTCTGCACAGCCCAGCCTGTTCGCCGAGTTCCCCTGCGGCAAGGTTGTGCCCGTGGCCAAGATTGGCGACAGCAAGTACCAGGTGAGTCCCCCCCCCCCAATCCTCACATCGCACTTCTTGAACGAAATATTATAATATGCCGATTGCAGGTGAGCTGGGTGGAGGATATCAAGCAAGGTAGCAGCGGCAACGTCCAGGTGCGTCTCTTCGATGAGGATGGCTATGCCAACGTACGCAAGGCACAGCGCGACGGCGATAAGGTCTCGTCGGTTAAGTCCCTGCTGGACATCACCGTGCCCACCAAGAGCGCTTACAAGGGTCCCTGGGTAAAGGCCGAGATTCTTGCCGCCGTCCTGGTGACCGGAGTTGCGTACTTCGCGTTCACCACCAAGAGCAAGGTTCAAGCCTAGGATTGCATCTCATTCGATGTAAATTGCCGACCCATTGAATGAAATTCATTCACCTATTTCACGTAGCAACAAATTAGCGACTCCGAGCTGGATCCTAGAGATTTTTTACCAATAAGCATCCAAAATTGGGTTGAAAATAAAAATTTTAAAAAACCGAATGCGTCGAATTGAGAAACGAGCATAATTAAGGATGCGCGGAGTTGTACAAATACTTGTCAATTTGCCTTGTCAGACCAAGTGTCACTTGGTCCGATTGACAAACGATGTATTCAATTAGTCCTATCTTATCTCTGTGCTCTTAATTACTTGTCTGTGCGAGGATAAGAACCTCTGCGCGCCTCTCACCAGGCTCATTCATTGGCGGCCACGGCTCATCTATGCTCGGCAACCCTACAGCCCCTACTGGGGACCGATGACATTCCGGGTGCACACCCTGAGTGACGGCGGAGCAGCTTCCTCGCCCATGAGCGTGGTGTATGCGGTCTGCGTCCGGCTGTTCGCCGTCTGCGGCTACCTGGACAGCGTGCTGATTAAGCTGGAGGATAAGCGAATGGCCGCAGGTTGGGGTCTTCCAGCAATGGCGCATGCACAACAGGCAGGCGGCGATCATGGGGAGCAGCATTCCGCTCAATGTGTCCACGATTTCCATGGTATACAACGGCATGGCCAACTATGTGATTATCCTGGTGCAACTGCTGTTCCAGCAGCAGCAGATCAAGGATCGGCAGAGGGCCATGGGCAGGGATGTGGACATTGTAGGGCCAATGGGTCCCACTACTCATATGGATTAGCTTATCTCGTTTACCTTTAATGTTCATTCATTAGTGCATAGCTAAAGAATTCTCTCTGGACAGTTCTTCCTGTTTATCACAGAACAGAAGATTGGTTCAGCCAGAAGCAATGACTAGTCGATACTCGTATGCGGTGTATCTTAACTAAATGAATCTTAATCTGTTCTATTACTTGAAGAAATAACTGCGGCAGCTCCCCGCGGCGAGTTTTTTGCGATGGGAATAGGTGGAGAGCGTCCTCATAGCACTCTTCAGAACAGTCGCATATTCCGTCAACTCGGCCTTGGTGAAATTGCTTATAAGACTAAGATCTTCGTAGCAGAAGTAGCAAATGTATTCATCGTCCATGCCATCCCACAGGTCGAGAAGCAACTGCAAGGAGATTATTAAATAAATTAATCAATGATGGATGGATGGATGGGGGCTAAGGATACGCACGGCAAGGAAAACAGTTGTCAACGTTGATTCTGGGTTGATTTCTTTCGAGTGGTGGAGAAGAATGACCGTGGTGACGAGGTGATAGTTACGAATCTTGGGCAAGTCCTTCGCAATGCACAGAGCCTGCATCAGGAGGATTGCATCTTTGGCGGCTTTGCTCGTCTTCTCCAGCAGCGACAGCTCGTATTCAGCGGCGATCATCAAGAACGTGGTGGCCTTGGATCTCTTCGGGCCAGGCGCCGCCTTCGGTAGAGCCTGGCACCTGGATCCGTTCGATATAATTTTTACGGCTGGCGCGAAATCAATGAAAAACTCGCGGGCGCTCGATATGGCATGGATGGTGTGGCAGTTGTTGCGCCTCTTGTAGCGCAGCATGTAGATCTCACGCCTGCCCCTGACAGTGGCGCCATGGGCTTTGTCGAGGATGGCCTCCATCCAGGCATGGACATCCTCTCGTTTCAGCTCGGATGCATCAGTCAGCAGATTGTCCAACACAAACTTGCTGCAGGGCACATTCTGGAAATTCAAATGGCAGATCCCCGGCCGGTCCTGGTCCTTTCTCACGTTAATCTTCTCATAGGAGGGGAACTGTATCTCCATCATGACGTCGTACTTGTTGTCGCTGCACAGGCGAATGCCGTGCCCGCCACTTCCTGAGAAATGAGAACGGAATGAGAACTTCCTCCCCTCCCCACACCACCCTCTCCATGCACACCCATCACTCACCAAAGACTATTGAGTTGATTGTACAAGTTTCCTTCAGTTTTTGATCGTCCCGCCACATTTTTACCATAAAATCGAGAATATTCCTAAAATCGACATCATTCTGACCATTGAATGGGTTGCGCAGCTCATCGGCAATTTCCTGTAGCTGCTTTTCGAACACGGAACTCATTTTGTGCTTAAATAAAGTGGATAAAAAGGATAACCATGCATTGAATGAAACAGTTTGGCGATACTTGTATTCCTTCTACGAGTATAGTCGCAAAATATGATATTCGATATCAGTTTCAAGAAGAATCCCGAAGCATGATTCTGTTAATGAGTAGCACTATAAAATGTCTTACAAGAACAGAGCGAAATCGCATATGGACTTGTATTGGTATTATACATATGGTAAGACAGACTAACCTCCAAACACACCGCAAAAGGACCGTTAGACATTCTAGGCTATGCCTTATGAGCCCCAGATCATATGGGCTAGTACCTCCTACTCTTGCGCTTGGCATACTTGAGAATACTTTTCATCCATATTCCAGTGGAGAAATGCCTCTGAAAAGGATCTTTCAATAGGTTAATGATTCCAACCGATCCCATACATATGTCCCATACGGGATATTGGGCTACTTCCGAAAAGATCGACGCTCCATGTCCATGTCCAGCTCAGTCACTGGAGCTTACTCTCCTCAAAAACTTATGGGGGAATTTCAAAGGCAAATGCAAATACTTCTACCCAAATCGTATTAAAGTGGTGAAGGGAATTTATTGACCAAAGCCAGGCCGGTGCAAGAAGTTCATATTAAACATCAAGCAAAACTACCAAGTATTTTAATGAATAGCATTTTAATGAGAAACATGAATTTATCTCTGTTATCAGTCTATAGTTGAAACTATTGTGAATAGCATAGTGCATATATAGAAGTATTTATGTATCTACGAGCATGATTGGAGTTCTACGACACATCGTAGACAAATCTAGAAATGAATGGTCAAAAATTGTATTATGGGTCCAGTGATTTGTGTCCACTCTAGGAGGGGTTTCCACCTGAGTGAGATGATCCAATAAGCTCCACCTTTCGGTGCAGTACTCCCAATAATTGGGACTTAGTAGAGCTGATTGAGAACTCTAAATTTTGAGCTAGAAATGGATGCTTTCCTTTTGGTCTGAAGATAAATTTAGGTATGCAAATGGATTGAAGTTATGGCTACGAATATATTGAAAACATAAGATGTAATTTGATGAGACTTGGAATGAGGCATGGCGAATAGGGAAAGGGGGTAAGGGCAGGGCAGGCGGGTCAGGTCAGGTTCATACGGGATACGCTGCTGTATGGGTTTGACCACATGCATATGTAGTGCAGTTTGCATCAAACTCCAGAGTGCCGCTGACCAGCCGTGGGACGTACATATGTACATATGTATGCTTTGGTCCGCTTTGCACCGACCAACATTCACACCAATGCACGTTGTACATAGACCTGCATGTATATGGTATGTACTGCATCCAGATTATATAGAAAATCACACACACATGTACATAGAACATACACATACATATGGATGTACATATGTATGTAGTGCATGTGAGAGGGAGGTACACACGCAAAGCGCTCAACAGTGCCGCACTCCGGACATCGTTTATCGATTTACAAAAGGCAACAACAACAACAAAAGCTCTTCCAGCGGCAGTAGGTAGGCCGCTCTCTGCACCGTCCACCCCCTCACCCGCTTCCTCCACCGCTTCCTCCCCCGCTCCACAAACACAACCAAAACAGCGGCGGAGAGACAGAATTACACACACATACACAACTAATACATATGTATGTATGTACGCCCATGCATAGCCATGCCTTCACCGCCGCCGAACAACGACGGGTAGGGCAAAACGCCCAACGCCCCACCTTCCCCCACCCATGCATCCATCCTCCCACCCTGCGGCACATCTTTCCACAAAATGTTGCTGCTGCTGCTGCTTGGGGGAGTGGGGGCAGCTGGCAGAAGGCCATGATGATGATGGCGATGATGATGATGACTATGGAAGAGGCATGCCGGGAGCTGGCAGAACGGTGGGAGGGGGGCCGGTCGCCAGGACGAGGCAGGCGGCTGCCACTGACTGCCTGAGTGTGCGTGTATACAGTGAAAGAGAGAAACAGCAAGCCAGGGGAGCTAGGTGGAACGGACGTCGCAGTAGGAGCTGTCGCTGGCTGAAGGCTGAAGGAAGGCACGGGCATAGAGAGAAAAGCGAAAAAATATAATAAAAGCAACAAAAACCCGCACAAGCGAAAGAGATACAAACACACACACGGACAGAGAAACACACGCAGCTGGCACATACACACACACACACACACACACAGGCGCCATCTACGTGTTAGTTTGGGGCTCAGCTCAGTCCGCCTCGCACAAGTAGGCAAGAGGGCGCGGACGAGAAGGCGTGCAGTGGCTGGCTGTCGAGAGGGGGGTTAACTGGTCGTAGGTTCGGTCGCCAGCAGTCAGCACTGGGGCTGAGTGGGGCCTGAGTGGGGGCCGACGCCAACGACGACGACGACGACGACTACGTCGCTGGCAACAAAAACAACTTGGAAAAGGAAAAAGAGTCGCAACAAAAGCAACAACACGAACTGTTGTCAGAGGAGATGAGGGAGACGTGGGGCGTGGGGAGAGACGACGAGAGAGCGGCGGGCACAGAAATTCTACGGGACTTGCTTGGATCGATGGAAATTGAGCAACTTTTCTGGGCTCCCTCGCCTGCTCTCTCCCCTCCTCTTGGATGCTGGGCTAAAGCGGTACAGCATAGATATGTATGTACATGTACATATTGATGTACGTACATACAAACATGCATACATACATATGTACAAATGTGAACAACGCTTTCACAGTAAAAGCTCTGACGCAGCGACGTCCGATAAGGACAGCGAGCGAAGACCACAGTGATCTGTGCTTAAGCAGGCCATACCCCAGCATTGGCACTTGCGATATTTCTTCCATTTCCGTATGCCTCCAAATCAATGACCTTGAACTTCAGAGTTGCGTCTGTGTGCTATGTGTGCGTGCAGGCAACAACACATTCTGGCGGCACGACACGTGATGAAGGTGCAACAGTTTCTGCATCGGAAATCAAATAAAGGTGCATAGAAAGCTAAGGAGGCTGCGAGAAGAGAGGCAGAAAGAGAGAGAGAGAGAGAGGTAGGGTGTGGGTGTTCACATCCACTGCCTCGCACTGTTGCGATTTTGTCGCGCTCACGCACACATACAGCAACAACAAAATGAAACGGCAGCAGCCACAACTAACAACTAACAACAACAACAAAAACAATCTCATGTTTTTGCCTTGTGGGGAGGGAGGCGGCGAATGTGGGCGGTTAACGTTTCTGCTGGGGCTGCGGCTGTTGGAGCGGTGCGACGCTGCGCGTTTTATTGCGAGCGCCAAACTGCGCTGCTGCCGTCTATATGTCTGTTGTATGTGCCTCCTCCTCTGCCTCTGCATCTGCCACTGCCTCTGCCACTGCCAGCTATGATGATGATGAGGTTGCCTTCTTGTTCTTCTTTACACGTCCTCCAACGACGGTCGGGTCGGCCGCGTCGCTGTTGGGGCCCGCTTTTGTTGTTGCTGCTGGTGGTGCTGCTGCTGCTGCTATGTGTCTGTGTGTATATGTATGTGAGTGCGCAAGAAGAGTGCGGGCCGGAGGGTGGGTGGAGAGGCATGGTCTCCCTGCTGCCTGGCTTGGCGCCGCTGCTGCTGCTGCCGTTGCCGTTTCTGCTGCTACTGCTGCTGTTGGGTTTGTGCATGCAGCTCATCGTCTCATTCAAGTGTCCAACTTTTGTCGAAGCGGTCATACAAAACGGCAGTCGGACGGTTTCTCGCTCACAGTTTACTCTCTCTCGCTCTCTCCGTTGGCGTTCCGTTCGGCTCTCTGCTTACGCCTGTGCTGGTGGCTGGTGGAGCGGCCGGGGAGACACACAGAACGCGGCTGGGCGGTCAATAGAGCGCCTACCTACACGCCTATAAAAAGACTTCGCCCGTCCCGAGCAACAGAGGTTTTGGGTTTTCGAATAACCGTTAGCAGAGCCAGCCCCAGTGAACCGTTGACAGCAGGATGAAGGACACAAAAGCGGCGCGCGCAATTAGCGAGTCCTCAACCACGTCCGATAACACCTCCGACTTCATCGATATCGTGAAGCGGTACGACGTGGTCTACAACAACCACAATCCGGACTACAAGAACGTGGAAGTAAAGCTGAAGGTGTGGACGCAAATCGCGGACGAGATTGGGCTGTCAGTGGGTAGGTACCAAACATAGTACCTATGTAGGTCTAGAAATAGCAGCCCTGCGGAACACGCTTAGTTAAGGTATACCAACATATGTACACATTTTTGTAGATATTTAAGTATGTACATACATATGTATTGAAAGGAAGTCTTGTGCCTTGAATGCTCTGGCGGCGGTTGAAATTGAATTACGTAGAACATACGTACATACACATGCATGCAAACATACATATGTGTGTACCTGTCAGCCGCCAGCGGACAAACTCTGTCGCCGACTCTGCTGCGTCGCTGCGAATCGCGAACCGCCGGCCTGATACATTTCGTACGCTTGTGTTCGTACACCTACAAACGTATGTATATACATACGAGGCGATGGTGGGATTGCGGAGTGGGGAGCGGGCAGCCGGGACATGGTCATGGACAGGACGGGGGCGGGTAGCGCGACTGCGGTCGGCAAATTGCAGCGAGAAGCAGAAAAAAGAAGCAAAACACTGCCACTGGCACGCAGCAAAAACAAACAAGCACAGAAGAGCGAAACTGATACAAACTGCGCGCTCTGATGCTGAGAGAGAGCGGCCAAACGACCGGACAAAGAGAGAGAGAGAGCGTTTGTCAAAACAAAAATATTGCGCGGCGTTGCCAAATGGGAGCCAAAATAACAAACCACCTGTGCCAAACATTCGTTAGAATTGAAAAGGTGATTCTGCACGAGACCAAATGATAAGGCGAAGGGAAGCCGTGGGTTGGCAATCGTTAGCTTGCCCCGAAAATAGCTGATACCGTACTTGACTCCACGTGCTCGCGAATGTGTTTGATATTTGGAGTTTAAAATCGGGCAGCATGCGTACCATATACTTTGTACATATGCATATCTCCACATACATATGTATGTGCAGTAGCAGTAGTAACCATTTCAGTTCTTGCACAGACGTCTTGCGTCTATTTTTGGCGGACAGGAGACACGCTCACGTTTAAGTCGTTCTTTAAACTAACCCATTTAAAGAACCCAATGCAGCGCGCTTCTAAGCAAATGGATTATGCTAATAACTCACCATCACTTCGAAACGAACATGTTGATTGGAATGCGTGCAACTGAGTTTTAAGCAAATTCTTATATTTTTAACACTTACGTTCTTATTTAGCTTGTAAGTTATTTGTAAACAAACGGAATGTCTTCTCCACACTAACTTTGTTGCTTATACTCACACGTTTATGGTGCCAAATTATTTTTGAGATGCCGAATATGCCGCGCCGTTTCAGCGCTTGGCCTGCTACCGCGAGTTTGCTATCGATATCGGAACTGTTGGTGATTTTTGTGCTGAAACGCAGAAAGAGCCAGAAAAAGCTATGCAAATTATCGAAGATTCCGAATGAATGCACCTGCGTTCCAAAATAACTAAAACCCTGTCACATCACACTGCAAAGAAGCGTCTAATCACGTCCACACTATTTTTGCAGAAGCCTCAAAGCGAAAATGGAAGAACTTACGCGACAGTTACACAAAATATCTGCGCTCCTTTCGAGTGGGCACCAAAACCTCCAAGAAATACCAGTATTGGGCCCATGCCGATCACATGGAGTTCCTGAAGCCCTTTCAGGGACCGGGCAGGTAAGAGGACGAACTATATGACCCAATTGATTTGACCTTGCTGATGGAATCGAATCTCTTATTGATTGCAGAAACTCCGCCAACGGCAATGGAAAGTCAAATGATGAGGAGGACACCGAATGCGACTTTGGCTACCAAGTTCTGGCCAAGGCGACTAGCAACGCAGGCGAGGATGAGCTGAAAATTACCATAGCCACTGCATCGGCCAGTTGCTCGGCTCTGAGCACGAACACGGTGAACACCTACACGACGGCCGTGACCAGCACAGGAGCACCCACACTAACGCCCAGCCTGGGCGTGGCTACTCCACCGAATCTGATCTCCCCTGGCAGCAACATAGGAATGGGTCCCCAGAACCATAACAGCAACAGCAATGGCAGCCTCAACTGTGCCGCAGTGGCTCCTCTCAGTGCCCTGACGCCGCCTGCCACCACGAATTCCAATAGCGCCGTTGTCCTGCCCCTGCCCGCCACCGTTAGCAAAGCCAACTCCAACGCCAATGCCCTGGCCTCTCTGGCCTCTCATCTGCCCCTTGGCATGGGCGTGGGTGTGGGTGGACTGGCACAGCAGATGTTCCCACTGGCCACGCTAAAGGCGGCTGCGGCCGCTGCTGGAATTCCGCTGCCTCCCACTGTCACGCCTCCCAGCTGCAGCAACGCCAGCAACAGTAACGTGGGCTGCCTGATCATCGAGCCGCATCTGTTCGCGGCTGCCGACAACTTCAAGAAGGAGCTGAACGCAGCTGCTGCGGCCGGAGCACCGCTCGGTCTCTTCCAGAACTTGGCCAATCAGGTCCAGAACGCAAACAACCTAAGCCTGAGCCGCCTGAATGGCAGCAATGGACTCCTGGGCAATCCCACACCACCACCTCCACCCCCGCCCGTTACAAACGCAACGAAGGTGCGACGCGTCCAGCCCTCTCCCCAGACAGCGGCCATCAATTTAAGTTGCTCGGCCCCGCCCAGCCAGCAGCCGACTCAAGCCAAGATGCGCAAGATCAGCGATCCCCGTTTCCCCAGCGACTGGGATGTGTCCGCCGTGTTGCAGGCCAACCGCGAGCTAGACGCCAACACTCTCTTCTTCCTGAGTCTGGCGCGACAGGTGCGTGCCATGCCCATGAAGTTCCAGTCGCTGGCCAAGATGCGTTGCATGCGCATCGTGAGCGACATCGAGCTGGAGCTGGAAAACTATGACTGCAACGGGGGAGCGCCGCCCGACGAGACGGTCGCAGCCAACATGAAGTACTGCAGCATGGACACTCCGCCACCTCCGCCCCAGGACGGATCCATGATGATGGCCCCGCATTCTATGGCCCCCGAGGGTTCCACGGAACACTTTGTGTACGTTATGTCCCCCTCGCGGGTGGAGAGCATGATCGACATATCCTCCGACGAGGAGACCACAATGAACGGTGGCGCTTCCGCCGTGGGATCGGGATAGGTTTACTGACATGGCGTGGCGTGTATTTATGTACAATTTATCTTTAATTATACCACTATGTATATCAATTAGAAGCATTTGGACTTTTTATATCTTGCATGTCTAGGATCCAGATGTTTGAATGAATTCCATTCAAAGGGTGAACGCGACGATCTTGGTAAAGACCGGTGATATCCAGCAGGGGAGTCAGCGAGCTGAGCCTTGAGTTCGATGGCACAGCCGTCCGCATCGAAGAGACGCACCTGTTCACCTGCAATCGTCATATTTGGTCGTTAAAATTTCGTTCTAGAAGTGCGTTTAGATGGGGACTCACCTGGTACTTGCTTTGCTGGCATCTTGGGTCCTGAAGTGTCCTTACAGCTTCAGTGGAAACCGTGCTACCAGTTGACGGGACATTTGGTGTTTGCTGAGGTGTGATTACAACCGTTCATTGTGGTCTCCTCGTCGGAGGATATGTCGATCATGCTCTCCACCCGCGAGGGGGACATAACGTACACAAAGTGTTCCGTGGAACCCTCGGGGGCCATAGAATGCGGGGCCATCATCATGGATCCGTCCTGGGGCGGAGGTGGCGGAGTGTCCATGCTGCAGTACTTCATGTTGGCTGCGACCGTCTCGTCGGGCGGCGCTCCCCCGTTGCAGTCATAGTTTTCCAGCTCCAGCTCGATGTCGCTCACGATGCGCATGCAACGCATCTTGGCCAGCGACTGGAACTTCATGGGCATGGCACGCACCTGTCGCGCCAGACTCAGGAAGAAGAGAGTGTTGGCGTCTAGCTCGCGGTTGGCCTGCAACACGGCGGACACATCCCAGTCGCTGGGGAAACGGGGATCGCTGATCTTGCGCATCTTGGCTTGAGTCGGCTGCTGGCTGGGCGGGGCCGAGCAACTTAAATTGATGGCCGCTGTCTGGGGAGAGGGCTGGACGCGTCGCACCTTCGTTGCGTTTGTAACGGGCGGGGGTGGAGGTGGTGGTGTGGGATTGCCCAGGAGTCCATTGCTGCCATTCAGGCGGCTCAGGCTTAGGTTGTTTGCGTTCTGGACCTGATTGGCCAAGTTCTGGAAGAGACCGAGCGGTGCTCCGGCCGCAGCAGCTGCGTTCAGCTCCTTCTTGAAGTTGTCGGCAGCCGCGAACAGATGCGGCTCGATGATCAGGCAGCCCACGTTACTGTTGCTGGCGTTGCTGCAGCTGGGAGGCGTGACAGTGGGAGGCAGCGGAATTCCGGCAGCGGCCGCAGCCGCCTTTAGCGTGGCCAGTGGGAACATCTGCTGTGCCAGTCCACCCACACCCACGCCCATGCCAAGGGGCAGATGAGAGGCCAGAGAGGCCAGGGCATTGGCGTTGGAGTTGGCTTTGCTAACGGTGGCGGGCAGGGGCAGGACAACGGCGCTATTGGAATTCGTGGTGGCAGGCGGCGTCAGGGCACTGAGAGGAGCCACTGCGGCACAGTTGAGGCTGCCATTGCTGTTGCTGTTATGGTTCTGGGGACCCATTCCTATGTTGCTGCCAGGGGAGATCAGATTCGGTGGAGTAGCCACGCCCAGGCTGGGCGTTAGTGTGGGTGCTCCTGTGCTGGTCACGGCCGTCGTGTAGGTGTTCACCGTGTTCGTGCTCAGAGCCGAGCAACTGGCCGATGCAGTGGCTATGGTAATTTTCAGCTCATCCTCGCCTGCGTTGCTAGTCGCCTTGGCCAGAACTTGGTAGCCAAAGTCGCATTCGGTGTCGTCCTCATCATTTGACTTTCCATTGCCGTTGGCGGAGTTTCTGCAATCAATAAGAGATTCGATTCCATCAGCAAGGTCAAATCAATTGGGTCATATAGTTCGTCCTCTTACCTGCCCGGTCCCTGAAAGGGCTTCAGGAACTCCATGTGATCGGCATGGGCCCAATACTGGTATTTCTTGGAGGTTTTGGTGCCCACTCGAAAGGAGCGCAGATATTTTGTGTAACTGTCGCGTAAGTTCTTCCATTTTCGCTTTGAGGCTTCTGCAAAAATAGTGTGGACGTGATTAGACGCTTCTTTGCAGTGTGATGTGACAGGGTTTTAGTTATTTTGGAACGCAGGTGCATTCATTCGGAATCTTCGATAATTTGCATAGCTTTTTCTGGCTCTTTCTGCGTTTCAGCACAACAATCACCAACAGTTCCGATATCGATAGCAAACTCGCGGTAGCAGGCCAAGCGCTGAAACGGCGCGGCATATTCGGCATCTCAAAAATAATTTGGCACCATAAACGTGTGAGTATAAGCAACAAAGTTAGTGTGGAGAAGACATTCCGTTTGTTTACAAATAACTTACAAGCTAAATAAGAACGTAAGTGTTAAAAATATAAGAATTTGCTTAAAACTCAGTTGCACGCATTCCAATCAACATGTTCGTTTCGAAGTGATGGTGAGCTATTAGCATAATCCATTTGCTTAGAAGCGCGCTGCATTGGGTTCTTTAAATGGGTTAGTTTAAAGAACGACTTAAACGTGAGCGTGTCTCCTGTCCGCCAAAAATAGACGCAAGACGTCTGTGCAAGAACTTTCAGTTCTTGTAGTGGTTACTACTGCTACTGCACATACATATGTATGTGGAGATATGCATATGTACAAAGTATATGGTACGCATGCTGCCCGATTTTAAACTCCAAATATCAAACACATTCGCGAGCACGTGGAGTCAAGTACGGTATCAGCTATTTTCGGGGCAAGCTAACGATTGCCAACCCACGGCTTCCCTTCGCCTTATCATTTGGTCTCGTGCAGAATCACCTTTTCAATTCTAACGAATGTTTGGCACAGGTGGTTTGTTATTTTGGCTCCCATTTGGCAACGCCGCGCAATATTTTTGTTTTGACAAACGCTCTCTCTCTTTGTCCGGTCGTTTGGCCGCTCTCTCTCAGCATCAGAGCGCGCAGTTTGTATCAGTTTCGCTCTTCTGTGCTTGTTTGTTTTTGCTGCGTGCCAGTGGCAGTGTTTTGCTTCTTTTTTCTGCTTCTCGCTGCAATTTGCCGACCGCAGTCGCGCTACCCGCCCCCGTCCTGTCCATGACCATGTCCCGGCTGCCCGCTCCCCACTCCGCAATCCCACCATCGCCTCGTATGTATATACATACGTTTGTAGGTGTACGAACACAAGCGTACGAAATGTATCAGGCCGGCGGTTCGCGATTCGCAGCGACGCAGCAGAGTCGGCGACAGAGTTTGTCCGCTGGCGGCTGACAGGTACACACATATGTATGTTTGCATGCATGTGTATGTACGTATGTTCTACGTAATTCAATTTCAACCGCCGCCAGAGCATTCAAGGCACAAGACTTCCTTTCAATACATATGTATGTCATACTTAAATATCTACAAAAATGTGTACATATGTTGGTATACCTTAACTAAGCGTGTTCCGCAGGGCTGCTATTTCTAGACCTACATAGGTACTATGTTTGGTACCTACCCACTGACAGCCCAATCTCGTCCGCGATTTGCGTCCACACCTTCAGCTTTACTTCCACGTTCTTGTAGTCCGGATTGTGGTTGTTGTAGACCACGTCGTACCGCTTCACGATATCGATGAAGTCGGAGGTGTTATCGGACGTGGTTGAGGACTCGCTAATTGCGCGCGCCGCTTTCGTGTCCTTCATCCTGCTGTCAACGGTTCACTGGGGCTGGCTCTGCTAACGGTTATTCGAAAACCCAAAACCTCTGTTCCACAGTGCTCGGGACGGGCGAAGTCTTTTTATAGGCGTGTAGGTAGGCGCTCTATTGACCGCCCAGCCGCGTTCTGTGTGTGTCTCCCCGGCCGCTCCACCAGCCACCAGCACAGGCGTAAGCAGAGAGCCGAACGGAACGCCAACGGAGAGAGCGAGAGAGAGTAAACTGTGAGCGAGAAACCGTCCGACTGCCGTTTTGTATGACCGCTTCGACAAAAGTTGGACACTTGAATGAGACGATGAGCTGCATGCACAAACCCAACAGCAGCAGTAGCAGCAGAAACGGCAACGGCAGCAGCAGCAGCGGCGCCAAGCCAGGCAGCAGGGAGACCATGCCTCTCCACCCACCCTCCGGCCCGCACTCTTCTTGCGCACTCACATACATATACACACAGACACATAGCAGCAGCAGCAGCACCACCAGCAGCAACAACAAAAGCGGGCCCCAACAGCGACGCGGCCGACCCGACCGTCGTTGGAGGACGTGTAAAGAAGAACAAGAAGGCAACCTCATCATCATCATAGCTGGCAGTGGCAGAGGCAGTGGCAGATGCAGAGGCAGAGGAGGAGGCACATACAACAGACATATAGACGGCAGCAGCGCAGTTTGGCGCTCGCAATAAAACGCGCAGCGTCGCACCGCTCCAACAGCCGCAGCCGCAGCAGAAACGTTAACCGCCCACATTCGCCGCCTCCCTCCCCACAAGGCAAAAACATGAGATTGTTTTTGTTGTTGTTGTTAGTTGTTAGTTGTGGCTGCTGCCGTTTCATTTTGTTGTTGCTGTATGTGTGCGTGAGCGCGACAAAATCGCAACAGTGCGAGGCAGTGGATGTGAACACCCACACCCTACCTCTCTCTCTCTCTTTCTGCCTCTCTTCTCGCAGCCTCCTTAGCTTTCTATGCACCTTTATTTGATTTCCGATGCAGAAACTGTTGCACCTTCATCACGTGTCGTGCCGCCAGAATGTGTTGTTGCCTGCACGCACACATAGCACACAGACGCAACTCTGAAGTTCAAGGTCATTGATTTGGAGGCATACGGAAATGGAAGAAATGTCGCAAGTGCCAATGCTGGGGTATGGCCTGCTTAAGCACAGATCACTGTGGTCTTCGCTCGCTGTCCTTATCGGACGTCGCTGCGTCAGAGCTTTTACTGTGAAAGCGTTGTTCACATTTGTACATATGTATGTATGCATGTTTGTATGTACGTACATCAATATGTACATGTACATACATATCTATGCTGTACCGCTTTAGCCCAGCATCCAAGAGGAGGGGAGAGAGCAGGCGAGGGAGCCCAGAAAAGTTGCTCAATTTCCATCGATCCAAGCAAGTCCCGTAGAATTTCTGTGCCCGCCGCTCTCTCGTCGTCTCTCCCCACGCCCCACGTCTCCCTCATCTCCTCTGACAACAGTTCGTGTTGTTGCTTTTGTTGCGACTCTTTTTCCTTTTCCAAGTTGTTTTTGTTGCCAGCGCCGTAGTCGTCGTCGTCGTTGGCGTCGGCCCCCACTCAGCCCCAGTGCTGACTGCTGGCGACCGAACCTACGACCAGTTAACCCCCCTCTCGACAGCCAGCCACTGCACGCCTTCTCGTCCGCGCCCTCTTGCCTACTTGTGCAAGGCGGACTGAGCTGAGCCCCAAACTAACACGTAGATGGCGCCTGTGTGTGTGTGTGTATGTGCCAGCTGCGTGTGTTTCTCTGTCCGTGTGTGTGTTTGTATCTCTTTCGCTTGTGCGGGTTTTTGTTGCTTTTATTATATTTTTTCGCTTTTCTCTCTATGCCCGTGCCTTCCTTCAGCCTTCAGCCAGCGACAGCTCCTACTGCGACGTCCGTTCCACCTAGCTCCCCTGGCTTGCTGTTTCTCTCTTTCACTGTATACACGCACACTCAGGCAGTCAGTGGCAGCCGCCTGCCTCGTCCTGGCGACCGGCCCCCCTCCCACCGTTCTGCCAGCTCCCGGCATGCCTCTTCCATAGTCATCATCATCATCGCCATCATCATCATGGCCTTCTGCCAGCTGCCCCCACTCCCCCAAGCGGCAGCAGCAGCAACATTTTGTGGAAAGATGTGCCGCAGGGTGGGAGGATGGATGCATGGGTGGGGGAAGGTGGGACGTTGGGCGTTTTGCCCTGCCCGTCGTTGTTCGGCGGCGGTGAAGGCATGGCTATGCATGGGCGTACATACATACATATGTTTTAGTTGTGTATGTGTGTGTAATTCTGTCTCTCCGCCGCTGTTTTGGTTGTGTTTGTGGAGCGGGGGAGGAAGCGGTGGAGGAAGCGGGTGAGGGGGTGGACGGTGCAGAGAGCGGCCTACCTACTGCCGCTGGAAGAGCTTTTGTTGTTGTTGTTGCCTTTTGTAAATCGATAAACGATGTCCGGAGTGCGGCACTGTTGAGCGCTTTGCGTGTGTACCTCCCTCTCACATGCAATACATACATATGTACATCCATATGTATGTGTATGTTCTATGTACATGTGTGTGTGATTTTCTATATAATCTGGATGCAGTACATACCATATACATGCAGGTCTATGTACAACGTGCATTGGTGTGAATGTTGGTCGGTGCAAAGCGGACCAAAGCATACATATGTACATATGTATGTCACACGGCTGGTCAGCGGCACTCTGGAGTTTGATGCAAACTGCACTACATATGCATGTGGTCAAACCCATACAGCAGCGTATCCCGTATGAACCTGACCTGACCCGCCTGCCCTGCCCTTACCCCCTTTCCCTATTCGCCATGCCTCATTCCAAGTCTCATCAAATTACATCTTATGTTTTCAATATATGCGTAGCCATAACTTCAATCCATTTGCATACCTAAATTTATCTTCAGACCAAAAGGAAAGCATCCATTTCTAGCTAAAAATTTAGAGTTCTCAATCAGCTCTACTAAGTCCCAATTATTGGGAGTACTGCACCGAAAGGTGGAGCTTATTGGATCATCTCACTCAGGTGGACACAAATCACTGGACCCATAATACAATTTTTGACCATTCATTTCTAGATTTGTCTACGATGTGTCGTAGAACTCCAATCATGCTCGTAGATACATAAATACTTCTATATATGCACTATGCTATTCACAATAGTTTCAACTATAGACTGATAACAGAGATAAATTCATGTTTCTCATTAAAATGCTATTCATTAAAATACTTGGTAGATTTGCTTGATGTTTAATATGAACTTCTTGCACCGGCCTGGCTTGGGTCAATAAATTCCCTTCACCACTTTAATACGATTTGGGTAGAAGTATTTGCATTTGTCTTTGAAATTCCCCCATAAGTTTTTGAGGAGACTAAGCTCCAGTGACTGAGCTGGACATGGACATGGAGCTCCGATCTTTTCGGAAGTAGCCCAATATCCCGTATGGGACATATGTATGGGATCGGTTGGAATCATTAACCTATTGAAAGATCCTTTTCAGAGGCATTACTCCAATGGAATATGGATGAAAAGTATTCTCAAGTATGCCAAGCGCAAGAGTAGGAGGTACTAGCCCATATGATCTGGGGCTCATAAGGCATAGCCTAGAATGTCTAACGGTCCTTTTGCGGTGTGTTTGGAGGTTAGTCTGTCTTACCATATGTATAATACCAATACAAGTCCATATGCGATTTCGCTCTGTTCTTGTAAGACATTTTATAGTGCTACTCATTAACAGAATCATGCTTCGGGATTCTTCTTGAAACTGATATCGAATATCATATTTTACGACTATACTCGTGGAAGGAATACAAGTATCGCCAAACTGTTTAATTCAATGCATGGTTATCCTTTTTATCCACTTTATTTAAGCACAAAATGAGTTCCGTCTTCGAAAAGCAGCTACAGGAAATTGCCGATGAGCTGCGCAACCCATTCAATGGTCAGAATGATGTCGATTTTAGGAATATTCTCGATTTTATGGTAAAAATGTGGCGGGACGATCAAAAACTGAAGGAAACTTGTACAATCAACTCAATAGTCTTTGGTGAGTGATGGGTGTGCATGGAGAGGGTGGTGTGGGGAGGGGAGGAAGTTCTCATTCCGTTCTCATTTCTCAGGAAGTGGCGGGCACGGCATTCGCCTGTGCAGCGACAACAAGTACGACGTCATGATGGAGATACAGTTCCCCTCCTATGAGAAGATTAACGTGAGAAAGGACCAGGACCGGCCGGGGATCTGCCATTTGAATTTCCAGAATGTGCCCTGCAGCAAGTTTGTGTTGGACAATCTGCTGACTGATGCATCCGAGCTGAAACGAGAGGATGTCCATGCCTGGATGGAGGCCATCCTCGACAAAGCCCATGGCGCCACTGTCAGGGGCAGGCGTGAGATCTACATGCTGCGCTACAAGAGGCGCAACAACTGCCACACCATCCATGCCATAGCGAGCGCCCGCGAGTTTTTCATTGATTTCGCGCCAGCCGTAAAAATTATATCGAACGGATCCAGGTGCCAGGCTCTACCGAAGGCGGCGCCTGGCCCGAAGAGATCCAAGGCCACCACGTTCTTGATGATCGCCGCTGAATACGAGCTGTCGCTGCTGGAGAAGACGGGCAAAGCCGCCAAAGATGCAATCCTCCTGATGCAGGCTCTGTGCATTGCGAAGGACTTGCCCAAGATTCGTAACTATCACCTCGTCACCACGGTCATTCTTCTCCACCACTCGAAAGAAATCAACCCAGAATCAACGTTGACAACTGTTTTCCTTGCCGTGCGTATCCTTAGCCCCCATCCATCCATCCATCATTGATTAATTTATTTAATAATCTCCTTGCAGTTGCTTCTCGACCTGTGGGATGGCATGGACGATGAATACATTTGCTACTTCTGCTACGAAGATCTTAGTCTTATAAGCAATTTCACCAAGGCCGAGTTGACGGAATATGCGACTGTTCTGAAGAGTGCTATGAGGACGCTCTCCACCTATTCGCATCGCAAAAAACTCGCCGCGGGGAGCTGCCGCAGTTATTTCTTCAAGTAATAGAACAGATTAAGATTCATTTAGTTAAGATACACCGCATACGAGTATCGACTAGTCATTGCTTCTGGCTGAGCCAATCTTCTGTTCTGTGATAAACAGGAAGAACTGTCCAGAGAGAATTCTTTAGCTATGCACTAATGAATGAACATTAAAGGTAAACGAGATGAGCTAATCCATATGAGTAGTGGGACCCATTGGCCCCACAAAGTCCACATCCCTGCCCATGCCCCTCTGCCGATCCTTGATCTGCTGCTGCTGGAACAGCAGTTGCACCAGGATAATCACATAGTTGGCCATGCCGTTGTACACCATGAAAATGGTGGACACATTGAGCGGAATGCTGCTCCCGATGATCGCCGCCTGTCTGTTGTGCATGCGCCAGTGCTGGAAGTCCTCCACCTGCCTGCGGGCCAGTGCCTGGTGCGGGAAGTGCTGCGCGTAGAGGCCAAGCAGGCGGAGGCAGTTTCGCTTCTGCGGAGGAGGAGGAGGAGCAAGAATGATCTCCTCTCGCTTAATCTCAGCTAAGGAACACTCACCTCCCGCTGAAGCAGATAGCCATAGGTGCTGGTGATGATTAGCTTGTAGGAGTGCAGCGCGACGTGGAGCAGCATGAATGTGTACTCCAGGTCCCAGGCCTCGGAGCCCAGAACCTTCTGGCAGATCACGTACACGAAGCAGGTCATCAGGGTGAACTCGTAGAAGAATCCAGCGGCAGCGGCGAACCCAAACACGCCGTTCAACTCTGCCAGCAAATGGGAGCAGCGCTTGGAGAACTCGAACAGCTTGGCGATCTTCCGAAGGGCCGTCTCTTGTGGACCAGTACTCGGCGCGTACTCTTGATGCAGCAGCTTCTGGATGAGGCGCAGCCGCAGCCGCACGAAATCCATGATGCCAATGTGAACAAATCCCACCAGCCCCAGGGAGCTCGTAAGGAGGGTGTAGGTGACGGCCATCAGCAGGGTGGACGGTAGGCCGCAGGTGCACCGAACGAGGTCAAAGATGAGCGACACTGAGAAGGAAAAGAAGCAGATGGACACAATCCCCGTTCCGTACCAGTACTTGGAGCGGGTGCGCTGGTATTGCCAGCGCACGGAGGGAAACTCCACGGAAATGTCCAGGTCGAAGCCCTGCATGTTGGCCAGGAGCTTGACGTGGCGGCGTCGCTGGACGTCCAGCGTGAGGAAGTATTCCACGTAGGTGATCGTAGAGCTGAGGCACTCCCACATGACGATCATCTTGACCACGGGTGTTAGGTGGCCCATCATGGCGGCGCCCATTCGCTCATCCTCCAGCTTAATCAGCACGCTGCCCAGGTAGCCGCAGACGGCGAACAGCCGGACGCAGACCGCATACACCACGCTCATGGGCGAGGAAGCTGCTCCGCCGTCACTCAGGGTGTGCACCCGGAACGTCACCAGTCCCCAGTAGAAGAGAAGGCTGTATAGGTTGCCGTAGCAGTAGATGAAGCCATCGCTCGACGATTTGCGGGGCTTCATGTGGCCGCCAATGAATGAGCCGGGCGAGAGTCGCGCAGAGGTTCTTATCCTCGCACAGACAAGTAATTAAGAGCACAGAGATAAGATCGGACTAATTGAATACATCGTTTTTCAAGGGTGGTTCATTAATGACACCAACAATCATACAATCTCCTATCACAGATCTCCAGTTAGCTAATGCAAGTGGCTCAATCGAAGTAACGAGCCTTACTGGATTTAAGCTATGATATTCATAGGATCCTTGGCCAGCCGTACGTATGTTTCTATAATTAATTACGATTGATTATTACGCATGCATATGTAGATATGACAGCACAATTAGACAGCATTTGCCATTGCCAAAGCGGTTTTATTTATTTGAAATTCATACAAAAGTGTACTGGCGTACTTTACTTCTTGGATTTTGGTTGCTGGCGTTGCTGTTGGTGCTGGTGCTGATGCTGTTGGCATTCGGTGGGTTGCGTCGGAGTGCCTTCTGCAGGACATGGGCATCCGCGGGCTCGATGCGCTTGTAATACTGCTCCTTGGTATCGACGATTTCGAAGCCAAATTTCTTGTAAAACTCAATGGCGCCATCATTGTTGATCTGCACATGCCTGAAATGCGTTCAAAAGTTAGTCCGTACAATCTATCTGCAATATTTTGTGGTTCCCTTACAGAAAAATGCTATCAAAGTTGCCGTCCTTCTCCGCGTAGTTCAGTATGTGCTCGAACATCACGGTGCCGATCCCCAGGCGCCGGTAGGGCGACAAGCAGCCAAGTGTCATGATATAGAGGCGTCTCTGGTTCTCAGTTGTATCGATGCGGCAGCAAACGGCCCCGACCACAATGTCGTTGTAGTAGGCCAATTTGGCCAATTCGCCAGCCTCCAAAACATCCACATAAAACTTGTCGTTGTAGGAGACCGGGAACACCACTGTATTGAGCTTCTTCAGTTGTTTTATGTTGTGCGGCGTAACGTCGCCCAAGTCGATGCTATTTCTACAAAATTAAAAAACCCAAGAAAATCAGACCCGCGACGACGCACACTTTTAGGTTAGAATTTTTTGGGAACCTCTGGCATGCGCTATCTAGGCAGAGGACACTTAACTCACCGAGTCATAGTTGTTTAGTAGGTCCTTACGATTTAATAATGCGCCTAGCGCCAATTAATTATGATAGAAAAATGTGTTTTAGCCGGACAGCTGTTCGGAACCGAACCCGGGTTGCTAGAAAAGCTATCGGTTTTGGTATCGATAGTTTCAGCGCATTTGTGAGCAAACAAATATATCGAATAAGTGTGTCGTTTCTGAATAAAAAAATACGCAGGCATTTAAAATCTTTACCAATTTTTAAATTCACTCACAAAAAAGCAAACATGAACCCCAACATGAACATGATGCCGATGTCGGGCCCGCAGATGATGCAGGTGATGCAGTCGTCGCCTCAGCCCATGATGCCGGCAGTCCCACCCGGTCCCGTGCCCCAACAGCAGCAGCAGCCCTTGCAGCAGCAACAACAGGCCGAGAAACTGGACAACATATCGCGGGTTAAGAGTCTACTGGGTCCGCTGCGGGAGTCGATGTTCCTAACCATCCGATCGAGTGCATTCACGCTACAGCAGAACAACCTGGCGGACAATCTGAAGCGGGATACTGGAGCCCATGGCCATCATGTGCCACGATTCGATAAGCATCTGGAAGACTTCTATGCCTGCTGTGACCAAATCGAGCTACATCTGAAAACGGCGATGCAGTGCCTGCAGCAGCAGAATTCCTCCAACCATTATCTGCCTGGTCTGGTTACGCCGATGCGAATGGAAAGCTTCATGCCCGAAAACACCGGACCCATTCCTTACCCCACTTACTTGAATACAGTGCGAGTGCACGTTCAGTCGGCGAAGGACATTCACGACACCTTGATTAGTGCAGCCCAAAACATATCCCAAGCCGATTGATAGTTGTAGTGCATTTAGGTTTACACTCTTATCTTATTTCAAAACACTAGCTCTAAGAACAAAAAAGCCGGGTTACCTATTGTATGGTATGTACAACTAGTAGTACTATATTAACTGATTGTATAGGATGTAAGTAGTTTCTAATAAACATATATTTAGCACATTTAAAATTAATCATAAATATCGGCAAACTGCTTATCCCTATGTTCTTTAGCGTGATTTCAACATTAAATGCAACATGTCTTCTCCGAAAAAGACGTCCAAGCTGAAGACAAAAAGAAAGCGGTAAGTCTTCCAACGAATTGTGGAAGTTCGCTTAACTCGAGTAACAATACGAAAATGTATTCTGCCTGCAGGGATGAAATTAGTCGGCCAGTATCATTCCAGCAATTTAGAAAGCTAATAGAGAACCTTCCGGACATTGCATTCGATGTTCAAAGCGACCAACGTAAGAATGATGTAGGATCCGCTCCGGATCTGGAGCGACCCCGAAGCACCGAAGTGGTCACAGAAAGGGCTGTTCCACCTGTACGCTTTGACTTTTTCTGCGACGAGTATAAGCATCTATCCAAAAAAAAGTGTGCCAGGGAGTACTTGCAGTTCTACAGTTCGCTCGATATGCGTGAGCGATTTCCGTTCATATTAAAGCCATGTCCTGGAGTGGTGCGCGAAAAATTGCTGAGTCGACCGAACCGCTTATTGCCCGATGTCATTGCCGAGAGTCCTAGCGAACCCAAGGAACTGGATAGCTCTGGTCAACCAATTGCAAAGACCAAAGCCGATCGTTAGCCAGGTCATCGAAAAAAGTTAAAAAGGCACCCGAACAGATTCGAACAGCTCCAATAGAGGCAGACCCGTAAGACCCGTATTTCTGTTTTCCTAGTTTTTGTAGTTTTCGACTGTTTAATTACGTTTCTATTTATGTTTTTAGTAAGCCCAGAATATTGAAAGAGGCAGCCCAAGAAAACGCCGCAGACCCGGCCGTTTGCGAAGGTGAAGCAGCGGAAAGCACGGATTGTGAAATTCTTACCCAAAATACTGAAAACATTCCAACTACAGGGTAAGAAACAATCAAAAAAGTATTGAGATCTTTCAGTTTTTAATTTTTTTGTTGATCTTTGAATGCTAGGAAAGTGGCTGAAAGGTGTGTGGAGCCCGCAGTGCAGTCTGAAAACAACCCGCCTAAGAATTTAATGTAAGTATTTTGGCTTACACTGCTGGATTAGACTTTGAATTTACATTACATTTTTTAGTGTCACATCCAGCCAGCCGACTTCGTTGAGCTCCGCGAACCAGTATGATGTCATTGTCAATTGGGAAAGGTAAGACTCATCATCACTTTTTCTGGTACACCTCTTGTGTGTGGGTAATAACTCTCATGTTTCACTATTGAATCAGACATTACCACATCCACACCATCTGGTAAGTTGTTTGTCAGATTTGCTTGCCCACGTACTCACTGTTCTGCATTTAGTTACCGTTGTGTCCATTTGCCCGCCCACCAAACTCAACGCTCAATCTACCAGCTTTGTGGACATGGAAGAAGTGGATCCGGCCTCCCAGATGCCAAACACACAGATTGATCCGCTTATGGAGACCATGCAGGTTCCGGTCAAGCAGGAGACAATCACGTTTCTTGACAAGATGCGCGGCAGCTGCATCAACAGCGAGGATATTCTGTGGGAAAACATTGATACGGAAGACAAGATTATTAACTTGGACGACAGTCAGGAGTCGCTTTCGAACTTGGCCTGCTTTGCCATTCCCACAGTTCCGACAGCAGTTTCGCCATTTAACGGCGTTACACCTCCACAGTTTCCAGAAAGTGAGCCAGCTGTAGAAGTTAAACAAGAGGATGGAGTAGAGACTGCCTGCAGTTATCCATACAGAATTCGAAGTCGCGGCTGAGCCTGAACCTGTGGCTGTGCCTGTCGCAATGCATCAGCTGAATATGATGCAAAAGAATGCGGCGGCGCTGCCTCTACATGAGCCCACAAAACGCAAAAATATAATGCCAGTCGCAAACCCAGGTTGCATCAAGAAGCCGCGTCTGATGAAGGAGACGGTGCCACAGCTGCGACACGAATTCCGGGCCCTACCACTACACGCCGTGGTACGCATCGAATCGTCCGACTTTGATCCCGGCTCAGAGAATGAGCAGCCAACCACATCCTCGTCACAAGTTGCTGAGCAGCCAACCACATCCTCGTCACAATTGGCTGACCATGACAAGCAGATAACAGTAACCCCTTCGCAGGATTTTGCCTCGGGAAACACTCTTCTAGCATCCTCCCAGCTCGACGACCTGTTAGATGCTCCGAATGTTACGCAGCGCAAGGTAAATGAAGACGATAATGTAGCAGGTAGCGATAATATTATCAACAAGGGGCCTCCACTAACTTTAAACCTAAAAAATTGTGTTTTTATCTTTTCAGAAACTGTAATGCCATTGATAGCGTCTCAAGACGTCAGACTTAAATAAAATGTTGAATTTTTCCAATTAAAAGTTCCTTTTTGGTTTGGAGAAATTAAATTCGAAAAAGTCGCGCCAATATATTTCGATAGCTGAGTATCGAAACATCAAAGCGCTGCTCTGCCGATAGCTTTAGTCTAAATTGCACTTAATAAAACCAAATGCGTTTCTGTTGATTGTTTACAAAATTGAAATTATAAGATTGAAATTTTAAAAAGCTCAAAACGACCCCTGAATGGATCGTCTAGCGCAGGTTTTCACCCAGCAGGACGAGCTAATCGCTCCGGTTGGGGTTTACCAGAATGAATATGAGGCCATCAAGGAACTGTACTCTCTGCCAGCGGAAAAGAGGCAGCGCTTCCAGGAGCTGACGCTTCTGGTTCTGGTGGACCTGGAACAGCCGCATGATAGGAAATCGTTAGCCGAAAGATCACGGATGTGGCGCGATAGGGGCAACCGTCTATTTAGATCCTCCGCAAAGGAACTTGGTCCAGAGGCGGAGGCGGAACGGGTCCTCGGGGCATGTCGCCTCTACACAAGGGCCGTGCTAGAAGCAGAAGACGTTGAAGGTGAACTTTGTTTCGCATTTGCTAACCGCGGAATGGCACTGCAAGAATACGGCTACTACCAAGAGGCCTACGACGACTGCGCCAATGCCTTGGAGTTCGGGTATCCCAGGAGACTGCAGCACAAGATAATTATACGGCAAGCTCACTGTGCCTCGAAACTGAAACGAACCGAGCAACTGGCGGAGCACATAGCGTGCTTGGATAAGTTGGAGCTGAATGAAAGCTTTCGCCAGCAGCTGGAGGATCTAAAAAAGAATCTGGAATTGCTGCAAAGCCAGTCGTCAAACGAGGAATCAGTCGATGATCAAGAGACGTTCGATCCCATCCAGGAAATGTAATTGTCTTGACCAATTAATTGACTTTCGGGTGGTATGTTCTAACCCATTTTCATTATTTCAGCATCAAAGAGTCTGGCAGCCGTGGTCGCTACATGATTGCCAAGGAAGCCATGCCGCAAGGCAAAATCATATTCAGGGAGCAGGCCACCTGCTTTGTGCCCCTGGAGCAGAGACTAATTTGCCAGCAATGCGCCTCCAGCCTGATGTGCGCTCCCATTCCCTGTCCCCAGTGTCGGCAGCGAGTGGTCTACTGCTGCCGAGGATGTCGCGAGCGCCACGAACCCATCCACAGATTCGAATGTGTCGCTTACCGCAAAGATCTGCTCAAAATGGTAGGCGTTTCGCACTTGGCGCTGCGCATGGTCCTGAGCTATATGCCGTCAATGGTGCCACAGCTGCAGGCATGCCCAGACTCGTCCGAGATGTGGTCTACGCTCATGACTCTGGCCACGGGAGCCGACAAGGAAGATGAGCAGACACCGCAGTATCTGCAGAGCCTGCGCATGATAAGTCACCTGGACAAGGCGCCTCAGGCAGAGCTGGTCTACCACATGCTTTGCGCCAACCTCCTGCAACTCTATCTAAAGGAGTACACTGACTACTTTGATCAGTTCCAGGCCATGAATGCCTCCCTTGAGGACTGGCACTTGATTGTAGCCGCTTTAATTCTACGTAGTGCCGGTCAGCTCCTGGTTAACGGCCATGTCGGGGACGCCCTGCTGGCAGTGAACCTGGAGGCCAACGAGTTTGGTCTACTGCAGCCGGACATGTGGCGGAAACCCCGCCACCTCAAGCTGGGTCAACTGCATAATCTCAGTCAAACAGAGCCCCTCACAGCCATCAATCTGCCCTATCTGAGCCTCTGCAATCATGCCTGTGCCCCCTCCATACGCACCAAGTTCGACGGCTGCACGGCGGTCAGCTACTCGGCAGTGGAAATTGGAGCGGGCGAGGAGATCTTCAACTGCTATACGATGGACTACAAAAAGAGCATGATCTGCCAGAGGTCGCAGCCGTTGCAGCAAGTGTACAAATTTGACTGCAGCTGTGAGAAGTGTACTCGACCAGATCCAGATCAGGACTACGTAAATATGAAAATTTTCTTCGGATTCAACAATTAAATAATCCATCCCTCACTTGCACAGTTCAAGTTCCATCGGTATCGCTGTGATAACCCAAACTGTCTTCGAGAATTTTCGCCCGAGCCACTGCCCCACCAGACTAACCTCAACTGGTGGATGCAGCGCCCGGATGCAGCAGAATCTTCCGTTTCCTGCCCTGTCTGCAAAGAGACCCAAGTCTTCGCCTGGTACAATGATTTTATGTGCCTCATCGACGGCTGTGGTGAGGTCAAAGCAAGACGAGCACTCTACAAGGCATTCGATGGTCTGGACAAGTGGTTGTTGGGACACCACATCTTGAAGAGGAAGCTGGCGGAGGTGCTCATCGAACCATGCTTTGCTGAAATGGACGGTAAGATACGATACTCGTAAGATACATTTCAAGAGAATTGCAATTATTAATTCCCTTACAGAGGGTTGCGTTTTGGACGACGTGGACCTCGAGAATCTGACGCGTATAATCGAGACACAGCTAGAGGGCACTGCCGCTCAGAGTGGCGCCAACTCGATGGAGTACCTCAGCCAGATGACCTATCTGTGGGATCTATGGGCATTGAGCAAATGCAAGCGAAGCGACCAACAACTGCAGGAAATGAGGGGCAGGCTTGAGTATCTTGCCGCTGAGCAAAGGGAGATCTTCGAGAATTATTACAACGAGTTTATTGAGCAACAATGTAAATAACGCTTTGTACAATATAAACCCATAAGTTTTGAGTCGTGGAACAAAAAGGTCCTCTGCTGAATGTTTGTAGCTCGAAACTTAAAAGGCGTTTACATTGGCAGACGTGCGGTCTGAATTTTGATTTGGGTGCTTGATGACAAGGAAAGAAAAAGAAATTTTGAGAAATCAAGAGAATTATGCAAGACGACAAGAAAATGGACGAAAGAGAATTAATTCTCACATTTATTTATTATTTTTAGACATTTCTTTGTAGAGTTTGTGGGAGTTCTTCAAATTATGAAAACCATCGAAGTTCGTCTCCAGCAGCAAAAAAAGTCTCCAGGGGTCACAAAAATGTCGTATGATAATAATACAATCACTTTCAAGTATTTTATTTAATGATTTTATGTATATGTATTTTCACCTTTTTGCACAACCATACATTTTTAGCGCCAAAATTTAATTTTAGATCTACAAGTTTTGGTTGTTATGCTTTTAAGCGTAAAAGCAATCGAATATATCGAATAGACGCACATGAATCAGAGACCGACGCAACTTTTTGCCACCTCTAGGTCCATATGCTTAACCTATGTAAAAAAAAAAATGCGTCTCGGGCAAGCCTCAAACTTTTGTCTAATGGAAGCACAACAATAAAAAGAAATCGAACCACATAAAGACAGCTGTTTAATGTTCACGAACTAGTTCCGTGTAAGCCGCAAAGAAGAATGAGAAATAAAAAGCGCAAAAAAATTAAAAACACATTGGCCGCTCTTCTGAATTAATACGAAATACTAGAGTTATATTAAATGTCCGTCAGTCGGTTTCAAGTTTAGAAGGGTCATTTGCGTAGAGCAGCTAACCGTTGTAAGCTGACTTATCTGCCCCCGATCGTGTTGTGTTGTTAGTCTTATCAAAAATACATTATTCATTTGGTGCTTAAATAGAATCCCTATAGTACATACATATTTGTACATATGTATATTTTTGTTTGCCATAAAAAAAATTGCATATTCAAATGTTTCCGTCCCTGCAGTGCGTCGAATTGATTGTATTGTGTGAAAATAGAAGCCAAACAACGACAGCGCCACACCAGTTGCTCTGATTCCGAGTTGCTATGCCCTCCGTGTCCCGTTTACGCCTCTCATACCGACGGACAGAGTTCGCCGGGCCAGGTCTTTTGAATACTTGTGAGTAATTTCATTTCATAAAGTTATGCATTGGTTTATCTATATATATAGTACAGGCATCGTAACATAACCTTTCGATCTTGGAACCGATTTAGGGGCATCCCGTTAAATACCCATTTACTCATTTCATACTCCTACGCACACTGTATTTATGATTCATTATTAATCAAATCGTTCTTAAAACACCCCCTAAAAATAGTATAAATTGTAAAAAGAATTGATAAAGAAATGTTACATTTCAACGGTTCTCTCTAAATGCGATAAGATTATTTCAACCATACCCACAAACACCTGGTTACTGCTCGTCTGCCCAGTCTCCTCCCATTGTATTACTTTGTTCCTTTGATAAACAAAAAATAAAGAAAAAGCTAAAAATAATAGCTTTTGGCCCATGAGGGGATCGAACCCGCGACCTTCGCGTTATTAGCACGACGCTCTAACCAACTGAGCTAATGGGCCGCGGTGACTCGGTCCGCTAAAAGGCAATTTGATGTGAGCTACAGCGTACACATTCACATTTCCTACCCTACTCGGAAAAAAGAAGCACGATTTATTTAATTTTAGGGGGTATTCTGCCTTTGTATTGCTACTCTCCAATTTATCTCCTAATGCATCCTGATTCACATATGAATGTATTCAGTTCTATATGGCATAGTACATGTATGTATGTTTGTATGGTCCACTTTCACTTCGGCCAACAGAGCCGATGGGGTTCGTGGTGCGACCGAGTCGTTGGAATCAACTTTGTGCCTTCGCCTGTGGAGGATCCGCAGTTGCTTTTTGACTTCTGTGCGGCTTGGTCCTGTTTGCCCCAACGGTGTGCCGTTTCCGTGTGTATTTTGTTGAAAACAGCGAAACCCGTGGGCCATCCATCGCATTTTATGAGTTGGCCTGAACTGAAGCGTGTGAGGAGTGTAATTGGAGAGCCCTAAACGCTTAATTTATGGCTGCAGTTGACCATTTCGTAGGGCTAGTGCCGCTAACAAGAAGTTCAATAATTTGAAGGTTCTCCGCCTGAAGTATTTTAATTATTAAGACTGCCACACTCGCAGCGGGGTCGCTAGAGACAGATTTATTAGAGCTTTCGTCGAAGGTGCTTAAGCCACTAACTAATCGTATGTTGTACATATATGTGTCTATACTGCAAAGGGACCAATAAGGAAATAGCTCCGATGTTTGAGCTAAGTACAAGCCCCTTGGCTTTTGAGTTTTAAGCAAAAGGCACTCAAAAATAGATAATTTGTGTGTGTGTCCCCCGCTCCAATTGTCGTTCTGGCTCCTAATGCATGTGCGTGACAAGGAAACGCTTTTAAATGCCAGAAATGCAATGAATTTTTGATGTTTCCTAACTGTTGAGAGTATTTCGACTACTTGCCAGCCATTTCGGCATTCGAGGCGACATTTGGGCTCCTCCCGCTCCCCTTTAAAATTACACATTGCCGGATGGCAGGGCGCGGGCGCCTGCTCTACTACAGCAGGTGACTTGCCTTGCCAGTTGTTTTGGTTCTCAACACCTGTCTGAGCCAAGGTTGGACGGGGAGCCGAGTCGCAAGGCAATTGCCTACGGATTTTGATTTGTATTTGGATATGAAATCGGAACATCCCACCCGGACTGGGACTGGTACTGGTACTGGGAGTGGGACCCACCGCGGCACAGCAACGATTTGAGCCAACCGCCTTACATAAGCGATGTAAAAGTCGAGTCCCAAGAGACTACGGAGCAAAAGTGCCTTCCTTGATGGATCCCACAACAAACCGAGTGCCTATCAGTACACGGACTGAGCCTTAAACCTGAGTGCCTTAGGAACTAAGCGGAACAAGCAACCAAATACACCAACATACACAGGTGAGATGTCGGGGAGAAACTATCAGCGCCAGAGCCTGGAACTGCGCAGTCCGGATCAGGACAACAGTCTGGAGGATGTCGGGGACAGCCGTTTTCGGAACATGCTCGGCTCCAGTGCCAGCCAGAGGCGTCGCCAACAGCGGGTGGCCCAGCACCGGCAGGAGTCGTGGTTCCGTCACTCTATGCCGCCGGCCGTCAATCGAGACTTTGAGTCTTTGGAGCATCTGACACCCAAGACAAGCAGCGGACTGGACGAGCAGTTGGCCGCCTCCGTCTCGAACAGCGTCCACAGCGGTGGGAGCTCCACGCTCTGCGGCAGTCGGGGCGGCAATACGGACAACTTTAGCATCCATCTGAACAGTGCGAACAGCAATCTGGGATTTATAGACTCCGACACTCCCAATACGCCGATCACTCCACCCAGATCGGCCTCGTCCTCCATCAGCGGTGGCCTGCAGCCGCCCGCATCCGTCTCCACCTCGGTGGGTGGCACGCTCTCATCGCGCCAAGGCGCCGCCGGGCTGCCTCAGAGCTCCCATCGCAGTCGTAAGGACTCCAAGAGTTCCATCCTGTCCAGACAGAGCCTGGCACAGCGTGGCCTGCGAATGACAGCCTCGTTTCTACGCAGGAAACGAAAGGAGTACGAAGGTGAGTAGGATTCCTGGTCTTATATTCCGCCCCATGGCCATGCCCCATCCGAGATGTGGCAATAAGCATAAGCATCCCATTTTGTCGCGACAGTCGTCGGATCAATATTGTCGACGCCCTGAAGTCTGTCCTTTGGTGGGGTGTGCGGGACCGTGCGGCATTCCGGAAAGAGTCACTGCCAGAAAGCTAGAGTAGTAGGGATTGGAGAGAGGGGGTCTCTACCAATTTAAGTATTTAAACATGTTTCCCGTCTACGTTGCTCCACTTATTTTTTAAGGGCCCGCGCCTCTCCACAATCCCTTCGCAAAGCACAGTCCGAAGTCAGTTTTGTCCCCTTTGCACCGCTTCTAGGCAGACTGACCTAGATTCATTTTACACTACCGCACACAACAACCCACCAACACCAACACCAACCCCATCCAACCCCACAGGATCCGCACGTCCTGTCGCATGTTTGGCCATGTGTGTGCAGAATGGGCAGGGGGGCGCATGCATCGTCACAGTGTCAGAAGCAGAGGCAGAGGCAGAAGTCGTTAGGTGAACAGTTAAATGAGCGAAAAAGTCATTCGAGTTGCATTTGAGAAGAGATTTTATATTATTTTGCACTACACAGTATTTTGGGCTGCCAGCAGCCATTCCCTGAGGGCTGCCACATCGGCAAACACTCCGGGATAGTTGGCGAGGGCGCATTCGCGACCCCAAGAGACGACGCCCACGAGCTGGCCCCCGGATACCAGAGGTCCGCCCGAGTCACCCTGGCACGCATCCTTGTTGGCAGCCGCCGCACAAATCATGGTCTCCCGGATGAGGCCCCCATAGCCGTAGGTGGAGCTGCCGCACTCGGACCGTCCAACGATGCGCGTGTCGATGTACAGCAGCTGGGAAGAGGAGGATCCCGAGAACGAGGTCGATCCCCAGCCGGAAATGCTCGCTGCTGCTCCATGGACAGGCGCGGAGGTGGCCAGTTCGATTGTCTTGATGGTGGAGCTCAGAGTGAGCTTGGTCCTTAGGCGAATCACTCCGATGTCGTTCATCTTCGAGCTGGCGCTGTATTCCTCGTGCACCCGGAATGCGGCCACCTGGACGAGGGACCCGCCCAGGTTCTTGTAGCTGGTGCCGGCTCGCACCTTGAGGTTGGAGGTCGTGACCGGAGACAGCAGACAGTGGGCGGCGGTCACAATGATGGTGTTGCTGAGGATAGATCCGCCGCAGTAATGGGAGCCCGAACGCTGCAGCGACACTTGCCAGGGATGGTCTGCAATGGAGGTCTTCGTTCCGCCTACGATCCTGCCACTCAGCGGCGAGTGTGGCTCCAAGCCCGTGGGTATCACAGCTCCATACGAGGAGGCCAGTATGGCTAGCAGGGTGGCGAATTGAAAGAACATTTCTCTGGGGCGCTCTCTCTGGCATTCAATGGCTAAGTGGCAACCGAGGCGGGCCTTATATAGGAGTAGCTGCCAAGCGATTATGGTTATAGCCAAAACAAGTGGCTTTATGAGCAGGTGGCCATATATCAAACCCAATAAGACTGCAAATAACTGATTGCAGTGCTCTAACCCTCCTCTAACGTGCAGGTGATTGCTGCCATCACTCTGGCAGTCAGTCAGTCAGTCAGAAATTGTCTCCTGTCTCTTCCCAGTGGGTGCTATAAATTTCTGAATGACTATTGATTTCACGGCTCGGGAGCCGTGCATCGGAAGGCGCAGAGCGTGTGCATGTTTGACGTAGGTCAGTGGCCCTGTGACCAGTGCAGTGTCCCTATCAGCTGGCTGTGTTTTTACGCCTTGAAAGGGCCATAAGGCTCTTTTAGCTCACGGATTGATTGGGACTTACCAATTGTAAATAGTTTACTGCAGATAACTCCTTCCGTCCCAAGAGCCAACTCGTTGTAAATTGTCTTTGTTTGCCCCCCCATATATATTCGTATTGTATTTATGTATATTTGCTCGCAGATAGCACAATCCACCTGCTTGTTTGGTAAAACCCAAACATTTGGATGCAGAAGAGCGGCTAACGCGCTGCGTTTAAAAGTACAAAAATGTGTCATGAAATATTGTACATATAAAATTGCTTGCCCTGCCCCATCCGCACGTATTACATTCATGTCCTTGCCCATAATAAAGTGCAAAATATGGGGCACAATTAAGTTAAAAGTGTCACGTCGCCAATTTGAAACATCCGTTTTCCGCATCCGCATCCGCTTCTTTCTGTTTAATTTTCCGAGAATCGAATCGTAGATGGGGCTGGAGCATGGAGTAGTTACAAATTGGCCTCCTCGCTGAGGCGCCGCGTTGGTATATCTACCCCACTTAGATTCTGCACAACATACATAGTCCACAATCAATGTTAGATCAGATATTTGAACATTCGCTCTTACCAAGTTCTCGTCCGGGAGCAGAGACGTCTTTTCCAGACGCATCTTCAGGTTGTCAGAGTAGGTGTAGTACTCGACGACGCGCTTGAAGGTGACATTCTTTTTCGCCTTCGTGCTTAACATCCCATCGCCACCAGAGCCAGCATCCCTCAGGATTAGTATGGGCTTGAGTAAAACTTTCGGAGTTTCTAGATCAGTCATTATAGTTTCTAGCAAAATATAGTACTTTTATATAATATAGACAGTAGAGAATTTCCAAGAGATATATTCAAAATGAATGCTTTGTCATGGGTATATTGTCACTAAACAAAACGACTAAAAAAAAAATTTGTCAGAAGTGGGATTCGAACCCACGCCCTCAGAGAGGACCAGAACGCTCAACACTTTCGTTCAGAAAGCAAGATTCTATATCTTGAGTCTGGCGCCTTAGACCGCTCGGCCATCCTGACGCTTGCGGAGGGCATCGCTAAAAAAGCTCCGTTAAATAAAAACAAATATAATTGTGAAATTTAATTTATTTTAGTGTTTTCGGCGAAACAGCTAGTACTTTCCTTGAAAATCAGAACGACCATAAATTTCCCATATCATACCATATTCACTTAGAATAGTTCCATTGCTAAACCATAAATTTTATACAGAGCACTTGGAACTAATTTCCCCGATTAGATCCCGCAATAAACCGTTTAAATTGATTGAAAACTGACATTAAGATAAACCCATACCAAACGCTTACTCAATATGGCAGGGTCTGCTTGCCCGGAGGTTGGGTAATTCAATCATCCTTGATGGCAAATTGAATTGACATTTCACTTGGCTGGCTGTCTTGCAAGGAACTGACACGTTAGATCATCCATCGCTGACATCCCATGACATCATCGCAGGGGTTGTGTCGGCCATTACATGGTATCCCTATGTGCACGGCATGAGATAACATAATTGCGCAAAACCTTTAACGGGCTTAGCTTATCTGGCACGGAATTAATTGCATCCAGGCGAACCACTTTTTAATTCCCAGAGTGCTGGAAAATTGAAAAAAAAGAAAAATGTATACAAAAAATAAAAAAGTATTTTCTGGCCCATGAGGGGATCGAACCCGCGACCTTCGCGTTATTAGCACGACGCTCTAACCAACTGAGCTAATGGGCCACGTGTCTGCTGCTCGGCAAAAGCCGTATTACAGCCCCAGACAAATTTGACTTTACAGTGGACTGCTTGCTCAAAATGTTTAAGTGAAACATTGACAGAACAAGAACTGTTAGTTCGACATAAGCTGATACTGTTAAACAACATTTAGCGCTGCTCACAGAAATGGGGTTTGTGACACACAGTCAGCATGTGTCAGGATGGCCGAGCGGTCTAAGGCGCCAGACTCAAGATATGGAATCTTGCTTTCTGAACGAAAGTGTTGAGCGTTCTGGTCCTCTCTGAGGGCGTGGGTTCGAATCCCACTTCTGACAAACCTTTTTTTGTCACTTATTTTTTGTCGTTCTTTTTTAAGGTTCATTTATTCTCCTTTTCTTTTCTGCGGCAATATGTATAATATTTAAACTGAAAATTCTTCTCCGGTATGAACTTGCCCTTGTGAAAAGATTGTGAATTGAATAAATCGGGCTTTTTTTAACAGGCCCATTAGCTCAGCTGGTTAGAGCGTCGTGCTAATAACGCGAAGGCCGCGGGTTCGATCCCCCCATGGGCCAGGTTTATTTTTTCCTTTTTTGTCCCCTTGTGTTCTTTTTGCATACTATTTTAATGTGTGCTGATGGAAAATAATGATAATATTTGGGCCTGGGCTTGGTGTGTCCCGTCATTCTCATCATTTGTCAGACGACCATCCTTTCATTGCTTGACAGCAGACCTGTGTCTGTTTGTCTGCTTTAGATGGCTATGATAAAAAAGCTATTTTGCTGAGGCTAATTACTAATTTTACCTAGGTTGGCGGTACAAGCCCCCGTATGTAAATCAGCGTTGACCACAGAAATGGAAAAGATTCGCGTAGAGTAAAATTGATTTCTAGCGTGCGGCGTCTAGTATGTGCGGTCTGGCAACGCTTCCACGCCAATACGAAAATCCACTAATAAAATCTGCCTTTGTCGAGTCGAGTCTTGAATGCCCTCGATCTTCGAGAATACATATGTTAAGGCTATCTTAACATTGCTTTTTGCTATTGTAGCTATTCGATACTTTTTCGGTACCGGAAAATGAGACACAAGTTTGGATAGAATATACATTTAATATTGTATGCTATGCGTTACAAACATCTGAACAACTATAAAGTACCCTCTTCAAGGGTATACAAATCGCCTCTCTCTCCCACACGCAAACACTTGATGCCCAGTGCGACTATGCTCAGTTGCTTTCCGAGCTCCAAGAAAAACGTTTGTGCGCCAGGTGGGGCTCGTGTATGGGACCGGTTAACGAGGTCGACGTGTTTAGTAAACGGGAGATAATATTGTAAACCAAGTAAATACTGTGGATGCTAATTTCACATTAAACATTGTTTTCGGAGTGATCACAGTGCGTATCGTCGGCTATCGGATGCCTGAGAACGGCTGGCTGGCTAATTAGATATTAGTGACTGTATGAAAAGTACTCGTGCATGGGCAAACAACACCAATATAAAGGTCAATTTAAATTATATTAGATTGAACGTTTGTGGCATGGACATGGAAACAAGAAAAAGCATACCATGTACACAAGTAGAGAGCTCCGTCAATTTATGGTTTGATTTTCATACGCCGTGCGGCCCCAAACGAAGAGAAACAGCTGTGCCAGAGCATACAATTTGTAGAAGCCATGGAATTGGCGATTTTTCATATTGTTCAATTGTCACTCAACTCTCCTCACTCCCTGTGTACCACCCACCAATACGAATGCAAATGCGGACTCTCGTGTGTGCCGTTTCGCATAGAAAGTGGTTTTAGATTCTCTCTCAAGCCGTTATTCACTCCCGAAATCCTCTCTTTGGCCTTTTCTTTGCTCTCTACGAGTTTTTTAATTGTTGTAACTGCTGCGCGATCGCTCTCTTTGCCAATCAGAGCCTCTCCTTTGGAGAGCACCGAACAGGTGGAACTGTTGCATTTTGCTGTCAAGATTGGAGATACCTCTTTCCTCCCGTGGGTTGACTGGGCGTGACATATGGCATCAGACTTCGTTCTAGAGAACACAATACACACACTCAGAGATGAAGTCGACTCGAAGGCATCACCTTTTCGTGAGTCAGTCAAATGGTTCGTCATCGTTATAATGTGGTATTTTGAAAATAAAGTTAATACACAGCTGATTTTTGCTGATCGGTTGCCAAAACTGTGCCGCAGTGACATTGCACCACACCGCACTGCATGTAGAAAGTTGTTTCTTTTAATAATTTTCGTCACTTTTGCTTTCATTTGCCAAATGCTAAATTAATGAATATAAAGAGAAACATTATTTGTTTGCTAATTAAAATAGGTGATTCGTCTAATCAGTCATACTACCATTGGCATGGCATTCCATTTTCCCCCCTCAATTACATAAGAACAAACAGTACCTTTATTTACTACATCTGCAGTGTGAAAATACAGTCAAAGCTCTCTTTGGCGGACACCAACTAAGGCTTTAGGTGCTGTGGTGCTCTCTCCCAGATAAATGGCTAAAGCAGAGACAGGACTAAGATACCTTTCCATCAAGAGAGTTTCCACTGTACATTTAGAAGTCCATATGGCTGCTAAAAAGCGATTTATTTCGGCGCTTAGTGGTGACATCGAAATGTGTATTCCCCCGTCCAATGTTGGTCGATTGCCAATAATTGCTATCGATTTGATTTCACAATTGTCTGTGGGACGTCTTTGTTGTACTGTCGCCTGGCCCACGTTCGTTCTGACTTCACTGAATCGGTGACATAGTCAAGTACATATTTTCTCTGTATCTTTAGGTGCGACGGATGTCTGTGTTTACCTTTGTTATGGTACGAAGCCCCCGTTACCCCACCGCATGATAAACATGACTCAATAGAGTATTCGTATGAACTGCTCTCATTGTTGTCATGTTCTATTTGTAGGGGAGGCCTGAGGGGTAATTATCACCTGTTTGCATTCTGCGCAGTCTTTCCTTGCGAGTTAACAACAGCTTCTCCCGATACTACGACAGTTCATGTGCACTCGTTGCGGTGACCTTTTCCAGTTGAGAATCAATTAGAAATCCCAGATTTAGAGATGTTTGCTTTAGTATACGTTCTACTCTCTACTTGCACATGTGGCAGTACATTCCTGCGGAATCCATTTAGTTATACGATATATGAAATCCACAAATAAGTAAATACGCTTGGAATGAATCCAAAATACTTATTTCTATGTTGATGCTGGTATTTTTAGAACGCGTCGCGGCTGGGGGAATAAATTTGAATAGCGTCGCGAATATACATACATATATATGTATGTACACATGTATGCCCACACTAGACAGATCCCCACCCCTATCTGTCGGAAGTGATGGCCCCCCCAAGCTATTTACGTCAGACTCCATACAAAACATACCAATTTTCGTGGGGTTCTTCCCTTGGGTTCGGGAGAATCGTCTGCTACAGCTCGTATTCCGGCAATTGTTATATGTGGAAACTTGCTAATAAATATTTATGGCCAATTTCCTCTTTAACCAGTGAAACCTAGTATATAATTACCCGATTTGCCAGCCTGTGCCTAGTCAGCCCAGCTCCAGGTGGACATATCAAGGACAGGCGCGGGCGTGTAGCGGGATTTGATGTTGATTGGCACCACCCACAGAGTTGGTGCCTGAAGAATGCAGGACAGGACACTTGTAAGAAAGTGGAACAATCGATAAGCTTACTCACTCGCATTGGCATTTGCCAACTCAAGTGTATTATTGCCTTTGTCAATGGTATCTAATTTTAAGCTATGGACAATGGCACTGCACTGCCCTGCACACTCTTGATGGCCATTTTAAAGCATATTGAGTGCCATGGTTTGGTTCAGACGAGTATGTTTCGGTCAATGGTTACTACGAGTACGTATGCATGTATAATGACCACACAGTTATTGCCGGAAAACACGTAGGGCATAAAACAGTACACGCAAATGGAAATTTCTGCGCTTCGCCTACCTTCCAATCGTTTGAAACGGAACAGACAAACCGAGAAAGTTTCGTTGACTTCCGCCTTCACAGACAAGGTCGATGTTCCCTAAAACTCCCCCCAAACCCTTGGTACAAGTGGTTAATTATTTTGATGACTGTCGTCTATGGGTCTATCTAGCGTGTTTATCCCCCCAGGTGCTTGACCAATTGTCGGCTTTAATTATTTCCAAGTTTTAGGGTATTGGGATTTCGGGATTTTAGGGTCGATATCTGGCAATCAAAGCTAACTACAGTAAAAAGGTCCCTTGGCGGCCCAAGAGAGCGTTCACTGTACATGAAAATGTGTGCTCGGTCCTGTCGGGACACTTGGAGGCGGAGTTGTTTACCATTTCTAGATGGCTAACGATAATGGAGTTGAGTGCCTATACAGACAGCAGTAGAATAGAATAGAATAGAATAGAATAGAATATAAAAGCCGCGCTCTGGTCAGCAAATCAATACAGTATAATAACAATAAATACAGTAATAATCGCAGCAAGCCTGTGAAAATCAAACACATATGTACATACATATGTACATACATATGTATGTACATACAAATATATTGCTAATAACTGAACAAATCAAAATGACATAAACGTAAAATCAAAAGTGCAGTGAAACCTTCGAAAAATCAAACTAATGAACTAAATTTAAACGCATTAGATCCGAACAGTTGAGAACGAACTTGAAGTGGGCGCGGCAGTGAGAGTGTACTTAATGGGTGTTCCAAAACCATGTTAACATGGCAGATCCCGGCAAGAATGAGAGCGACCGCATCGCAGGGACAAGGAGCAGCAGCTCAGAACAGGACGGGGGAGTCCGCCGTACTGGCAACGGGCAGAGCCAGAGACAGCGGCAGCAGCAGCAGCAACAGCAGCAGGAGACAGATGGGAGCAGGACACATCCGGCGGCGGACCCCGCCCAGGCCCCCCTCGATGTGTGGGGCCTCCCGGAGCGGGCGCAGACTTGGATCGCAAGCAGCGTGCGCTGGTTGAGGCGGGAGGCAATGCGGAGGACAGCAACCACGGGACCAACGAGCTTGGGAATTTCCGCCGAGGAAGGCGACTCCCCTGGTGGAGAAGACAGTGGCAGGCCGCCACCCGATCGCAGGCCTCCTGCGGAGATTGAGCCGTCTACCGATGGAAGTATAAGCATCCAAGCGGCCTCCTCCTCGCGGCTAGGCGAGAACGCGAGCGTAGTCGACCGCTCGGAGACCGATGCCAGCATCAATCATAGCCGCCTGCCTGGCTCGCTCAGGGCGGTGAGTAGGCTCTCCTTCCGCTATCTTATGGACAAATCCGGCCTAAAAAGGAAAACACGTAAAGGTGCTTTCCCTACTCTTATTACATATACTTCTAAAACTTCATTCCAGGGTATATTTACATGTGCATCAGTCTTTGGAAAAGCGAGTCCTTAGCTTTATTTTATTTGTTTCGGTTATTTTATGGGAAATTCGGAAAGAACTCTTGCGGAAGGAAGGCTGTTTCCGTCCGTAGTATTCGGTGCTACCACGGACGGAAACAGCCTTCTTGACCTTTTCTTTTCCGTTTAAAGTTCTTTCAACCGTTTTGAGGACAGTTTGAGTCTAATATTTTCTTTAGTTAAGAAAGGAAGTTTATCCATAAAGAGTAGAACCAAAATAAAATATCTACATATGTATATGTATATTTATATGTTACATCTTTTGTCTATCGAAACCATGGAAAAGAGTATCCCATAGTCGAGACAGTTTACTGTCTCTCTCTCTTGCGCTCTCTTTTCTCTTTTATTTTATTTTATTTTTTTCTGTTGTGTTGTTGCAGCTTAATGATTTCGATTAACAGCGCTCTATTTTCCCCTCTCTCTCTCTCACTACATGTATATATTGTTCAGTTGCGTGTTTTGTTTTGCTAACCGTATTCGCTTTCGCTTTTGTATTTGCATCACCATCTTCCAACCCTCCGCGTATTCCCATTTCCACCCTTCGTTATCTGCACACGCATGGCGCATCTGTCTGTGGACGTCTGCTCTGTCGGTGGCTGCGGCTGTTGTTGTTGTTGGGTGGCTCTCTTGGCACAATAACCTGCAGCTGAAACGAGCTCTTCTTCGTTACCCCCTTTTATCGTTGTCCTTTTTGCTGCCACCAACGGCACACATTCCGTCGTGGATTTTCAGTCGCAGACGAGAAGCACATCGCAAAAGTTCTCGAAATACGCTGCTCGTGGATTTATTTCGCGTGTGTGTGTGTGTGTGTAACCCCTCCAGGATAACAGTTTAAATGCAACTGTTTTTTTGTCATCGACACCACCGCTCCAGCAATCAAAACTTCCATAGACTTTAAAGTTAAAGAAAACTTTTAGCTGCAATAAAGCCCTTAGCCAATAATCGGCCATCACGTGCTCTACACCATTCAAGGTGTGACAAATCGATACCATTAGAAAAGGTATCCAGAGAATGTTACGCATGTTGTTGCCAGGTGATGGGCCAACCAACAGTACTATGTTCTATGTCTATGCTAACGACAGCCAGGAAAATACCGTAGAATTCTAAAGTAAAGAGCAATTGCCTGCAGCAAAAGCAGAATTCCGATTTGATTAGAAATAAAAAATACGCATTCGAAAGCCAAGTGACAACAGTGTGACTGAGTGGAGCGCAGGCGTCCTTTCTGAAGAGCTCGCAGCTTCTCTTATATCGCGTACGTTTACGTTTACGCCCACTTGTAGCGTGGCATCTCTCTTGGCGTCCCGAGGAGTAGTCGAAACCTGCCATCCTGCTGTTTTCCAAACGCCAAAACGAGTCTCCCGGCGAGAGCATTGCCTTCGTGCCCGTCGGTGAGTGCGATTCAGGATCTGAAGAGCTACACCAGCTCGGGGAAGAGGAGGAGGAGGAAGATACGCTGGAGTCGGGCGGCGCCAATGCTGGCGCATCGTCTTTGGATAGGCGCCAGCGAAGAGAAGGTCGTTTCCAGCATCCTGCCCAGCATCAGAACGAAAGCCGTTGGCACAGAATGGCCCTACGGAATGTCTACAAGGCGCTGCGCATTCGCTGGAGCAGTAAGTGTCGTGTCGTGTCGGGCATAGCTCTAGGTCTCTTTGGAAATTCAATCAATTCTGTACCGAATCTCGAAATTGCTGCTGCTGTACAAATCGATAGCGCCATGTTTGTGAGCTGCCCTCCGCCGAACCCCAGGGGCCAACTCACCAAGATGCTTCGGCACGCTCACATCATCCCGAATGTGCTGCCCTGCGAGCCGCAGGCAGTCATCCAGGTGCTGTACCCTTGCGACATCGTGGTGGAGCCAGGCACCACCATTTCTGTCGATGCGGCGGTCAAAGAGCCCATCATTCGATGGAAACCCGAAACGCACCGGCTCTACACCTTTCTGATGATCGACCTGGACATGCCAAAGTCCATGGGCCAGTACCTGCTTTGGATGGTGGGCAACATCCCCGGCTGCGATGTGGTGCGGGGAGAAACCATTGTTGCCTACATGCCCAAGCGCACGGCGGAGGGCAAGCAGTACCATCGCAGTCTCTTCCTGGCCTACCAGCAGTACCTCGAGTTGGACTTTGACGAGCCGTATCTGACGGCCTCCGACACGGTGGGACGCGCCCACTTCGATGTGAATCGTTTCGCGATGAAATACGCCTTGGGCAGTCCCACGGCTGCCAATTTCTTTGTGGCCGAGTGGGATTGGGGTTGGGAAGCCGATTAAACTAATAATAAACCGGTGGACTATCTATTTTAATAGTTTTTCAAAGCGTTTTTGGGCTGGAGTTGGGGATGCGGAATCTTTGGCTCCCAGAAAATACTAATTCCTCGCATATTTATTGCCTGCTTTCAGATGATGAGGACATCACCTCGTCCGCTGGCTTCGATGCAGAGGATGGAGAGAGGCGTGTCATAATCCTGAATGGCGCACAGCCCGCTAAGTACTGCAACAATCGCATAACGACGGCCAAGTATAAGTAAGCAGCATTCCGGCTATCAATTAATGTGACATTAACTGTATCTGTATCTATATCTGCCTGCAGCATAATCAGTTTTCTGCCCTCGTTCCTGTTCGAGCAGTTTCGACGATACTCCAATTGCTTTTTCCTGCTAATCGCATTGCTGCAGCAAATCCCAGATGTATCGCCGACGGGTCGCTACACAACTCTGGTGCCCCTGATGTTCATCCTGTCAGTCAGCGCCATCAAGGAGATCATTGAAGATGTGGTAAGTATTTGTTAGCCGAGCATTTACGCTGCGCACGGGGCTCATATGGTGTCTTTTCCGCATCCACAGAAGCGCCATCGCGCCGATAATGAGATCAATCATCGACACATCGAGCGGCTGGAGAACGGCACCTGGTCGACAGTCCGCTGGTCGGAGCTGACCGTGGGGGACATTATAAAAGTAACGATAAACACATTTTTCCCCGCGGACCTGATTATCTTATCGTCGAGGTAAGCGCCAGCAGACTCCATTGTTGCCATATGTATGTTGATCCCCGCCCATTGACCCACTTTCCCATTTTCCAGTGAGCCCCAGGCCATGTGCTTCATTGAGACGGCCAATCTGGATGGGGAGACCAACCTGAAGATACGACAGGGAGTGACTGCCACTGCGGGACTGCTGGAGACGAAGGACCTATCAATGCTGCAGGGAAAAATCGAGTGCGAGCTGCCCAATCGGCATCTGTACGAGTTCAACGGGGTGCTAAAGGAATTCGGAAAGCAGTGAGTAGTTCAATCATTTGGCTCTTTGTCTTTGGTTCCGTCATGATTTCAATCTGTGTGTACTTTGCAGATCCGTGCCCCTGGGCAACGATCAGGTGCTGCAGCGCGGCGCCATGTTGCGGAACACGGCCTGGGTGTTTGCGGTCGTCGTCTACTCGGGCCAGGAGACGAAGCTCATGAAGAACTCTACCTCAGCGCCGCTGAAACGGTCGACCGTCGACAAGCTAACCAACACCCAGATCCTGATGTTGTTCATGATCCTGATCTCGCTCTGCATCACCAGTGGCCTGTGCAATCTGTTCTGGACCCGAGAGCACTCGGAAACGGACTGGTATCTGGGCCTGAGCGACTTCAAGAGCATGAGCCTGGGCTACAATCTGCTCACGTTCTTCATTCTGTACAACAACCTGATACCCATATCGCTGCAGGTCACCCTCGAGCTGGTGCGCTTCCTGCAGGCCATATTCATCAACTACGACATCGAGATGTACTACGAGCCCTCGGACACGCCCGCGATGGCACGCACCTCGAACCTCAACGAGGAGCTGGGCATGGTGAAGTACATATTTTCGGATAAGACGGGCACGCTCACGCAGAACGTGATGGCCTTTAAGAAGTGCTCCATTGCGGGGCATGTATATTCCCCTCAGCGCACACCGGAGGAGTCGCTGCTGGTGCAGAACATACTCAGGCGCCACGAGACGGCTGAGGTCATCGAGGAGTTCCTGGTGCTGCTCTCCGTCTGCCACACCGTGATACCCGAGCGGGGGGATGAGGGCATCATCTACCACGCCGCCAGTCCGGACGAGCGCGCCCTGGTCGAGGGCGCCCACTTCTTTGGCTACATCTTTGACACCCGCACGCCCGAATACGTGGAGATCAACGCACTGGGGCAGCGCCGTCGCTATCAGGTGCTCAATGTGCTGGAGTTCACATCGGCGCGGAAGCGCATGTCGCTGATAGTGCGGACGCCGGAGGGCAAGATCAAGCTCTTCTGCAAGGGCGCCGATTCGGTGATATACGAACGCCTGTCCGCGCATGATCGGCAGTACCGTGACCGGACGCTGCAGCACCTCGAGGAGTTCGCCTCGGAGGGTCTGCGCACACTGTGTCTGGCCGTGGCCGACATCCAGCCAGATGTGTACGAGGAGTGGCGAAACACCTACCACAAGGCAGCGACGGCGCTCCAGTACCGCGAACGCAAGCTGGAGGATGCGGCGGACCTCATTGAGATCAATCTGCGCCTACTGGGCGCCACCGCCATTGAAGATCGCCTGCAGGACGGCGTGCCGGAGACGATTGCGGCGTTGCTGGAAGCCGGCATATTTATTTGGGTGCTAACCGGCGACAAGCAAGAAACGGCTATAAACATAGGATACTCCTGCAAGCTGATCTCCCACGCCATGGACATAATCATCCTCAACGAGGAGAGCCTCGACGTAAGTCCAATTGCCAATTGATCAACAAACTGAGATACTTATTCAATTGTTCCCACTCTCCTCAGGCAACCCGCGACGTTATCCTACGCCACTTTGGGGAATTCAAGAGCTCGACGGCCACCGACTCAAACGTGGCCCTGGTCATTGATGGGACCACACTAAAGTACGCCCTGAGCTGTGATCTACGGGGCGATTTTCAGGAGCTTTGCCTGCTCTGTCGCGTGGTCATCTGCTGCCGCGTGTCGCCGATGCAGAAGGCGGAGGTGGTCGAGATGGTCACCCAGAGCACCAAGGCGGTGACGCTGGCCATCGGGGATGGAGCCAACGATGTGGCCATGATACAGAAGGCAAACGTTGGCATTGGAATATCCGGCGTCGAGGGTTTGCAGGCGGCCTGCGCCTCGGACTATTCGATCGCCCAGTTTCGGTTCCTGCAGAGGCTGCTGCTCGTGCACGGGGCATGGAACTATGCGCGCATCAGCAAGCTGATCCTGTATAGCTTCTACAAGAACGTCTGCCTGTACGTTATCGAGCTGTGGTTCGCCCTCTACTCCGGCTGGTCGGGGCAGATCCTGTTCGAGCGGTGGACGATTGGCCTTTACAACGTGCTCTTCACGGCCATGCCCCCCTTCGCCATGGGTCTGTTCGAGAAGTTTTGCACGGCCGAGACGATGCTTAAGTACCCGATGCTGTACAAGCCGTCGCAGAATGCCAAATTTTTCAATGTGAAGGTCTTCTGGATCTGGATCTTCAATGCCCTTCTGCACTCGGTGTTCCTCTTCTGGCTGCCCATGGCCGCGTATACATCGGATGACATCTGGAAGGATGGCAAGACCAATGACTACCTGATGATGGGCAATTTGGTGTATACGGTAAGGCATCTATCACATTCTGATCAATTATCAGTTCGAAACTAGTTTGAATTTCGTATTTCACTTTGATTGCAGTATGTAATTGTGACGGTATGCCTGAAGGCGGGCCTCATCACGAACTCCTGGACCTGGCTGACGCACATGGCCATTTGGGGCTCCATAGTGCTCTGGTTCGTCTTTGTTGTGATTTACAGTCACTGCTTTCCGACATTCAACATAGGCAGCAACTTCCCCGGAATGGACATCATGATGCTGTCCACGCCGGTGTTCTATTTGGGACTGGTTCTGGTGCCAGTCACCACCCTACTGATCGATGTCATCTGCAAACTGTGCGTCAATGAACCTTAACTCTAACCATTCGATATACTATAATGTGTGCTCTCTGCAACCGATCTCATTGCAGGATACACAATACTGTGTTCAAGACCCTCACGGAGGCAGTGCGGGAGACTGAGATTCGGCGCAACGATCTCGCCGAAGTGATGAACGAGCCTCGATCTTCGTAAGTATCGATGCCACGCCACGCCCCGCACCTCTCGTAGAGTCACGCTTTCCCTCTGCAATACATATCGTAGATGCATATGTACTCTTATTTAGTTATTTGTTTGTCTCCAAACAGAGAGTCAACAACTACATACCACATATATATTTTCAATTTGAATTGTTGCGCATTTGTTGAAACTTGAATCTGTAGATCCCTCTACCTCTACCTCTCTACCAACTCTAACCAATCAAAGGCTGATTGAATCTACACATACGTGCCTTACACATACATATATATATCATAATATATCTATATATATATATCGATATGCTTCCTGTAGTAAATAGTTTGCACCACAATTTACAGTACAGTACCTACCCTTTTAGCTCTAATTATTATTTAGCGTTTGTTTTTGGGTCATTTATGCATTTGGCATTTACTTAAACTTACGCCATGCATCATGCCTCATGCCTCATCCCAGTAATCGCACTCCCACTCCGACTGCCACTTCCACCTACCCAAATTGTGTTTGTTGAACTTTCGATGTATGTTAGTGATTACCATTCGTGTAACCAAAGTCTCTTGTTGAACATTGGCCACTAAAAATTGCTCGAACCCTATCTAAAATTGTATACAAAATAACCATACGAAACGGAACACAACACGTAATAAGGACATAAGGATACGAGGACGCACTGGTACTGGTGCTGGGTGTACCAATGTGCATAATCTACAAGGAAACGTGTACTTAGAATTAGAGATTAAATTGTGTACATACATAGTTTTAGAGCTGAACACATTGTTGGTTGTTCCAGTGAAGCACACACACACACACATAAATGATCATTCATACAATGAACTGTAACAGACAACTATAGATCTATAGATACATAAATATACAACTTAAAGCACACTTAGCTAATGAAAAGAACAGATTTCCCTACATACGAGTATATACTGTACATACATATATGTTTACTTAGTTTTGTACGCATTTTGTAGATCTAATTGAGCAATTTTGAATGCAATTTAAATTGATAAAATTGAAACTGAACTGTTTAGTTACTATTGTTGAGGCAGCATCGCATTGCTTAACAGTGCATAATTGATTGCAATCAGCGCATTTAAAGAAACAAACACAATTTCACTGGCTCCAGTCCAGAATGCAAAACAATCAATCAGAATCAGACTTAACTCTTACTCTTAATGTTACTATTACTCTTACTATTACCACATGGATTGTTATTCAGTGTTTTAATCAGTTTTGAGCAAGTATCTTTTGAATTGAACTCCCTAAAATGTAATCTCTTTATCCTTCTCTATCCCACATCCATCCATAAACAACTTGCAAACTCTTTTGTAAATCATTTTCGCTGATGGCTCCTTGATCTTATACTTGCAATCAATCAATCAATCAATCAAACAATCAATATCCATGCACCCATTTGCCGTCATTAGAGATTCTGGTTTTGCTTACGCCCTGGGCAAGCTAATGCGTTCCAGCTCAGTCCTCATATCCCGCCGGTCCTCATTCACTGGCAGCAGAGACTACACCCTCTCAGTCGTCCAGCCAGGCTCAAGCCTACGCATAGAGAACCTAGATATCGAAGACGACAGCGTCAGTCAGCAGCGGAGCAGACGGCGGCAAAACGAGGCAGCAACGGGAACCAGCAGCAAGCCGCGACGTGTTGCCGGCGGCACTGCTCTGAGCGCCAGCTCCACCTCCTCCACTATCACTACCACGCTGCATATGTGAACAACTGGAACCAGGCAAGGAAAAGCAAAGCATTATGGCAGTCAAATTGTCTTAATAGTGTTATATTGTTATTAAATAAGTATACATACCTTTTTAAGTGGGATATTTACCTGTATGCGCATTGAGTACCTTCTAGTAACTGTCGAATTCATATCATCTATCATATGTATAGACTTAAACGTGTGAATGCGGAATATTTATACAAAGGAGTATATGGTATTGTATGTGCTAACTATTTGCCAACTGTGATAGTGTCCGAAGAGATACTGTATGTAGATCGATGGACACGCTACGATAGACAAACTAATGTCAAAGCATTCCCAACATATAGGTATACATATATGTATGTAAATGTGTACATACAATTAATTAATTATTAATATTGTACTTTAGTTTTATCTTTTCTATGGCTGGATGTACTATAATTTACAGTTTTAAGAGACGTGTCAGGTTGTAAAAGTAAAAATTCAGCGACTACTCGTACTTAAGTGTGTTCCCGTTCCCCCTCAGTAAGGAGGTGCTTATCCAACAATCGATTATTAACTACGTATACCTCCTACCTATCTATATACATACTATTTACGGAATGTGATGTATATTCCCAGATGATATTTATGTATGTATCTATGAATGTAATGTATTTATGTATACCGCACCGTCCTTCACAGACCGCATGCAATTTTACTATGCCGATGATACTATATGTACACTTACTCTATGGCTGTTGAATGATTTAATCTTTAATCTGATCTGATATGATCCGATCTGCTCTGCACTTACATATGTATTTTGTATTTATATGATTTTATTTTGTATTAATTAACACACAAAAATGCGACTTTAACCAATCAAATCCAACCACACCCAACATTTGAAACCTGAAACCCAAGAACACACAACAATAACCAATAATCAATAATATAATAAATCAAAAAAGTCAACAGCAAAATTCTTTAAAATGTTTACTTGAAATTTTTATGAACATTTTCTGCGTAAATGTCTGTGTGCGCAGTACTATGTATGCCTTGGGATCGATTCTTCGGTGTAAGTAAATCGTAGATAAACCTGAAAACCCATTCCCACACCACACCACACCTCACCACACCTCACCACACGTACTCGTACAACCCAAAACACCCACAAACATACACTTATATTGCATCACACTGTCATACCATACCAGGATTTCGATAGGATAGGGGGATTTAGGACGGAATCAGTGGTAAAACCAATTGGGATTAGAACAGGGCACTCAAATAAATAAGAGTTTATATTATGTATAGTCAAACACTTGATTTATGGATTTTATTATTTACTATTATTCGTAGTGTCAAAGATTCGTTTTAATTTTTGTAAGAATCGCATCTTTGCCTTTTATTTGCCATCTCCCAAATACTAGTAGGCTCTTCTCAATTTATTATGTACTTTGCATGGCCCTACAATTTTGTACACCTGTACACACCTCGTTATTCATCCTGATTTGATTATATGTATGTACTTAATGCCCCACCCCCGCCAAGAGCCACGATCTGTCACCTACGTTTCTATATAATTTAGAGATTGGATTGAGTACTCGAATAATTTTAATTGTTGTGTAAAGTAAAGTGCTAACAATTCAAAATGGAAAATTCTAGATTAAAATTAAATGCAATAACTCAAATCCTTTACAAAATTAAATTCCGTTACTAAATCATAACCGCCCCCCCTCAAAAAATTAACCCTACAGATTCACGGAAACTGCGAGGCTGCTACGTAATGTATTTACCCGTCGGGCCAACACGAGAGTCGAAACGGAACTAGAACTATCCCGTGAGTACAACCGAACCGCCTTAACCACTCAGTTTCTAGGAATAAGACTGTACTCGTAGAACGCAGTGGTAGGACTTGACCTTTAGGTTTGAAATCATGTCCGAGCCGCACTTCTAGAAAAAATATGGTTAATATTTCGTATTTCTGGGCTCCTTCAGAAGGGGAGAATCTTTATACCGTGTACCTCAGAACACAGATAAACACAAAGCTCATCCACACATAACCGATACTACACATCAAGAACTGCACATACATATGTACTACATTGATTGCCATGTATGTTCGACGATTGTTAACTGAATTATTTATGTCCTCAGATGGCTACGCATTCTCACAAGAGGAGGGCGGAGCTGTGTCCCAGTCTATAGTTATACGTGCATATGATACCAATTTGCCAAAACCCGAAGGCAACTAGTCCAGGAGCGCCGACGTTCGAACCGATGTGCACACAACATTTAATGATAACTTATCAATGTACATATAGCATCAACATTTAAATATCAATACACACAGTTTGTATGGAAGCGATAGCTGACATGCCCATGAACATATTACGATCAGTTCACCTGAGCAGAAGTGAAAGCAATCACTATTCTGGTAGGCCAAACATCACACTAATCACATTTATTCTTTATGTGTCTTACATTAACAACTTACAGTAACTTAAACGTCTTGTAGAAGCAACATACGAACATACATATGTTATATTAAATATGGAACACGCATGCATACACATACATACGCGATATGCGAATATCTTTGCTGTTATTTATTTTGTAAGATCGGAAAAGATAGTGAAGAGGCTAGAAATTCGTTCGATCGTGTCATTCGTATCTGTCCTTATACTTTGTGCTGCTTTGTGATACGGACACAGACTTGCATTCTTTTTCTAAAACTAAATCTAAGTAACTAAATACTGTAAACATTTGTACCTATAAGCATTACATTTCAACAATTGATGTCGGCAATGATCCTGTATTTTTTTGTCACTAAATCATTTACAAATGTAGATTCGTTGAAAATAAATCATATTTCTCGACAATTAGTTTCATTTTTTATCGCACGGCGGGACAGTTTCAAGTGCTAGTGCGAAATTAGATTTCAAGTCCAATCTCGACCGCAAGCCAGAGACGAGACACCATGAGAAACATGGATAAAACGCACAGGTGATTGTGTTATACTTTTAAAAGCTGCTTGTAAAACTGAAAGATGGAAACAGGGTATACAAATGCCCATACTACCGGTATGGCAAGCAACAAGTGTTCAAATGACGTAACATTTGATGCCCACTTACGTTTGCGCTGCTATTTTGTGTTGACCTTTTTTGTTTAAGCATTTTATAAACAATCAATTAAAAATTTTTCCTTAAAATTAGCCAACTTTGTAGAAAATTTATTCTTCTATAGGATAAAATTATATGTTCAGGGCTGAGGCTCCTAGCTAGCTTGTAATATTAAATCGAATATCAAAATCGAGGAATATCAACGTCGAATGTTTTGAAAAAACAATCTAGTATCGATCGTGATAGTATCGGGCTGAAAAATTAAAAAAAAACCATTGAAACCTTTTAGGAACTTGTCCATTGTAAAAATTAGATGCCACCTGTCGATTTTTTTACAAATTTGTCTTCGTATTTTATAGCAGCCAAACATATCAAAAGCGCAACGACTGTATAGCCACTAACCATACAGTATATAGATGTGCCAGTTCATACAACGAAAGGGGCGCAAGCTGAGTGTTCTGCCCGGCTCCCAGCGCTTCGGCTTGAGGCTGGACACGGTGGCCCCACGGGTCGGGCTGGGCCGTCGGCATGTATGACTCATGTCGAGAAGCGAAGCAAGCTGAGAATGTGCAAATGTATGTGTGTAAAAGACACGAAAATTTTGTATCAATTCTTAGCTGCCGAAACCGTTTGAGTCGTTTCCAGTTACGTAAAGTGTGTGTGCCATGTATTCACACATACTGTGCTGTGTGTGGGCTCTACAATTGTTGGCCGCTTGAATTGGTTTTTCGTTTTGTTTTGAGGGCTGATGTGATGTAGCGACCTATTCAGGGCCGGATCAACCCTCAACCGGGCCCTGGGCAACCATCAATCTGGGGCCCTCCTTTATTTTGTATTATTTCTCAGTGGCTATTATATTATATATTTATATATTTTTATTCATTATTTGGAGTTTTGTTTTTTCAACAAAATTTTTCTGTTATCCCTAGGGGGCCCTAGGCAACTGCTAATCCGGCCCTGGACCTATTCCCGTCGTAAGACTTCATATTTTCTTGGTGTGTTCTGTCGCTCGACTCGACGCGGGTCGGGTCGAGGCATTGACGAAGCGGTTCATAAAATATTTTTTCGTTTTGTTTTGAAAAGCGAGAATGGGGGGGTATTTCTTCCATTCTCTTTTAGGCTAGCCTTTGCCTCTGCTTTCGGCTTCGTCAATGACTCAACCCGCGTCGAGTCGAGCGACAGAACACACCAAGAAAATATGAAGTCTTACGACGAGGTCCAGGGCCGGATTATCAGTTGCCTAGGGCCCTCCTAGAAATAACAGAAAAATTTTGTTGAAAAAACAAAACTCCAAATAATGAATACAAAATATAATAGCCACTGAGAAAAATACAAAATAAAGGAGGGCCCCAGATTGATGGTTGCCCAGGCCCGGTTGAGGGTTGATCCGGCCCTGAATAGGTCGCTACATCACATCAGCCCTCAAAACAAAGCGAAAAACCAATTCAAGCGGCCAACAATTGTAGAGCCCACACACAAGCACAGTATGTGTGAATACATGGCACACACACGTTTACGTAACCTGACCCAAACCGGCTAACACACCATCATCCTAATTTGGAGTGTACACGTACACAACACATGCATGCTTGCTGCCATCGGCTCGTGTGAGCCCTAGCCCAAGGCGGCCATTTCCAAAGCCGAAGATCTGGGAACGTACGCTGCAAACTCAGCTTGCGCCCCTTTCGATGTATGAACTGGCACATCTATATACTGTATGGTTAGTGGTATAGCGCAACCGTCGATAGTAGAGACTAGCAGTAAAATATCGATACTATCGATAGTGCCCTCGATGGTTTGACACCTCTAGTAAGCCGGGAAAACGCTAAAAAATTTGGACCAACATGGTAATGTATAATCTGAATCTTTTGTTTGAATCCTTCTCATGCGAAACACACATAGGCCAGCTTCATGCTCTCTCTCGCCATCAGTATTTTCTGTGTTGCCTGTGTCTTGGGTGAACAGTTACCCAATATATTGCTAATCTTAACAGATGATCAGGATGTGGAACTGCACGGAATGTACCCGATGTATGAAACTAGCAAGCTTCTGGGACGAGCCGGAGCACAGTTCCACAATGCCTTTACGCCGACGCCCATTTGCTGTCCAGCCAGAGCAAGTGTTCTCACTGGACAATACGCACACAATCACAGAACCTTTAACAACTCTGTCAGTGGAGGCTGCAACGGCCCAAACTGGCTGGATCGGTCGGAACCCCGGGCTTTGCCAGCTGTTCTTCAGAACCACGGCTACCGCACGTTCTTCGCTGGAAAATATCTAAACCAGTTTAGGGGGGCGAAGGTGCCGCCCGGTTGGAACGAGTTTCATGGCTTGCACGGAAACTCCCGCTACTACAATTACACGCTGCGCGAGAATTCCCAGAATGTCAGCTATACATCAACTTATCTTACTGACCTGCTGCGCGATCGCGCGGTTGACTTCCTACGCAGTGCCACTCGAAGCGACGAGCAGAGGCCATTTTTTGCAATGGTTGCCCCGCCAGCGCCGCATGCCCCATACACACCTGCACCACGTCATCGGGGAGTATTTTCCAATACGAAAGCTCTGCGCACCCCCAGCTTCAATAATCCTACAGAGGGTAAGCTGTGCCACATGTGTATATATATTGTTAAGTTCTTTTGTATGACCGTCTAATCGAATGCCCCAGATAAGCATTGGCTGGTTGGATCGTCCGCACGTCTGGCGGATGAAACTGTCGCCACCATAGACAGATATTTTCAGGGGCGCTGGGAATCGCTTCTGGCTGTCGACGAGTTGGTGGCCGCCTTGGTGGCGGTGCTAAGTGAGACGAAAGCCCTCGACGATACCTACATCATATACACCTCGGATAATGGGTATCATATGGGGCAGTTCGCACAGCCGTTTGACAAGCGGCAGCCGTATGAAACCGACATTCACGTACCTCTGCTAATGCGGGGTCCAGGCATAGCAGCAGGAAGCCATCTCCACGTAGCCGTCAGCTTGATAGATCTAGCTCCGACAGTTCTGGATTGGGCCGGCATAGCTGTTCCCCCCTACATGGATGGGCGGTCAATTCGCGGGGATCTGTTACAGGCGGGTCGGGCAGGCCGGGATATTACGCTACATCCGCCATACCGCCACTCGTTGCTGATAGAGTATTGGGGCGAGGGCAACGATGACACCTACAACCCGTCCTGCCCTTGGGAACGCAGTGATCGATTAGCGGAATGCACACCTGAAGCTGCCTGTCACTGCCAAGATTCGTGGAACAACACATTCGCCTGCCTGCGAGACTTTAAGTATAATGTCGATCGCATATACTGTCAGTTTAATGATAACGAGGTAAGTCATCATCCCAAAGAAATACAGTTTGAAATTATTGTTCCTTTGTACCAGCACTTTTCAGAGGCATATGACCTCTTGCAGGATCCTTATCAAATGTTGAACATTGTCTACGACCTGCTGCCGATTGAACGTGCGATCTATAGGCTGCGGCTTCAGAACCTAACCAAATGCTCTGGCCACTCGTGCTTAGTATAGTCAAAGCTGATGGGGAAATTCCCAGTGCAACTTGTTATTGCTTATAGCCAATGAACACATTGCGGTGAGATAGTTTAATCTTGTTGATCTGTTTGCTATAATCTCAATGTCAAGGTGCATCATGCTACAAAATTTCTCACTACTTGCAGTCGCAAGTAGCACCTAAGCCAAATGCAACAACTAAATACATTTATAGTAAATATAATTTATATATTAGACTGCAAGTTTAGTTAAATTTGTTTATTTGTTTATCATAAATTTGTATGATTTAAGTATCAATGTGTATTTAAAGTTGGATATTCCAATTGAACTAGCGGGAGTACTGCAAATTTAAAGGCGTTTAGAAGTTGAATTCTTTTGATTTAGCTATCACTTACATGCTGGGCAGGTCGGCCTCGGCCTGAGACAATCGCATTTCCGTTTTGGTCGACAGAAACAGTGCGTCCATCCGGACGCGTCCATACTGAAACTTTTTTGTTCCACACGCCAGCCTGATCATCACGGGCTACAAAGTTTTCTCCTTGCACCCGAGCATCATTAATGCCGCGGCGTCCACGTTGAATAACATATCCTCCGGGACCAACATCTACAGTTCGGCCAGGACGCTCAACGTGAAGTTGTGGGCTGCGGCGTCCACGTTGAATAACATATCCTCCGGGACCAACATCTACAGTTCGGCCAGGACGCTCAACGTGTAGTTGTGGGCTGCGACGTCCACGTTGAATAACATAGCCTCCGGGACCAACATCTACAGTTCGGCCAGGACGCTCAACGTGTAGTTGTGGGCTGCGACGTCCACGTTGAACAACAAATCCTCCCGGACCGACATCTACTGTTCGGCCAGGACGCTCAACGTGAAATTGGGGCTCTCGTCGGTTACGGCGTCCGGCGTGCAAGCCATTGTCAGCAATGTTTCCATTACCAATTTTATGCTGTCCATTTGTAGCTGAAAAGCTAGGACCGGTAATGCTGTGCGTAGCTATAGAAATGCACATTTAGTGGAATTCTTAGATAGTTCTTATAGCTGGACTGTACCTGGTCCTCCGGCATTTTTTCGGTTCACAAAAGTGTTGCCACTCCCATCCGTATAGACGTGTTCGCCCCGCGATGGAGTGTTCTGAAATTTGCCGTCTACTCCGGGCACACTATAGGGGCCTTCATTTTGTCCGCGTATATATACCTGATTGCCAGGAGCTCCAAATACATGGGGCCCATCGCGACCGTCGTATGTGTGTTGGGGATCGGCAGCTATAATAAATATATATCTTCGGTTAGCACTGCTGTGGACATCTCGACCAGACCAGGTTGCTCACCGACGCATAGAACGCCACAAACCACTAAGACGACTGAGCCAAAAGACTTCATTACGCGAATATTCAGTGATGTTCTCAGACAGAATGCTGAGTTGCAACTGAGCTCTGCTTGATCGGCTACTAGTATTTATAGTAGCTAAGCGACTGACATAACATTAGCTCAGACACCTATCAAATTAGCAGCTGGGTGAGCTTTCAGCAGCCGCCTCTGAATTTCCCCAAACGTCACAATCTTATTTGATAAGGCAATGCGATCGGGAATTTCAGAAAAAATCTTACACTATACACTCGTATCACATATGTAATCGTATTGCATACAGAGAGCACTCAGGGTTGTACAGTACTATTCGAGCCGTTGTCTACCCATCCGATTGAGTTTATATTGTAGGTGGTACATTTCTTCAAATCGATCGAAAAGCCAAAACTTTGGCAAGGAAAAGAACAATTTGTATACATTATAATTATTTTATACGTTTAAAATCCTTTCTTTTCCATAGTTTTAGTTACAAAGCGCATAGACAAACAAATTCAATTCCAATTGAGAAAAAACCATAAATTTAAAGGAAAGCTGCTGTTTTCAGATCGGTATAGCGTTTGTACTGAAGTTGAATTGGCATTGACAATGAGTGGCTCGAGCTCGCCAACGAGCTATTCCTCCGGCACTTTCCACTGCAGCTGCTTTCCACGCTCGTACAGAGTTTTGAGGGCACTCGTGAACTTTTTGTCCGCCTGCAATTTCAAGTAGTGCTTATAGAGCTGCAGAGTGGTCCGTGCATCCTCAATGGAGTCGTGAGTCTCCGACTGTATCTTTGTGCCTGGCAAATTTAGGATATATTTAGCAAAAGGTATTCCCAGTCAAAAAAAAAAAAATACGATTACAAACCCAAGAAATGCCAGGCCAGAAAACGCAGCGATACCATTCGATGGTGTGGCATGTGGAACAGGTGCACCGTGTCGATTATTTGCTCGGAGGGCACATAGATGTTGATGACCCTAGAGTGGCCCGAATCTATTGTACCATCTGTTAAACGTTTAAGTATTTAGGTTTCTCACCTGAAATCATTTTTGAGGCCATGTCCCACAAATATGACACCAACATCAACCAGATATTTCAACTTTTGATATGAATACTTGAGGGCCGTCAGTCGCTTATTGCTGAAGTTCGCATCCAAGTCGCCGGGCTTGATCCCAGAAAATTGTGTTAGGTAATCCACGACCTTCTCTTGTGTCGAGATGTAGTCGTCCATGAATGGTACTCCTTCGCTCGCTCCTTGTCTGTGGGCAACGATTTTCTTGATTAGAAAGGCCATTTCGTTGAAGTACTTGACTTGCAGAATTACTTACCCGCGAATACATGAAATGCGGGCCACGCTCATATGGCATGGCTTGATGGTCGCTGTTTTACCATCCGGACGAATTTCATTCTCCTCTGGATTAAGTGTTACGAATTCTGCATCCATTGCGACCAAGTCTCCTGACTGGGGCATTTCGTTGGATTGCAGCGGCTTCAGAGTTGCGTCTGTGCTCAGGTTGCTTGAAATGGGACTCACCATGTCCTGATAAAGTCCACCGATCATTACTACTTGCCCCATACTAATTGTTTGTTACACTCACTTGTAGAAACGGATTGGACAAGCATACAGGTGAATCGGTTGCTTCGTCGGATGGACGCGACTCTTCGGGTACTTCTGTTGTGTCTGGGCTGCTCGCCAAATCCAATTCCTCCTCAATGCTTCTGTAGAAGAGCACGCATGGCACTTTCCAATCCAAAGTGAACCAAACCGACTCTTGCGGCGACACAGGTGAAATGCTAAGGATGCTCAGTTAGCGTCAGTTAGTTGGCGTACCAAATAAACCTACCTGAAATCGTTAAAGATGTACCACTGGTGCTGCGAATCCTCCGAGGTCTCTGAAGCTGCCAGCTTCATGGTGTGGTACTGCCGCTGCACATTTATCAGGGAAACAAGGTTCTTTTGGGTGCCATCATCGACTTGGCAGACGACGGCGTGTAATGCATACATTCGATTGATTTCGCCTTTTTTTATGGATGGTTTCTCCCCCTCCTCCTCCTGTTCGGCTTTCTCTGTATCTGATTGCGTTTGCACGATGAGCTCGCCCTGGTCGGTGATGGTCATGGTAAAGGTCAGCGGGAACCAAGATTTCTGGCGACCGCTGGGCGAACTGCTCGAGTTGTTTGATTGGCTCGTATGCGACGGAGACTTTCTGCAAGAAGTTCATAAGTATTTATATAGACGTCCCTTTGGAATTTATCTAACGGAGCTAACCGATCCGGGTGCATGAAGTGGCAGTCGCTCCGCGAGCAGTTGGCTCCATAGCGACAGGGTTTGCTTGTGCTGAGGGAAGCCGATACCTCCACAGACGGCTTTTCGTTGCAGCGATTGAGATGGCGCTTCAGAAAGCCAATGTCCTTTTCGTTATTGAGGCCGCAATTGATGGCTAGCATTTGCGGAAGAGATGACACCTGGTAAGAGTAAATTCGATTAGAAATCTCAATCCCACAGTCAGGTGCGTGAAATCTCTCACCTTTACGCTCTGATTAGTTGGCGAAAACTTTTTACAGTTCTCGCAGAATGCCTGAATGCTCTTTTCCGAGCTGAGAGAACGCTTCAAAATAGTTCCAAAGTTGAAATACTGCTCACTATCTTTGATGTGAGTGGGATATGACATGTTACAGGCCAGCAGCAGGTTCTCCTTCGATTTCTGTGAAATTAAGTCGTTTAAAAACTATGCTCGCAAACAATTGTATTCATTTATCTCTACCTCAACGTGACATTTGATGCAGCGGTTTATGCAGATCTGCTTAGTGCCAAATATTTTGCTAATGTCCGTTTCTGCGTTTATTTTGCTGCGTTCCCTATCATCATCCTTGGCGGTGTCATCTATTAGTGTGGATTAAAACGGGGATATACAACAATACAATCGAATGCAAAAAGTCACCTCATACCTACCACAAATTGAGTCGTATAGGTCTGTGGAGACGCTTGTGTCGACTGTGCTTGAGCTCTCAGCTAAAACATAAACTTTGTTTAGTATTCACACCCAATCAGGATTTTTCAGGTTTACCATTATTCGGGGCATGCACAGTGCCGCCTCCCACAGACGAGTTCTTGCTGGAATCGAAGATTTCGTAATGCATTTGATGCAGTATAAATCGGTTCCAGTTCTGTAGATGGTTTTGTTATCTCCAAAGTTCAGAATATTACCAAATATATGTATAGAACTTACCTGTATCAATGTGATTAGGTTTACATTTGCCGACCGGTCCGTGAGGATCAAGCCCAAGGCGGAAGCCTCCGGCACTGTGCGAAAAGAACGCAGAAAATTGCTGGCTTGACAAGGCGAAGAAGCTGCAAAAAAAGAGCGAAATCAAATTAACTTCACCGCTGGTAACTGGGGCAGGTGTGGACCAACCGCTACTCTTGTCCAGCATGTTGAATAGGAAGCCCAGCTCACAGGACAAGCAAAACTCCTTTGTGCAGACATGTTCGATGAGTTTCATGCGCAGCGGCTCTGTAAAGTACAGGATCTGCAGAAGGTGTGAGCGTATAATTATTAAAATACATTGGCTATCATTAGCTGATAGGGATGTCAGACCTGCAGCATGGAGTTGCAATAGGAATTCGGCAGCGTCGCCTCCAATCCTGCGAAGCACGTCTGATTGTGTTGATCGAAGTCGAAGTCCTGAGTGCCAAGCTTTGTGTACTTGAGCTCAACTTTACGATATCGCCTTGGAATGATTTTGACGCCGTTCTCTGCCTTGGTAACCGCCGTAGCTCCGTTCCCATTAGTGCTGCCTGCTCCCCCTGGTTCAATTACATACGGAATCTGATTCCGTCGAGCTGTGCGTGGATTCGGCGAGTACCCAATAGGGCCTTGCATTTTCATGCTGCTCAGTACATCGGGCTCAATGGTCTTGGGTCTGTGGTAGCGATAGTGCAGCAGCTCCTCGGGCCAATCGGAGAACCACTGTGTGCCTGTCGTCAGGTGGGGCAGCATGATCGATGACAGCGGGAAGTTCGTATCCGTAATCGAAACTACAGGCAGCTGCGGCACCACATCTGCGAACTCGGTGTTGCGCGAGAAGGGATTGAACTGCGGCTGAGGCGTTTGCACTGACGCAATCATGTTTATGTGGCCCGACTGGTCGCCGAATGCCATCGCCTGCGAAGAGGAGCTTATGTCGAAGCTGAGGCACTGGCTGCCATTTGTGTTGATCTGATACATTGAGACTCGAGGCTCGCTTAGCTCGACAGTGTCGACCAACTGAATTTGGCCGTAGCTGGAGACGACGGCCAAGCGGGATGTCAGAGATGGGAGAAACTTGAGCATTTGGGGATCAATGAGAACTTGTATGGGGGAAATTAGTCGCAGCATACGCAGGTCGTAGACCATGAGGAAGCGATCTATTGCCAAGTTGTTCTGCCGCCCGCTATAGCCGCACGAGATAAGAAGGTTGCCCTGCACACTAAAGTCGGAGAGGACATTGGTATGAGTTTTAATTGTATGCTGCACACTCAAGCTGTTCAAGTCGCGCAGCGTGACCGTCCCAAACTGATCACCGGCAAAGAGGTATCGCGAGTTCTTGCGTAGCACCGTGCAGCCGGCGGCGCCTACGTGTTCCAATCGGGTTTCCTTTAGCGTACGCAAGTCAAAGTCAATCAGCTCCTCCTGGAGTCCAGCCATAACCAAGCGATTGGGTGATAGTTGCAGCATGCACACCATTTCCGCCATATGATTGGATCTGTAAGGATCCCAGCCGATCCATTGATATCATTCATTTGCTCAGACATTTCTTCACTTACTTGTGAGTGAACTTGGGAAGACCTCTTCGAATTTGGTGTCGCAGCGAGGTCTGCGTTAGCACAAGCACTCCCGAGTCCAGGGTTGCGATTTGACGGACTATGTCGCTTGCGTGCACTTGGAATGATGTATATTTTTGCATGGAGCTCGTATAGTAGGAGGTGACATGGCCCTGAAGATACGACTTGCGTTAGCAGAGAAATATCAATGCCCAAACGGGCTTCCTCTTACTCCCTGGTTTCCCATCCACAGCAGCTCCTCATAGTCATCGAAGACCACACTGGAGACGCCGAAGTGCTCCCCACCATCGGCGAGAACTGGGACCAGTTCCACATAGTCAGCATCGGTGGTGCCTATATTGAAGCCATTGAAACTTGGGGAAAAGTGTCCAGTGCCGCGCGCTGGTCCCCCATCGTAGACATCTGAAACGTAAACAAAGGAGAAAGCTTTTCTGATTTTGTGCGAATTTCAATAATGCACACGCATACAAATGCAAGCGTTTGTGTTCGTATGCACATATCTGTGGAATGAGAATGGGACGACTGACGTTCGACGTACTTAATATATCCTCTGAGGCGCCGATTTGATCGGAGCCACAATAAACGTAATCCATCTGATCTACTACACTGTGCTTGTGTGCATATATATTTTTTGTTTGTTTTGTTTTACTTCTTGCTGGTTGCCAGCCGTTTTCGTTTGCATTTGGGGCACTCTATCGATACCACAACAACAATTACATACATCGACACGAAGACAGTGCTGCCAACTTTTCATCAGAAAAAAGTTTACTTGGACAAGAGACAAGAAAAAGGCCTAAAGCCAAGTACTCCATCGGAAATTAGCTCGCAAACAGAATCGTGTTAGATATTAAAAAAAAAAACCTAATTTGTCTAGTAACGTGATACGATACTCAATAGTGGTTTTACAGTGAACCTGACACCCATAATTACGATGTTACGATTTTTAAAGCATATTATCTTTAATTTATAGATTTTTTTGTGTCTTGTCCAAGTTAGAAACGGCTTTTTTTTTCTGATGAATTATAGTGTTATCAAATCAAATTTTTTCGATAAATACACTGATCGAAATACAATGCTGCGTACAACATCCACCGTCAGCAGGAAACACGGAATATATTTTGTCAACTTTTTACGGACAAAAATTAAAACAAGAATGGCAGCTTTGCAGCAAATTGTGGAAAATAATGAACGCGCTGAGGCGTTAGTTGAGTCCCTCAAGTCAGAGGCAAGTCAAGTATTCTGGGACTCTAAAAAAAAAAAAACTATTTTCATCTCACTTTTGCGAAAACAGATGGCCGGGATCCAATATCAGCTCGTGCTCCGCAAGAAACAAGAGCTCATCACGGAAAACGCCGCACTGGAAAAGGAAATCGAAGCTGCATTGGCAGAGCTAGTGCAACTCGAACTCAAGAATGGCAAGCCACAGATATTGGTCCCAGGCAACCGATCATTCTGCACCGACGCCGCCGCAGCAGCAGCAGCAGCGGTTGCTCCTTCAAATGGACCTGCAAGTGAGACGAAAGCGCCTTCCGCTCCACCAAAGGAGAAAAAGGTAAAGGAAAAGAAAGCAGCTGCCGAGAAACCCAGTCCTGTTGCAGAGGCTCCAGTTGATGTCGGCCGCTTGGATCTGCGCGTTGGAAAGATTATTGAGGTGGGTCGTCACCCCGATGCGGATAGCTTGTACTTGGAAAAAATTGACTGTGGCGAAGCCGCCCCACGCACGGTCGTCTCAGGCCTGGTAAAGTTCGTGCCGATCGAGGAGATGCAAAACCGTATGGTTGTGGTCATGTGCAACCTGAAACCAGCCAAAATGCGCGGCGTGACCTCAGAGGCTATGGTGATGTGTGCTTCGACGCCGGACAAAGTGGAAGTGCTGAGCCCACCTGTGGGCGCAATTCCTGGGGATCTCGTTCACTGCGAGGGATACACACGCCAGCCGGATGCTCAGCTAAATCCTAAGAAGAAGGTCTTTGAAGCGTGTGCTCCCGATCTAATGACGAATGCCGACCTGGTGGCATGCTACAAGGGCTCAGCTCTGCATGTTCCTGGCAAGGGCAATGTTGTCTCTCAGTCTCTGAAAAACGTGAATGTGAAGTAAACCAATAAACGAACAAACTCCGATAATTCTGACACGCCTCGTACTCCACTTGCTCAGCGTTTCAGGGATTTGATTTAATTTTATTTTACAGGATTTTACATCAACATAACGACATTAAATTTAGTATTAACAATAACTTTTGTATGTATGTATAGATAAAGCATATGCATAAATACTCCGTACACAATTTGGCGGTTCGTGTGGGGGGTGGGGGTTCCTATAACTTCCGACTGATTGTTAGCGATTACGTTGTGGTTGCTGCGGCACATCGGTCCGGTATATGGCATTGGAATTGGACTCGACGACTATCGTTTTTGTCAATATGTCGTAGGCGGTTCGATTGTTCTTGAAAAATATCATAACAACGCAGATGGGAAACAGCAGCGTCATTACAAGGTTCTTCGCAAGGGCTCGCGCGAAGGCCCTCAGCAATTTTGGGGTCTCAGCGGGATAGAGCAGGGCTCTCAGTGGTTCCCGCTGCGGCTGGAAAACAAATTGTGGCACGACGGGTGCCTGCAGAGGAACAACTGCCTCCACATAGTGTATGCGTATCTTCATCAGCGATTTGCCAGGCGTAGCTCCGTTGTACCAGACAGTCCAAACTGCCTCATAGCAGCACACTATCATCTTGGTTAGCATCTCGATCATGAGCAGATCGGACGACATATTTATAAAGTCCATGGAGATGTCGAAGAAGTTCACAAAGAGATCCTCATCTTCCAGTGTCCTCCGCATAACGTCCTTGTCAAAATCAATATCAAATAGATTCACTATGCCAAAGGTCACAATTATTTTCAATATGAACAGGATGAGCATGTCGATTGCCTCCGCAACGGCTCGCTTCCAAAAGGGCGCGACCACATACTCATAGCCTCCCACACGCTGTATGGTCTCGTGCTGTTGGATCTCGTCCAGCACCCGGAATCGGTTGAAGGCGGCCGGAGCTGCCGCAGGTGCTGGCGCACTTCCAGTTTCCTGTGCCCTTAGCGGGGGACTCGACAGGATGGGATTCGGTTGAAAGAGCTGCGGGTAGTTGGCGAGCAAGTAATATGGAAACATTGCCATTGCATTTTGTGAGATGGATGCTTGTTTTGCCCATTCGGAGAGACTGGCGAAATACGCTTCCTTCGTTGTCAGTTCCTGGCTGATGGCTGGGTCAGTAAGAAGCTTTTGCAGCTTCTCTTCGATTTGCTCGGTCATACTGTCGACCGTATGAAGTAATTTATTATTGTATTTTGTTTTTTTTTACTTTTTTTTACTACCTCGGGGTTGACGTGTTTTTGAGCTGCTGCTAGAGGTGGAAAAGCATCGATGTCGTTGTTTTCGATGTTTCAGATTAAAACATCGATGAAACGTGATGTTTTGCAAGGTAAATATTTAAAATCGAGCGGGAACTTTGTGAGCCTCGGGCAAACGCCCAACTTTTATACCCCTTATACGACTATATGTGGGATCCCTTCCATAACAATGAATGAACGGGATTTTTAATCAAGTAATATTACACAGTTCGAAGTTGTTTAATTTATTCCTTAAATGTAGCCACTTACAAAACGAATGCATACATTAATCCAACACTCCAGCCATGATATTTAATATTCACTTTGAGAAACAAATGTGAGATTATCTTAAGATGCGGACCGTACCGATTAAAAGTACATTGCCAAATCTTTTACTTAACATACTCTCTTTCTTGCATGGATGATTTATGCACGATATATGTATTAAATCCTAGCTAATATTTCAATAGAACGCGTACATACACATAATTCGGAAGTGCATTATAGGTTTTAGTTGTAGTTAGATTTTTATTATTTTGGTGTTAGACAAAGTTATGGTATAATTGGAATAGATTCGGCGAACGGGCGCCGCACTGCACACCCTGTACTGCCCTGCAAACCTTGAACATTTTCTAATACATGGCTCGACGCGAGAGGCAAGTGGATAATTCTGCTATCAATACGTGTGTTTTGCTCAAACGCGTCTCTACACAACTAACTAACTGGCAAGTTGTACATCAAATGGATATAACCTTATCATCTCATCACACATACACTCTCATCTGCAACGCGAGACATACGCTTGTCTTAAAATTAATTAAAGGAATACATACATATACATAAATACAATCTGTATTTATTGCCAAACATTACCGATATTTAAGTTTCCGAATTGCTGATTCAGATTGGATGGTACTGAGGAGGCAGTGGGGCCAGCCGAGGCGGGGAATCCAATCGGTCCGGTTTGGGGAGCCATAGGCAAGCCAGTGGATAGGGGTTGCATGACATTCATGGAGAGGCTCGCCAGCTGTGGGTGTTGCTGCTGCTGTGAAACCGCCTGCGGGTGTGCCCCAAACAGGGGCATCCCACTAAGAATGCTTTGATTTGTCTGCATCAGATTCGAGCCAGATCCTTGCACAGGTAAGCTACCGCCTGCAGCATAAGGACTGGCGCCAGAGTTCAGAAACTGTCCACCGCCAAAGCCGACTCCACCCACACCCGCCATGCTCATTGAATTGGCACTCGAGCTGATGGGGGCGTTGCTGAACGCGTTCGGAGCAGCCATTACAGGGGCATTGTACATGCTAACTGAGTTCGGGGGCGTCATAAATTGATGTGGAATCTGCTGCTGCTGTTGCTGATGCATGTATCCGCCAGGAGCCATGCCTGTGAATCCGCCAAAATTCAGTTGCGGATTATGAGTGGTAGGTGTATTTCCGTACAGAGCCAGGATACTGTCCTTAGACAGCTTGCCAGACTGGTCCTTGTCGTTGGCCCCATTCCCCAGCGAGCCTTGGTTGAAGAAGTCCTGCTCCTCCTGTGCCAATGAGTTGGGCTTTGAGGCCAGCAGGGCATCACCATTGTTCCCATTAAATTTCTCCTGGTGACCTGTGGCAGTATCAGTCGGGATGATGCCACAGCTGCTGGCACTTAGAAAGCTGGTGAAACTTTCGTTTTGAAGGTCTTGGCTAGCAGTGGTGGCAGCCCCACCGCCCACTATGGGCTTAGTGGGCGATGAAAGCCCCAAAAGATCACTTTCGCCGGCGCTGCTATTTAATTGTACACGATGTGAGGTCTTTGGGCTGCAGCCGCCAACTTGGTTCGGCTTGGGCTTGGGCAATGGGGCGGGTAGTGGCGAGTTTTTGGATCCAGTCGCCGATGTGGAGGCGCGCTTGTCGACAGCGCTTGCAACGCCACTGAGACCCAAGCTGGCTTGGGTACTTTTCTTTTTCCTCTTCTGCCGCTCTAGTTCTTCATCGATTTCCTTGGCCCAGTCTACTTTGGGTGGTGACGGCGGCACCCATTCGCGGGCCAAATACTTTTTGTGTTCGTACTTTGCACGAATAAAGTTCTCCAATGCGGTGTCCGTTTGTGGCCGTCGGAATCCGTCCGGAAGCTGCGCCTCGTACACGGCGCGGGCCCTAGAGTTTCCCATTTGCTGCAGCGAGATCACTTGCTCCGGCGTCCAAGTATCCAGATTCACTGACTTGACACGTGATATATGAACACCCAAATTCCGGTGGATGCCAGCGCAGCGGATGCACAGGAACATGCCCAAGTTCCAAGACGCCCAGCGGGGACCTGTTAATGAATGCAGTTCATATTTTATAGTACTCTCAAACTCACGACTGTACATAGATGTACATATTCATGTAAATGATGAAGAAAATTTCTTTGCAATCCTGGCAAGCTATCAATTTTATTTATCTCACCAGTCAACCCATTCTATTATGTTGTGTACATAAGTTCACATATACATAGATAAGTATGGATGCATATGTGTGCTGATGTACATCCGTACGGTCGCCAGTAGCGAAATAAATCATAAATTATGTATTGCACCTACCTTTGGCATCGCAGTCAACGCAATATTTGTTATCTTCGTCGCGTAGCATTTGGGTTAATAGGGTTTGACATTTTTCCTGTATCAGTTTGGTGCGTTGGCCTGCATTTGAAGAAGAACTCATTTTCCTGCACTTGTCTCTTCGCTCCAATGTATTGATGTTTGCGAATGTACGTGGATGTTATGTTGTACTGTACGTGTGCGCTGCTGCAACGTGGCGTTGGAGACGAAGAGGTGCTTTAGACCTTATCTACTCTTTTGCATGGATACAAACACAAGCAAATTTATTAATTTTGGTTTTTATCAGAAAAGTTTTGTACCGAAAAGAGTACGGAATACGTCTGCGTAGGGTATATATCGATATATATATTTTGTGTAATATATTTCTCGATGATAGTTTTTTGCCCGATAGTTTTGTTTGATATTTAAATTTTTGCGAATTTGACGGACTAAAAACAGCTTCATTCCAATAACAATTTTTACTGAACATAAGTAATTGTATGTAAATTGCCCATACCAACTAAAGATTTTAGAAAACATCGCAAGGTACATCCAACATTGATAGTACTACATCTACATGTTTTTTGCCATTCCTAAAAAATAAAATTGAGCGCTTAAATACGAGCAACCGGGCATAATTGCTTTTTTTCGATCTACTTTTTCTCACTTTCTGCCTCCTCCTTTCCAGCGCTCAAATGGCAGAAAACGGTTAAATTCAAATCTGAGATACCAGGCGAACAGAAATCAGCAGAAGGTCGCTGCTTTTTTAATTTCTCTTTTTTCTTGTTTCTATTTGTATTTCGTTGCTCTCTCTTTTCGCTCTAATTTATCTCATTTTCTGCATCCACTTTCCACCGCTCAAATGGCAGAAAACCGTTAAATTCAAATCTGAGATACCAGGCGCACAGAAATCAGCAGAAGGTCACTGGTTTTTTTAATTTCTCTTTTTTAGTGTTTCTCTCTATATTTCCACCGTAAAGTGGAGGCAGAAAATGAAAAAAATGAGAGCGAAAAAAGAGAGCAACGAAATACAAAGAGAAACATGAAAAAGAGAGAATTAAAAAAAATCAGCGACCTTCTGCTGATTTCTGTGCGCCTGGTATCTCAGATTTGAATTTACCGTTTTTTGCCATTTGAGCGGTGGAAAGTGGAGGCAGAAAATGAGAAAAAGTAGATAAAAATAGGGAGCAACGAAATAGAGAGAGAAACACAAAAAAAAGAGAAATTAAAAAAAGCAGCGACCTTTTACTGATTTCTGTGTGCCTGGTATCTCAGATTTGAATTTAACCGTTTTCTGCCATTTGAGCGGTGGAAAGTGGAGGCAGAAAATGAGAAAAACTATATCGATAAAAGAGAGCAACGAAATACAAAGAGAACCAAGAAAAAAAGATAAATTAAAAAAAGCAGCGACCTTCTGCTGATTTCTGTGCGCCTGGTATCTCAGATTTGAATTTACCGTTTTTTGCTATTCGAGCGGTGGAAAGTGGAGGCAGAAAATGAGAAAAACTATATCGATAAAAGGGAGCAACGAAATAGAAAGAGAAACACGAAAAAAAGAGAAATTAAAAAAAGCAGCGACCTTCTGCTGATTTCTGTGCGCCTGGTATCTCAGATTTGAATTTAACCGTTTTCTGTCATTTGAGCGGTGGAAAGTGGAGGCAGAAAATGAGAAAAACTATATCGATAAAAGAGAGCAACGAAATATAAAGAGAAACAAGAAAAAAAGAGAAATTAAAAAAAGCAGCGACCTTCTGCGGATTTCTGTTCGCCTGGTATCTCAGATTTGAATTTAACCGCTTTCGGCCATTTGCGCGGTGGAAAGTGAAGTAGTAACTTGGTGCTATATTTGGTGAGTTTTTCAGACTGTTCATTTGCCGTGTCAACAGCCAGAGATATCGCCCTACCACCAGCAGCAAATTCATGAAACGACACATTAGCAGCAACAATTGAAAGCAAAATTACAGTTACAACAAGTCCTTAAACTCTAACAGCAATGGAAACACAAATATCCAACCGCAATATCAACAACAGCAGAGTCACCAGGAGACGATGGCGCGCCCACATAAGAAGCCTCACCAGCTATAAGAATGAAAAAAGCAAGCAAAATGATTGAATTGTTTTAAATCAGGCAAAGATTTTAGAGACGTGTTAGGAAAGAAATCTTGGGCGTGATTATTTCGAAATTATATTTGTTTGATATTTTCCTCCAATTAGCCAGTTAGTTATTCCTTTAGTTGGTATGTACTAAGTACTAGGTCCTCTGGCTTTTACATATCTCGTACTAAAAAGCGGAAAAATAAAACCAAGCGCCGTTAACTATATAAATTTAAAATATTTTAGAAACCACCTCCCCTCCAGTAATAGAAAGTTGTTAAAGTATACGAAAAAAATAGTTTATCAATGAACACAAAAATAAATATTTTGAAAATAACGAATACGATGCATGTGGTCTTATCGAAATGCAACAGTGTGTACCTGGCTTTGCGTTTTACGAGTGCCGCTTCAAAACAAGCCACCTTTCAAATAGATTGTATACCTTGCCTCAACTCTCGATTAAACTCTTACTTATGGAGGACCTGAAGAAAAAACTAGAGTCGTGTCTTCTTATACTAAACAATGGTGTTGAAGCCACTAGTTTTAGAAATATGAACTGGCTGAATGTACGGTAAAAGAACTTACAGTGTCAGAGAAGATATTACGATGGTTCTTTGTTCGCAGGATTTCTGTGCGGCTCTATTGGAATTTTCATCTGCTGTCCACAAATCTTTAAGCGATCGGAAGCAGAACGACAAAGGTCACGAGTCCGCAGAATTGGTTTGTCTTTGCCTAACTCAGATTATGGTGTGTGTGCGGCAGGTAGAGTGCACAATGAAACTGGCGTCTGGCTCTGCAGTTTCGGTAAATATCTCAACAAATCTCATATTTCTGAATCTTTTAACACGTTTATATATAAATTTGTTTGTTATGTTAGGCGAGCCACGTTTATTTCTTCGATCGCATACGCTGGTGCCTGCAACGCCTGTTGCATCTTTATTCGAGTGAAGAGTCTATAGATGATGGTCAGGGTCGCTCCTTCCTCAAGTTGCTAGACTCCACGTTGGACACGTTAGCTCTGTTCAGTTCAAACAATGAGGAAAACAGTGATTTGATGAACTTTCCGAATACACCTGCAGAAATCCTGGCCCTAAGCGCACAGCTGCGCATTAACATCGATTTGCTATTGGGCCAGACATTGGGGTTCGCGAATGTGGCCCTGCAGCAGGATAAAAGGGCACTAAGTGCCCTGTGCCAGAAGGTAGGCAGATCGATGTACCTTCCATTCCTTATTATACTTATATTTTGTTATTGAAGGTAATTCGCGAGCTCAGCGCATTTCAAAATGAATGCAAAGTCCGGAACTCGTCGAGCTCCAATCTCAAACTTAAGGCCATGACACTGGAACAGGCGCTTTATCAGCTAGAAGATTTCATCAATGATGCCTTGCTGCGTTTGGTGTTCACCTGCTTTTTGGATTTTCAAAAGTTCTCGGTGGACAAGATACGAACCCTTTTGAGGAGCAGTTCGGATGATGAAGCTATAGCTGATGAATTCATTGCCGATTTCGATGTGAATATCGATCGAGCCACCCAGATTGGTATTTTTGCAATTGCCTTTGCCCCCAACTTGAAAAGTATGCGATCCTTGAATTCCGAATATTACAAATAGAAAAATGCGCTAATCTCATTCAATATTTTACCGCAGTGAAAACGATGATGCGCAGCTGTCTGGCTTCCTTTGAGTCGTTGGACACTAGCCTGATACCTTCCCTGCAGGCCATCGGTTCCGACCTGCACTCGGAGGTTTTGGAACAACACTTCGACGAGGAAGTGTCCAAGTTTAAGGCTGCGCTACAGGAGATTATTGACAGTCGCGCGTTTCTTGGCTGTTGCTTGGAGATCCTCACGGCAGGCATTAGTGTGGCCGAGAAGCACTACGAAAAGGGCGCATTGGAGGACTTGCTGCAAATGGCTCTGTTCGTGCTGGAGCATTTTCAAGTGGAAGTCAATCGAACGGTTTTGGCTGAAACGAAGCTTCAGATCGGGCAGGAGTACTTGCAGCAGTTCATACAAATAATACGCGAGTGCAAAGCCATACTGATGTGTGCGTCCCAGGTGGAGCAGAAACGTATCATCAAGCGCTTCAAGATACTGCGGACGGTTTTGCGCAAGCTACATGGCTGTATCGGAGCTTCAAGTCATCGTGAAGAAGGACCGAACTCCTTGGAATCTCATTTGATGGACGAAACCCAAGCAGAGCTGATTGAAACCAGCTTTTCGGGTATTGCGACGACCCAATGCAGCATCCTCTACGACACAGTGCGTAGGAGGAGATTGGCTAGAGCCCCCGAGACAAAGCCTAAGGAACGTAATCAGCAAAATCTAAAGTCAGTTAACTATAGTGTGCGGCGCCGTAAGTAGAATTGCTAGAATTATAAATTATGAAATTATCTCTAAAACTTGTGCTAATTTGCAGGGGAAAGTCTGCGCACTGTGATGTTTAAGCGACAAAATATGGCGGAAAGCAAAAGAATGTATACCACAATCAGTAACCAATCTACAAACCTACAGATAACAGGTAAGTCGGACATGCTTACTCGAATTTATTTGAATACATGGCTAGTTAAAACATTATTCTAGATATACTCGAACAACTTACTGGAATGTCAACGGGTGTCTTTCAATGCTGACTGCGCGCATCTTCCATTATCAGATTGTAAATAACTAAAAATAGTTTTAAGCACTCCATAATCGAAGCCCCACGATTTGAATTAACGTACATCAGAAGCTAAATGCCATTGGGCAGGTGCGACAAGTACAGGGAGACATACACACGCAGATATGTATGGTATTTTGGTGGTGGAGAGTGTGTTAAGAGAAACAGTTCTTTGGCTTTTCCAAAAATAAAGCAATACATTAAGTTAAATACAAAGTAAAAATTACACTTGGTGGTGCAACGGAGCAGCAGCCTTTTTAGGCATCTGTAGGCCAGCCAATTCCAAAATGTGAAGCCGTGTGGCAGTAGTAGTCCCTATCGATTTTCCAACTCGAACAGAAGTACGACTTTAATCACTAGCAGATACATACAGCTATTTGAGTGATACATGGTTAGACGTTAGACCATGCAATCACAATTCAGCGACAAGTTAATTTCTGAGAATGAAGTCGAGGCCCCGTCCACGGCCAGCGAAGTAAGATACAGCGGTCCAGGCAAAGGCGATACAAACAACCACCATGTGGTCCCGCTGGGAATCCTCATGGTACTCTGCACAGTGTATCTCGTGGCTGTTGGGGCCCAACGATACTATTTCGAGCCCGGCGTTGCTGCCCTCGACCTATACAGTTCCGATGTTTCTCTCGACGAAGGCTATCCGGAAACTATTGAGGACATGCCAGTAAACTACCTGAGATGCGCAAAGCTGGAAATCTTTGGAAAAGAAACCGCACAAGATAGTGACAGCACTCCGTCTGGCAACCAAATGGCCAAGCCACCCCAGTCCAGGGCTGGCAAACGAACTAGAAATGGACCAGCTGGAGGCGGTGCTAGTAAGCGTCCTCGCGGGGGTAAAGCTGTGGAGAGCAACAGGAAAAAGCAGGAGCAACCCAAGAAGAGCAACACAGCAGAGCCCATAATATATCTGTTTGCCCTGGTCTTTATTTATCTGCTGCTGAAAGCTGCATCCGACATTAATCAGCACTACAAGTCGGTAAGAATAATACATTCTGATCCTTCTACTAGATGTGTTTCAATTACTTCTGATTCTTTTTATAAACAGCAGAACAAAGGTGACAAACGTTTGCGCCGTTGTTCGTTGCAATCCTATGCACAAATACATAAGCAGGATCGGAGGGCCTCAAAAGGTATTTCTCCAAAAACTTTGCCAAAATTTTAGGGGTGTCATGTAACTCGCTGGGCCGGAGATTACACAACAAACAGTTCAGGTTAATGAGGGAACAACTTAAATATCTAAATGTACTCTACTCTACTCGTATTTATTACTACTATTTGTGTACTTAGTAAACTTTCTGTACTGTGAAGCACTTGTCCACTCATATATATACATACATATGTATGAGAGATATCTTTCTGACTGTTTCAGAATAACAAACTCTTTATATATTGTATACTTTTGATCTCTACAATCCTTCAATGGCACCTCTACTATAGTGATATATGTATTTATACTATCGTGTTGATGTACGTTTATGTATGTTTTTGAATCGTCCTCACACTATGCCTATCTTCCACTCCTGCTGTGTGAAACTGTACTGAATGTAAGATATATGTATCTATTAGATTACTTGCTGGCATACTCTGTCCTACGTAGTACTATACTATATATGTGTATGTGTGTAATCGTAAAATAAATCAAATACTGTGCGCTTCCTGTGATCACTTTACGAATATGTAGCCATGCCCAGCTTGCGTTTTATTTAACTTTTCCCATGGGTGTGCTACTGTTACTGAAAACATTTTGCTGATCTATGAACTGATCTGACACTATCTGATCTTCACTTTCTGCACGCACAACCGCTCTTTCATCACGCCACGCCTTTCATCACAGTACTCGAAGAGTCACCGATTTTCCGGCGCAGGCACATACTATTGGGAGAGGTGCGGGCCTCGTCGGTCGATCGCTATAAGTACACACTGAACGAGGAGGGAACCCACACCGTGTGCACCCCGCGGACACTCTATCATCAGCACAGGGCTCCAGCCGCATCACCGTTAGCATACAGACCGGCAGGAGATCGAGATTCTGCAGCACGCACTGGTAAACGCACACAGTTACAGTCACGGTATGGTATGTCACGCAAACAGCTCTAAGCCAAACTGTTTTCTCCCTCAGAGACGCGCCAAAATCGCCGCTCATCCGTCCCCATCAGCATAGACTATCAAACAGTTCATGTATCAAATATCAGTCCATATACTTCCGAATTGGCCAGACGCGGCTCTGTTATCAGCCTCACAGGTCCGAATCAGCCAAATGTAGATCCAAATGCTGTGTCCAGTGGAACACTTGATCCGAAACGTCGCGTCCGCATGATAAATCGTCATTAAATCCAGGATTCATTCAACTCAATCAATCCTTCAACAACGATCAACAAGACAATCAAATCAATAGAAGACAACAGACGACAGTTTTTTCCCCATAATAATTGGATAAATCATTGTGTCATCATATGTTTGTTGTTGTTCTTAATGCGTTTCTTTTAATCAGTTAATTAATTCATTAAGCTATAGTATTATTCAAGTATTTTAAAACGTACCCGCCCATGCAATCGGGAGACACCAGAATTTGTACACACTTTTCCCGTATTGCACAAGCGGCGTGCGGCAGAACGAGGAAAATGTATTCCCATCCATTATGCCGATTTCTATGGTACATTATTCTACTTAAGGCAAGATTAAAACCATCTTAGGATAGCGTACAGCGTATTTTGGAGCTCAGTACCTACAACATTATCATTAACTACGAACTAACCTACAATCTTGTGATGCTCATTGCAATGACAATTACATACGTTTATGTATCTTCGAAGCGGATGACAGGGTGTAAGAAAACATTAGTTACATATTTATACTCGTATCGTATTGGATTGTTGAGTCGGAAACTTTATTTTGGAGATAGAGTAATGGAATTTGGCCTGCAATCAGCAGGGGCACGATGTGGCTTAGATCTAGTACACTACAAGGATATTCTACAAGGATTCTTCTTTATCGAATTTTGCGCTAGCTTCTCCTATTATATTAAATTTTAAAATAAATTACGTATTTTAATTGCATGTGGTTAGACAGGACTGGACAGGACAGGGTGCTATTCCATTCCGTTGCATTTAACTAAGCTCGTTGCCCTCGTAGAGACTCTCGCAACTCTCCAGCAGGCGCAGCACCGGCGATATGTCGTACGGGTAGAGCTGGCGGGAAACTAGGCGAGATATCTGCAGGCGCAGTCGGATCAGCACGCCCATGGCCTCGTCCAGCATGGCGTTTCCCATGCCAAAGCTGTGGCAGCTGTGCACAAACATGGTCCAGTTCATGCGGATGTACTTGAGCAGGCGCAGCAGATAAAGCAGGAAGCAGGTCTCGTTGCTCACCAGCAGATCCAGCAGCAGGTCCGAGCTATTCGAAGTCATCTTGAGGAACTCCAAAAACGTATACACAGGATTCAGCATGGCCACCAGTTCGGGAAAGGCATTGTTGCGAAAGGAGATGCCCGACGTCACGTCCAGGGTGCAGACCATGGCCTCGATCAAGTGATCGTCCTGGTCATCGAATAGGTGAATCAGGATCTTGCTGAAATGACACTCCGGGTGGAACTCCAGGGTCTGCTTGATGAACGTCTCCAGCTTGCTCAGCACATCCCGAATGGAGCGCTCAATCAGCATCATGTCCTGGAAGGCATCGTAGTCGCTCGAGTCAATGGACGAGTCGGACGAATCGCTGCGTATCTCCTTCACTGTCACCGCAATCGACTTCAGCACCAGCAGCACCATCTTCTGCAGCAGCGTCTTGTCCATTTCTATTAGGTCAAGCGGCGGCATTGGCGCTCCATCCTCGCCGGCATCCTGCGGTGCAAGATCTGCGGACCGAGCCATTATCGATATGGCGATAGCCCCATTCGCATAAACGAGGGGTGTGCCGTTGTAGCCAATCAGGCTGACCATATTGTCCGGCTGGCGTCGCGGCAGGGATTCGAGTATGCGAAACCCACGGACATGGCACACGATCTGGTGGGCCAGCTTGCAGGTCTCCTCGGGCAGCATGTCCTGCAGCGCTAGCGTGGAGCCATAGCACAGGGCCTCATTGAACAGACACAGCATTTGCTTGTACACGGTGCACGACAGACTGTGGTTGAGCAGCAGCTCAAACTTGTCCAGCTGGGCGTAGTAGGGTCTCGTCTCGTCAATGGATAGATTGGCCTTCACCGAAATGATGTTCTCCCAAAGCTGTAGGAAATTGAGAACGCAGTGCTCCGCCGTATCCTGGTGGGTTGGAGCCATCAGCTCCGACATGTTCTTCACCAACGTAGGCCACTTGTGCTCCAGTTTCTGTATCGTGATGCACTTCAGATGTGTGGTGTCAAAGCTCTCGGAGTCGGTGAGAGTGACCACGTGACATCCGCCGGGAACAGATGCTGGTTGTGCGGGATGAGGGCTAATCGTATCATCATCGTATAGGCCGCCGTTTTGCCTGCGTCTCTCCGTCTCCCTATCTCTGCTTTCTGGCTGCCTCTCGGTCTCGCCCGCTGCATCGTCTCTAAACTGTAGCGCAAAGTAGTTGGTCGCCAACGGCTGATCCTGCACGGGGAAGTGCATATAGCTCACAGCGGCGTCTGCTGGCAGGGCCATAGACGATGCAGCAGCACCAGCAGCACTCGTGGTCGTCATCCAGTCATCGTCTAACGGATGCGTCTCCATATCCTTCCATTCGACGATGCGCTTGATAATGTCCAGGCTGAAGTGGATCTTCTGCACCGCCGCCTGGTCGAGATGCTCGAAGTTGAAGAGTTGGTCAACGATTTTCTGCAACCACTCATCGTTCAGTTCCTGTTTGGCAATCACCAGAAATGCGGCTAGCACACGTCCCGCCAGGAATTGCACATAGGAATTGTTGTAGCCCGCCAGCACGATGATCTCGTCGATAAGCTTGTTGTCGTTTCGAATCAAAGCATCGCACACGTCCATTATTCTCGTACAAATGAAGCCCTTGGCATTCTGCTTCAGGTATATGTCGAACAGCAGCTGCAGATTGGACAGGAACTGCAGCAGCTTGTTGGTGGGCCACTCCCTAAGGTAGGCGATACGTTTCTGGCCGTTTGTGTCTTGCGAATAGTGCGACTGGAACGGCTTACGAAGTGTTCGCTCCGAAACGCCACACAGGCACTGGCGCGTCAGCGACTGCTCGAATTCCAGCATATCATCAATCGATGAAGATGCCGACGCAATGCAGTTGCTCCTATTGCTAATATTACTACTACTACTGCTGCTGGTGGTGATGGTCAGCAGATCTGGCAGTTTTGCGGCGCGATCCACTTCGTCCTTTGTGGCCTCCGGTTCGGTTTGCAGCTCGGATTGTGGCAAGATATTGTGGACTAAGCTCTGTACACTGAGCAGCTGCGCATAGGAGGCCGCCCGGGAGCTGCATGGCGTCGCTGTGGGTGAGTTGTTGGTGCTGCTGGGCGTTGACAGCGAGTGTGTGGAGGACGAGGAGAGCGATGAGCATAGATGATGATTCTTATTGTTGTTGCTATTGGCATCGAGGGCATCCCGCCGATCTAAGATGTCCGGCGGTGACGGTGGCGGGGGCAATGACTTGGAGCCAACTTTGATTTGTTTCTCAATTTTCTGTCTCTTGGTCTGCGGCTGTTCGTTGTGAGCGACTGTTGAGCAGGGACAAGCATCGGCTATGCTGCCACTTGAACCACTGCCAGATCCGGCTCCAGATCCAGCTGCAGATGTAGTGTCCATGTTCTTTGACGTACCCGACGTCTTTGGAATATTTTACTGGATAATGCTTCACGTGCCCGCTGTAAGTTATAAGTCCGTTTAGGCTATAAAATCAAAGCAGCAGCACGAATCGAATCCACATACATACGAACAAGTATTCCGATTTCGTTGGCGTTGCACTGCCACAGCCCAAGCCAGTAACAGCTTCCGTGCTACGCGCACACAAGGTTACGTGTGCAGAGACTCTGTTCCTTGGTTGGAAATGCTCTTTTCTACCAGTTATGCCTGTTTATTCGTGGCAGATGCAGTCGATATACCTGTAGCCAGGTGGGCTAATGGCTTTTCCTAACATTTTATACGACCACAATATGTTTTATACACACTTGTTGCTCACTTGCCACTGGACATGCCAATGTTTGTATTAGTTTCACTTCACTCTCTCGCCTAGCCGATTCGTTTGCCAGTGTTTCACTACAGATTGCGATGCGCACGGTTGGTCAGAACATCTAGCTCCTCTTGTTTATGTGATTTGCACCAGTTTTATTTTGTTTTATTATATTTTTGTTGGAAAAACAACTACCTCTCTTTCTGGTTAAAGTAGCGAGCGCGTCGCCATCTTTTAGGCAGTGTGACCGCGGATTTTAAGATCAAATATACCGTCCAAACTCAGAATTATACCGAAATATACCATCTCAATTTCAAAATGTACCGTAAATATACCGAAGAAAATATCGAACTTAACCCACTTAACACCACTCTATTTGAACAGTTGAGTTGAACACTTTGAGTTAGTTTGTACATTCTTCTTTTAGATAAATCAAATCAACTGAACTGCATTAACTGTTCAATTATTGGATTACTTATAAAAATGGGTTTAAACAAACACGGCCAACGCATAAAACGGTTTTAGCTACGAGCATGGACATTTGTAAACCCTATTTCCTTAAATTAATATTAAATTTCAGGTAAAAAAGTACGGTCCAGTGGCTCAAATATTTAAATAGAGGCGTATTAAGTGTTAAGGGTTAAGTTCGTTTTTGCTCGGTATACTTTTAACGCAAAAATGAGCAATTTCCCATCGAAGCTATCGGTATCAAGAAAAAAATGAAACTATCAATGAAAAAATGAAATGCGTTTCGTAGTTGCCATCTTGGCGGAAAAAGGAAATTACAATTTATTTAATTCACAAAAACGATCATTAACGATCACCAAAGGTTGTCAAATTACAGAAGTAAATTCAAAATTGTAGGTATTTCCGAATACAAATCCAATCAATTCGATTTGATCTGCAAATCAAAACAAATGCTTGGCCGGCGACCTGGCAACTCCGCGTCTTGTTTTTCATTTGACATTGAAGGAATTTTTGACAAATTCCAGCGGTTGCCGAGAACGAAAAGGACTTTGGAAAAATTGCTGCGCGGCTCAGTACGTAATAATTATAACGGCGAAGTTGTGGACCTGTGTTCCGGAACTATACCGGATCCATAGAAAACAGAACCTGTGTCTAGTGCCAGGAACAGTAACAGCTGTATTTAAGTGAAGTGTCGCGATTTGCTCTTGCAGTTGACTTTTGTTTTTTGCGACTTTAAGTTGTGTTAACGAGACCCCACCTCCCAACCTTCCTAAAGAAAAATGGCTGGAACCCTGCCCGCTCTAAACGAGGACCCCGCTTTCAAAAAGCTTCAGGAGTACTACGATGCTAACCACAAGAACATTATTATCAAAGATTTGTTTGTGAATGATCCAAAGCGGTTTTCGAAGTACAGGTGAGTGGGTGGCAGAAAGGACAAACCTTTATGTATCTATATGCATAACGAGGGAGTATACCAACAAGTTTTTATGCATACATACATAAATTGACGAGTATGTGTATGCATACACACTTTCATAAGCATGTGTATGTATGTACTTTTACTTTCATCATCGAATGTAATGTTTCAAGTTCGCTCCCGACGCGTTTGTCCTTGCATAAGGTCAAAGTAACGACCTTTGCTTGTATCACTTGTCGCTTTTGCTTTGAGGTCAAGTGATTTTCCATTTAAACGTTTACGTTTACATTTTTATCAGCCTACGTCTGCGTACCCCAAATGATGGCGAGATACTACTGGACTACTCAAAGAACCGCGTCAACGATGATGTGTGGCCCTTGCTCATCGAGTTGGCCAAGTCGCGGAGAGTGGAGGCGGCCCGCGAGGCAATGTTCAGTGGCCAGCACATCAACATAACCGAGAACCGAGCCGTATTGCACACCGCGTTGCGCAATCGGAGTGCGGACCCGGTGCTGGTGGATAACAAGGATGTGATGCCAGATGTGCGTGCCGAGCTGCAGCACATGAAGGAGTTCACCAACAAGGTCATCTCTGGAGTGTGGCGTGGAAGCACTGGCAAACAGATCACCGATGTGGTTAACATTGGAATCGGTGGCTCCGACCTGGGACCCTTGATGGTCACCGAGGCGTTGAAACCCTACGGGAAGGGCTTGTACTCCCATTTCGTGTCCAACATCGACGGCACCCACATGGCGGAGGTTCTGAAGAAAGTCAACTACGAGACAACATTATTCATTATCGCGTCGAAGACCTTCACCACTCAGGAGACCATCACCAATGCGACATCGGCCAAGTCCTGGCTGTTGGAGCATACCAAGGATGTAGGTGGATTGCCGTTTCAGTTGTTTGAATTTATTTTAGATTTCCCCCATTTTGCGCTTCTAGGCGGATGCCGTTGCCAAGCACTTCGTGGCTCTGTCGACCAACAAGGAGAAGGTCACTGCCTTCGGCATCGACAGCGCAAATATGTTCGGCTTCTGGGATTGGGTGGGAGGACGCTACTCGCTCTGGTCGGCCATTGGGCTTTCCATTTGCTTGTCCATTGGGTTCGAGAACTTTGAGCAGCTCTTGGATGGTGCCCATTACATGGATAATCACTTCAAGTCGACGCCATTGGACAAAAATGTAAGTCAAGATTTGTGTGGAATATTTGTGAGCGACTCATACCATGTTGAAATATTTGGTGGTATGGTTTTCAGGCCCCTGTCATTCTAGCTCTGCTTGGCGTCTGGTATTCGAACTTCTACAATGCTGAAACGCACGCCCTTCTGCCATACGATCAGTACTTGCACCGCTTCGCCGCCTATTTCCAGCAGGGTGACATGGAGAGCAACGGAAAGTTCGTTAGCAAGTCGGGCAAGCCAGTTAAATATAGCACTGGTCCGATTGTGTGGGGCGAGCCTGGCACCAATGGCCAGCACGCCTTTTACCAGCTTATCCATCAGGGCACTCGCCTGATCCCATGCGACTTCATTGCCCCCGCCCAGACGCACAATCCCATTGCCGGCGGCAAGCACCACAAAATTCTACTCTCAAATTTCCTAGCCCAAACGGAGGCTCTAATGGCCGGCAAGACGGCCGATGAGGCCAAGCAGGAGCTTACCAAGGCCGGATTGTGCGGCAACGAGCTGGAAAACTTGCTGCCACACAAGGTGTTCGCTGGCAATCGGCCGACGAACTCAATTGTGGTGAAGAAAGTGTCACCATTTACACTGGGCGCATTGATTGGTACGTTTGACCGAATTGACTTTCACAACATCAATTAATCAACATTTAAATCATTTAATTTTTCAGCACTCTACGAGCACAAGATCTTCGTGCAAGGCATCATTTGGGACATCAACTCGTTCGATCAGTGGGGCGTTGAATTGGGCAAGCAGCTGGCCAAGGCGATCGAGCCGGAGCTCGACACTTGCGTCGAGGTCTCTTCTCACGACAGTTCCACGAACGGTCTAATTAATTTCCTCAAAGCAAACTGGAAGTAAATTTGTTCGACCATTTGCTGACAATTAAAATAAAATGAAAGCGCTCGCGCGAACACACCACACACACACACACCTATTAGTAGTTACTGAGCTGTTATTGGATGAGCTTCTACTTATGTATACTCAAACTACCTACAGAATAGAAAAACCGAACCCTGTTCTTGGCACAATATTCTACCATATTATTATAGATTGGAAATGGAAATGAAATGTTTACGTTTGCTTGCTAATGACAAAATCTCATGTCGGTAATTAGAAAATATAATTGGCTCCCTATTTGTTGTTGCACGTAGTTACTAAACACAAAGAAAAATAAAAATTGCATAGAATTCAGTGTGGAAAACTGTTTGGAAAACTACTCTAGTTTAATTGGTTCGGCTGGGTTGGGTTTGGGGTAGGACAAAAAAGAAATTGCATTGGTACCTAACATATCGCACAGAGGAATAAACTAATCCGTTGATTCTCGCTCAATCGCTGTCGCTCAGATCGTCATCGTCGGAGCCTTGTGTCATTGCCAGATCCTCCTCATCGGCCGCCACGTCATCGTCTGCTGCCAGGTCATCGTCCGCAATACTGTTTGAGCTAATGTTCTGATCTTCTAGGTCGCTCCAGTTGCTTTCACCCTTTGCGCTGTCACTGAGCGCGTCTGCTGGATCATCTGAAGAGCATAAAGATTGATTTATACGATACGACTGGACTGCTAGTGCTATTAATTGCATAATACTGACCTTCCTCTTCTTCGTCCACAATTAAAACGTTGCTTTCATTCAAATGATTGTCTGCATTTCGTTTCATTTGACTTATGATCAGGTTGACGCGACCAGAAATTCTAAACGTAGACAATATAGAAATCCGAGTTGAAACAGTATACATTTAAAATATTTTCATTGGAATCAAAAACGACACCAAATTTAACAAAAAATGGATAATAACCCCGTCTCGGACTCGGATCTTATTGACCGCAAATATTCGCAAGCCTCTATTCTGATGAGATCGCGTCGATTGAAAATGACTTCGGACAATGAAAAGTCGGACGGTTTAAACGCGCTCATTGTGCCCCCCATAGCTGAGGTCGAAAGCATCGCCAATGCAGTGGCCCAATGCAATAAGCCAGTTTGTGATGACGCCGACATGCAGTGCATCATGGACTTGGTGGACTCCACTCTTTGCGAAGCCCTGACCATAGTGCAGTCAGATCCACGGGGACTGTTTTGCTACAAGTTGCCTGACACACCGAAATGCGCTGCCGCCAAAGTGCCTACTCTGGTCGATATTCTGACGAACATGGAGGAAAATGGCCTCGCCACTTTTGCCACAACAGTGGCAGTGAGTGATTATGGGCCGAGCTCGGGCTCCAGCGGATTGCTTCGTAAACAGACAACTATTGGGACATTCGAGTACAGCACGGTACTTTCTGAGATCCAGGACTTTATTGGCCAGTGGCAGCTGTCGCCGGACACAAAGTGTGCGGTTCTGAGCAACCCCATTCAGCACGATATTCCCATTAAGGGAAAAATCTACTTTGTCGATGCACATTTCTCTCGGCCGACGCCACGTTGTCCCAACCCGCTGGCTGTGGCAAAGGTGCGTTTCATCATAACAGTTTCAAAGGTCCTGCAGAAGCACTATCCAGTGATGATCACATATCGCTTTGAGGGCTACAACACTCTGTACTACGCGGTGGGCGAACGTTCGCTGAGCTCTTTAACTTTTCAAAGATTCTACATTGATACCATTCTACACACCAAGTTGGCCTTTTACGCTGAGGTCTGCGAATGTCGCCACGGCACTGTCGAGAAGCCCAAGAAGTCCAAGAAGGGCAAAACCTGATGCCAATAAAACTTTCTCGATTTACCAAATACTTACTGTAATGCCTCCGAAAGACAATGCATGCGTTGCTCCGCCACACCTAGGCAAATTCCCAACTTTTCGCGCAGGGCCTGTTTGTCTTCAGACATCAAAGCACTCGTGTGCGTGCAGGCCAGTATTTGAAGCCAGCGTAGGGCAGATGTAACACTGTAATTTATGGAACCATTTAGGTAAATCTCACATTCAATGTACACGCAACTAGGAAATGCACTTACTTGGCATGCTTTCCTTGTATAAGTATTGAGAGTTCGTTCACCAAAGGGTTGACATATTCGAGCGGCAGGCGGTCCAATGTCAACTGTATCGTCTCCGTATCATGTGTACTGAGGACTGCGTCAATCATGCTAAAAAGGAAGACTATTAGGTGGGCTCTTCGGCATAAAATAAATCAGCATCGTACGCCTGATCCTTGCTGTGCAGCGCCTGCATAAGGAGCTGTGTCTTGCTTTGTGTCTGCAGTTTTCCAGCACCCAGTTTGTTGGCCTTGATCTGCAGGTGCTGCAAGCGCGCCTCCATCGGAACGTCATTTTGCACTTTCTTCTGGGAAATCGGCAGAGCACTATTGTACTCGACAATCTTCTGACTCACTACAGGAGTGAGAGTTTTTTGGGCGACCTGCGAGGCCTGCACTTTGCCCTTCTTCTTGGCATACAGTTTCTTCGGGTCGGCGCGAACGATAACATTCAATTTCTCAGCATAGTTGGGGGTGAAGCGTTCAAATTGTATTTGTTTGCGATTTCCGTAACCAAACAGAATCTCGTGCGACCGATTTGTGTCGGTTACAAAGTGAGAGGCCAGAGCATGTATGGGCTCGACAGTATCGGCGCCATCTGAAACGATTTGCAGCGATGTCTTCGGCTTCACGAACTTTTCGGCGGACAAACTGCGATGGTAAAAGCATGAATTATGTATTGTTTCTGAAATGTCAATGGTTTTTTACCTATTCACATTCAACAGATATATGTGTATGTTGCCGTTGCGCGTCACACTCGCCACCCGCAGCTGTCCGTCGTCGTGAACCTCGCTGGACAGACAGTAGGCCAGATCCTCCATGAGCAACGTGCAGGAAGACGCCTTGTTTTTGCCCTTCTTCTCAATCTTCCAGAAGCAAATGACTCTCTCCATTCGAGCTGTGGTCAGCACGAATTCAGCATTGTCAGTGCCCACAACGCTGCTGATGGCATTAACCTCGCCAGAGTGCCCGGTAAAGGTTTCAACCAACTCCTTGGTATCAACATCATAGACCTTCAACTGGCGTGAGCCAACTGCTAGGGTCCGGCTCTTTGGGAGATACACAATGTTTCGTGGTTTCTCGGGTCCAATCTGCCAGTCGCTGATGCAGCGCTCTTGCTCAAGCGACCAGACAAGCGCCCGGCAATCGACTCCCACGGTATACAGATGCCCCGCATTGTCGTACACAATCGAGGTGACTGGTCCGTCGTGACTGTCGCCACTTAGAGTACGTTCAATCTGCAATGGCACGAGAGCATTACTGGGTTATGCGCTTCCATGAACTAATCGATTCTTACCTTTCCCTCGGCCAATGAATATATAACTACGATGCCTTTCAACGTGCCCAAAGCAATGTAGAGTTGGTCGCTGGCCGCATCTTGGGTCGGCAGACTCTTGCGCGACTTCTTGGGTCGCGTCGCGGCCACCAAGACCCACGTGAGCGCTGTGCAGGGGCCGGATACCTGCAGGTTCGGGGTGAACTCCTGCTTCAGGGTGTTTGTTTCTGTGTTCCATACTCGCAGTATTCCCAGCTCGTCAACAGAAGCAAAGAGTTGACCACCATTGGGAGAAAACCCCAACACGTGCTTCTTGCCTTGCGACATTGTTATTTTTCCAAATCTACGTATTTGCGGCAATGGGGCTCTTATCGATACCTATCGATATAATAACGGAATATATCGCTAGTCACTATTAAAAGTTCCCAATTCAAATGGTAATGCGAAAACGCCCAACTGTTCAGACAGTAAGCTTATTCTAATAGTATTTAAACTTCACTAATTTCATTCGGGAATAATATGTGTTCTTAGGTACAAACTGTCAACACTTAATGAAAGCTGTGACTCAAACGCACCAAATATGGTCTAAATCAGATTCTAAAGCCTGCAGAAGCGTATTTTAAAAAAAACTATAGCGAATACATATATAAGCCATTTCCCACAATCTCTATTTTTCTAGATAGCCAGTCTAATAATGTCATAGCACCTTTATAAAGATCCGATAGATTCCGATTGAACTATTATTTGCTCTCATCGCTAGCAACATCGATACATTTGGTCCAGAATATTCGCCGACCGCCGTCAAATTTGAGGTTAGACAAACTCTTGCTGAAACCCGACCGACCTGCTGTGTGAAATTGAAATCTGTGTATAAAAATGGCTTTATCTGTACCAAAAGCACCCGGAGTATCGCAGATGCTAAAGGATGGCGCACGGGTAAGTGTAATATGAAGGATATATAAGAAATGGCCCAAATAAACTCCGATTCCATTGAAATTCTGTGAAAAATAAAAACATGCCTTCTCGGGGAGGCGCGTGATTAGTCATCGCCATTGCAAAAGTCATGCATTTTCTGGAAAAATGTCTGAAATGATAATTTGTCTCGTATCCTCAGATGTATAGCGGGCTGGAGGAAGCCGTCTACCGCAACATTAGTGCCTGCAAGGAGTTTGCTCAGACAATGCGTTCCGCCTACGGCCCCAATGGCATGAACAAAATGATCATCAACCACATCGAGAAGCAGTTTGTGACCAGCGATGCCGGAACCATAATGCGTGAGCTGGATGTTGAACATCCTGCCGCTAAGCTGATCGTTATGGCCAGTCAAATGCAGGACGCTGAGGTCGGAGATGGCACAAACTTCGTTGTGGTGCTGGCCGGCGCTCTGCTCGAGTCTGCAGAGGAACTGCTGCGTTTGGGCATCACCACCGCCGAAATAGCCGATGGCTATGAAAAGGCACTGGAAAAGGCACTCGAAATTCTGCCCAAATTGGTTTGCCATAAAATTGAGGACTATCGTAATGTTGACAAGGTTAAGGATGTCCTTCGCACAACCATCATGTCGAAACAGTACGGCCAGGAGGACTTCCTCAACGACCTGGTGAGCAAGGCCTGTGTTTCCATATTGCCTAACGAGGGCACATTCAACGTGGACAACATTCGCATATGCAAGATCCTTGGCAGTGGTCTGCACAAGTCGGAGGTAGTCCGCGGAATGGTTTTCAAGCGCTTCGTGGAGGGTGATGTCTCGTTTGCCGAAAAGGCCAAGATCGCCATATTCTCGTGCCCCGTTGACATTATTCAGACGGAGACCAAGGGCACAGTATTGATTAAGTCGGCGGATGAGCTCATGAAATTCTCATCTGGAGAGGAGAGTCTGCTGGAGAACCAAATCAAGGCTATTGCCGATGCTGGTGTAAAGGTTATCGTTGCCGGTGGCAAGGTTGGTGACATGGCCTTGCATTTCCTCAACAAATATGGCCTCATGGCTGTGCGTTTGAACTCCAAGTTCGACTTGCGCCGTTTGAGTCGTTCCGTAAACGCGACAGTTCTGCCGCGCATTACCACGCCTAGCCAGGAAGAGTTGGGCTACTGTGACAAGGTGTGCATTGAGGAGCTAGGAGACACGACAATCGTGGCATTTAGGTGAGTAATCCCATTAAATACGTTGAATAAAACAGTCCAAATAAAGTGGTGTTTTCGTTTCAGGAATGAGGGCAAAGACTCGCGCATTGCCACAATTGTGATCCGTGGTGCCACAGACAACTTCATGGACGACATTGAGCGCGCTTTGGACGATGCCGTGAACAGCTTCAAGTGCCTGACACGCGATGGACGCTATCTGCCAGGAGCCGGGGCCACCGAAATTGAGCTGGCCACCCAGCTGTCTGCGTATGCTGACACTTTGCCCGGCCTGGAGCAGTACTCTGTGCGCAAGTTTGCCAACGCTCTCGAAGTCTTCCCCAAGGCCCTGGCCGAAAACTCTGGATTCAATGGAACCGATGCTGTCAACCTACTGTATTTGGCTCACAATTCCGAAAGCGGCAAGAACATCGGCTTCGACATTGAAGCGGAGACGGCGGGCACAATAGATGCGACGAAGGCAAAGATCTTCGACTTGTACCAGGGAAAGTTCTGGGGCCTCAAGTATGCTGTTGGTGTGGCCACAACCATCTTAAAGGTGGACCAGATTATCATGGCCAAGCGTGCCGGAGGTCCCAAGCCGCGTCAGGCTGCCGGCAGTGATGATGAGAGCTAAGCATCTCCCTTAACATCTAATATACTACCCCTAGTTTCTCCCGCTCCTACAAAAAAAGCTTCACACACGACTCGCCGTGGAAATTATAAATTTCATTAACATCTCTCACACACTCACATGCCTTCACTCACTCACCTACATGCACACACACAGTTTCTTGTATTAATAAACGTAACTTACGAAAACTGAGACAATTGTCTTTCATTATTCAGGAAATAAAACAATTTTTGGTTGTGTTTTCGCACCAAACCTGGTGCCTCCGCTAGGATAACTCATCTATGTTAGTTTCCGCATTTTTATTTTTGGAATATAAGCAAACGATTAATTGTATTGTTCATTTGAGTTGATTACAATAGATATTTCAAATGCTTATTTGCAGATACATTTCAATAATATTTGTGTGGGACATTCAGCAAACGTCTCCCATCATCCCAGTGCGGAGACAGTGCCGTCCCAAAATATTTGTATTAGTTTTCGAATAAAATACGATCTCGTTGTCGCTTTTCAATTGAAGTGAATAAAACTTGTTAAATCTTGTGATATCTGATTCGATGTACATGCTCTCGACTAAAATGCTTGTGCTGGTGATTCGTTATTTTTGGTTACCTTTTAGTATTAATAGTGGTAATAATTGCACGAGGGGTATGCCCATAGCGAACGGAACGGGCACGAGCCCATCCGTGCTCCAATGGATGGTTCGTTCACCTCTCCGCCGCAGCATACCTCCTGGCTCGCCCTAACAAATGAAAGTATATTTTAAAGAATAAATATCTGAATGCAAAGTTTTCGGCAAATCGAAAATTGTTCTGCTAGATGTCGGAAAGTATGTGTGGGCTTCTAAACCAACTGCAGTTTTGATCTGAAGGCCCCCAAACTAAAAATTCTCAAAATCCATCCGAATGCTAATTTTGTGCCACATTTTGCTGTTTGCTCACGACAGCAAACTGTGGCTCAAAATCTCGGACAAAGTTCTCAAACAAAATGCCTCTGCAAAAATGTGTGATTCTTAAATTAACTCTGCTCTACGATTTTTCATTATCAACTAAAGTCACCGCCAATTTATAACTATTTAAATGCAACACTGGAAGAACCGACCGATTAAATTATATAGTTGCATCATTTTCATCATCACAACCCGTCTTCTCTCTGTCTGGAGGCTGACCGATTGTCACGATGAAAATCAACACATATATTTTTTTTTGTATCTAACATGTACGAGTATGGTATGTATGATATGTGATACTATTTATGTATACGCGTGCCTTCCTAGCTGAAATCTCATTACTATTCATTCCAATACCATACAAATATGCCCATTGCCACGTTAGAGAGTATAAAAATAACATTTCTCCTGTGATTACTTTGCGTTTCATGCTAATTACATTTTAGTATATTGCCCGTATCTCAGTTATTTCTATGACAATGAATAGATGTGGATGTGGTTGTCTGTAGGAAATAATACAAGTGTTATCAATTTAGAATATTTTCACAGAGTATTGGAAACAAAAATCACACATTCTTTTCAATTGTCATTTTCGGTAAGATTATCTTAAAATGCAGAAAATTTACGAATTATTGCCTGGTTCAACTGAAATTAATTATTGTTCTAAAATACAAATACAAATCTTTAATTTTCATTGGATATTGTGTGAATCAAAATGGATAAACTACGCTAGAGAGAGTTAAATATTGGATTTGTTCCATTCTTTGGTATTATATGCTTGCTGCCGTTACTACAGCGGTTCGTAATATATTTGGACTAAGAAAAACTTGATAATAAACGCACTAAAGTTTGCGATAAGTTCAACTAGCTTGTGGGTTTGTTGCATTTCTGCTAATTTTAAAGCTTTTAAAGTAATTCGATAATATATTTGCGTATATTTAGCTTTCTTTGTTTGTTAGTAGTTTCCATGATCCAACCATTGCAATATGGTCTGGTGGTCAACGAGCTGCGTGGCTCTTTTTCAAAATACAACGATATTCTCTTCATTTCATTGTTGTAGATGTCTTGTCATTTATCAATATTCAATAAATATAACAGATATTTCTCGAAATAAGAAGCCAAAATATATGTATCTTCTGTTGGGTTTACGTTTATTGATAAATTTGTTTGTCGGATTATGATGATAATAGGGTATATAGATATATATATGTGTGTGTTTCGGTTTAAACTTTTAGTTTAGGTAGTTGTAGTAGTAGAAGTTGTAGTAGCAGTAGTAGATGCTATAGTCAGCGCATTGATTTTCGTAATAGTTGGGATACTCGGGTACCGAACAGCATTACTATTCGCATAGAGACAACTCTGATATATCTTTGGGACAAATGCTTCGATTATGAATTTGGAATCTTTCTGTGGGCTTCTGTGTATAAACTTGTACACCTGTTAACGTGAATGGTACATATTGATATATCGTTATATATTATTCATAGCAATCGTAACTTTATATATTGCTTGAGACAATTTGTTTTGTTGTTATAGTTTTTGCACAAAGAGAGTATATTGAGATATATTGATCCAGGTGGCGTTGACTGGTACTGGTGTCATTATTACACATATACATATTTATCCATCTTTCTAAATTAAAAATAACCTATACGATCTGCATATTAATGCAGAACTCAACTGCTTCCGCCTTCAATCGCCAACTCCAATCTCCTCCTTAAAGAACGGTGCATGAGGACTTTTCACGGAATGGATTTACCTTCTGGCTGGTGAATCCAGTCAAAAGGTAATCCTCCTGCTCGTGCTCCGTGATGTACTTCATCATTTTGGCGCACGACTCCGAAATGGTCTGCCGTTCCATAGACGCCTCGCGACGCAGCTGGTCGACGACAATTCGCTGCTGTTGTAGAGATGATGACATTACGTCCATGATGGCTGTCTCGGATAGGCCTATGGTTGAAAAGTTTCTCAGTGATACTGTGATATGCAATTACAAGGGTGGGTGGGGATGGTTGTGGTTGTGTGGTCTGGATAAGGTTAGCGAGTTCAAAAGCTCTGCTCTGATTATTTCTGTAGGGATGTCGGTTTGGTGTTTTGGATGATTCTTAATTGTTCGCTGGAAATAATAATAAAAGAAGTGCATTGCAGCATGGTAATCGTTTAAACATTTGTTTCAATTGTGTGATTTCCACACCAGTACAACATTAAACAAGCGACAGCGACATTTACTATAGATATTCTGTTCTGCAGAAAGACACAGCTTGGAAGGGAGTTAGATAGGAGTTTCAGACATTCGAAAGAGAAATAGATAGATTAGTGAGTCACACTCGTAGATACACATGTAAATTAGGGGATAATCACAGCGCGACATATGGTATGAAAACGTGAGTAGGCATAGTTTAATCGATCGATAATTAACCGAAACCTTGACTTCTGCACAGAGCAAGAGCAAGGTTTTGTTTAAATTATAGGAGGAAGAGAGACGGTAGCATAACATAACTTTGAAAGGATTTTGCAATAAATAAAACTATATATATATATATTTTTTTTTTTTGCAGCTATAAAGTACACATGTGCATACATACATACAGATGTATGCCCATATGATTAACAGATTTTTCCCGACACAGTAACAGAGTTAGAAGTAAGGAATTTAGTTAAATGCACACACAACACACAACTACAATTTCATGAAACTAGTTTTATTTACCAGCTTTGTTGTTTTGTTATATATTTTTCTTTTTCCGAAACGCAGCAGAGATACACACCCAATAGAGGTGTCAAACCATCGAGGGCACTATCGATAGTATCGATATTTTACTGCTAGCCTCTACTATCGATGGTTTTGCGACTAGCATGATAGTATCGAGCTATAGTCGTTGCGCTTTTGATATGTTTGGATTGGCTTCTATAAAATACGAAGACAAATTTGTAAAAAAATCGACAGGTGGCATCTAATTTTTACAATGGACAAGTTCCTAAAAGGTTTCAATGGTTTTTTAATAAATATTTCAGCCCGATACTATCACGATAGTATCGATTGTTTTTTCAAAACATTCGACGTTGATATTCCTCGATATTGATATTCCGTTTAATATTACCAGCTAGCTGGGACTCTCAGCCCTAAACAAATAATTTTATCCGATAGATACATAAATTTTGTAAGAGATTGGCAAGTTTTCAGAAGTCCTTTTTATTGGATTATTTACATATTTAGGTTCAAACAAAAACAGCATAAAACGAATTTGTCGTCGTTTTGTGGCGCTGCCAGACTCGTCCAATTCGTAGTTGCTGCGGGCTGCCATACCGTGATATTTTGTGATATGAAATTCGTCAATTTTTATATTCAGTTTAATATTGCTAGCTAGTTGGCGCTCTCAGCCGTAAACAAATAATTTTATCCAATTCCTCAATAAATTTTGCACAGGATTGGCTAGTTTTCAGAACTCTTTTTCATTGGATTGTTTACAAAATAGGGTTAAACAAAAACGGCCAAAGCATAAAACGTAAGTGTGTACGAAATTTGACGTCATTGTTGATTGTCCACCAAGTTTCTTCTACGCGTATGGCTTTTGTATGCCGTATTTCTTTTAATGGATGTTAATTTTTGTGTTCCAAGCTGCTTTAAAACATAAATATTGCATTTTTCTTAGATTGAGATGATAAAATAAAATACTTTTTGCTCAATTTTGGCATAAAAAATACCATAAAGTATTTAAAATACGATAAACGGTCACGCTACATGGACTGGAATCAAAAAATAACAGTGTTGGTAAACGGTCAGCGTGCTAAGGCGTGCTTTAGAACACTCCCCCCTAACCAGGTGTGTGTGCGTTTTCCCGGCGAATGTCAAATAAACTGTTACCAGTCGCTCGGACAATTTTAAAGCGCTAAAATGGCAAACGTGCGCTGTTTGGAGAAACTATTCCGTCTACAGAAGCTCCTGCTGCCCCTTCGTAAGTAATCCGTCTCTAGGCGCGAGCCTGTTATCACAGTCCAAAGCCCCATTTCGCGCCATCCAATTCGCAGTTCTCGGCCATTACGAAAGAGAAGCGGGGAACAGCTGTTTTCCGATCGAGAAACGAAAGGGTAGGGGGGTGAATGTCGAATGCCACTGCCGCCGGTCATAGTTTTTTAGAAATTTTTGTAGTAAAAATTGTCAGTATTCCTGTGAAAAAATCGTGTGAATTTCGTGCAAATTGAACGTGGACATGGAGCCAGCTATCGAGGCAAACGCCGCGGCAGCTAACCTGCTGAGGCTCATCAAACAGCTTCTGCTGGAGAAGGCCTACGAAGGCGTCCGAATGCTCTTCCTGAGTCCCAACGAGGCGTCCAGGAACATGCAGCACATGCCGCTCATCGCCATGGACATATACAACGATATTTGCGTCGTCAACCTGGTGGACGAGGTCAACGGCCGGGAGCCGGAGCTCTTCGATTGCGCCAACGAGCTGCTGAAACTGGTCGCCGAGCACGCCCCGCTGCAGGAGATGATGATGGAGCTAATGGAGAAGATTGAGGAGAGCAAAAGCCACGCTGTCTTTGCAGCATACCTGCGGGCCATGCAGGTAATCCTCCTGCGCCAGGGCCAGGACAAGCCCCAGGCGGTGATGTGGTGTCTGCAGAGCGTGGCCACCTGCCTACACGATCTGCCGCTGCCGGAGTATCTGAGCGAGGGCTACGACGAGGCTGCGGGCCGCCTCGTGGAGCAGGAGAAGCAGGTGGAGGATCTCTTGGCCCACTACATAACCGTCGGCTTGTTCGAGGCTCCGCTGCTCGTGGAAATTTTGCAGCGAGACGCCCGCCCCGACACAGTGATATTCCGCCACTGCGCCATGTCGCGCCGCAACGCCCTAGCCTGCTTCCTTGTGCAACTTCTGGGCAAGCCGCTGGCCCTTCTCGAGATGAGCTACGTGAAGGACGACCTGACCCACACCTACGTTCATCAGGTGGTGAAGAACCTCACCCAGGAGGCCACCAAGACCATTGGCGGCGACCCCTTCTATCTGCTTGCCCTGGTGGAGAAACGCGCCCGTTGGGAGCGCAAACTGAACGCAGCAAAGGGCGTCTACGAGATGACTAGCCAGAATATTTTTCTCATCGAGGACTTGATGCCCCTGCATGCCCTGGCCATGTACTACCACGCCATCTTCGTGCACGACCTGTTGCCGCCAACGACACCCAAGATTTATTCGCCAGTCTTCCTGTTCGAGTCGGTCCTCTATCTGGTGACTGAGCTGCTCCGGCAGCCGGAGCCACCGCTGCAACACTGCGGCCTGCGCCTCTTCGAGCACATTTTGATCAACTGCGGCGTCACATCGGTGCCCCATTCCTCGCTGCAGCTGGACGTCCATAAGCGATTATGCGATGAGCTCTGCAAGATTGTCGGCTACTCGCCACAGGTGGCACTCCGCCAGCTGGGACTGCACGTGCTCCGGCACTACATACTGGCCTTCGATGACCAGGGAAAGTACTTGATCCTCAAGAACCTGCTGGAGACGCTGCAGCACGACGGCCTGATGGGCTATCTGAGTGCCATGTACAAGGACCTGGTGGACAAGGCCCTGACGGCCCACAGAAAGTGCAGCGTCAGAATTCCCCCTGAATTTGACGGCAAGCATTTCCGGGAGATGCTGATGCTGTGCGTCTTTGTGCTGCCCAACGACGTGAAGTCGGATTTGTTGCTGCACGCTGACCGGATCTGCAACGCCATCAACATCTTGCGGTACTTTGCAGTGATAGACAAGCAGAACATCACCGGATTCTGGGACGTTCTGCCGGAAATCGAGAAGCGGCTTCTGGTGCCCCTGGGCACGGCCCTGGACTTCTCGATGGCCCACTACAAGGCGTACAAGGAGCGCGTGGAGAACGGCCAAAGTGCCTCGGACGACGCCCTAATGAAGAAACAGCTGCAAATGCTGGCCGTGAACATCAGCAACAGCGGCATCGCCGGTGATGGCGACAGCAGTCTGCCCGATATCGGACGCCAGGAGAAACTCGATGTGCTGGCCAGCTCCATCACCAGCCTAGAGTCGCTGCGTTCGATTTATGTGCGCGCCAACGAGGTAATCGAGCAGAACGCCCGCCAGCGCAAACTCCTCCAAGACGCGGGCTCAGCTCCATTCCCAGCCCCAGCACCCGTGTAGGCTCTTAACTTTATATATTTGTGTCCATAACGAAAGCGAAATGATAGCGTAAACTAATTGTATGTGTAAACAGATTAGAAACCGAAACCGATACGAACAAGCGAACTGTGTGGTGTGTTTGGGGGATCTACGGGGTGGCGATAATTGGCCGACAAATGGCATATGGAGCCGCTGAGTGTGCTAATCAATTGGCCACAGAGGCTGGCTCTGTCTCTGTCTCTGCCTCTGCTTCTGCCCGTGTTGTCCGTGACTTTAATTCGGGGCTCATGCCTGCCTGTGTGTGGCTTCTTTCTATTTGCAGATGCACAGAGCTGTCGCCTGTCCTCCCTGCACCGACAGCTGCCCCTGGCTGCTGCATCGCTGGCGCGGGGCTATGCCAAAGATGCCACAGAGAAGACTAGTGGCAACGGAAGTGGCTTGGAGGACTTTCGGGCACGCGAGGAACAGCTGGAAAGGGAGCGGGATGCGGCCGAGGAGGCGGCTGCAAAAGCCACACAAAATGAGTCCGGCGGTGGGGGAGGAGGAGCAGGCGGCAAGCAGCATGAGTCTGACGAGCAGAGCGCCAAGCAGGCCAAGGTGGATGCCATACGCGACAAGATACTCGATGCGGCTCTGGAGCATGTACCACAACACGGCTGGACAAGGCAGGCGATTATCCTCGGGGCGGAGCAGTGCGGCTATCCCAGCGTGGTGCATGGCATGTTCCCCGAAGGCGGCTTTGCCCTCGTCTCCCACTTCAACGGCAGATGCAACGCCCAGCTGGTGCAGAGTCTCAAGCAGAAGACGTGCAGTGGCCAGCAGGATGTAGAGAATCCGCTCGACTTCCTGGTGCAGGCCGTGCGTCAGCGCATGGAAATGATTTCCCCGTACAAAGCCCAATGGCCGCAGGCCATGTCCCTAATAGCACAGCCGCAGCATGCGTCGACGGCGCTTGCCCAGGTGCTCACACTAGTGGACGACATCTGCTACTACTCGGGCGATCGATCCGTGGACGTGAGTTGACGCGAGTAATCGAAATGACAATAGATCTGATTGTCTGATTATCCTTGCAGTTTGGCTGGTACACGCGGCGCATTGGCCTGGCGACCATCATGAAGATGACCGAGCTGTACATGCTGCAAGACACCTCCGCTGGCCATGTCCAGACGTGGGACTTCCTAAAGAACCGCATGGACGAGGCCGTGCAGCTGCAAATGGCACTCTCCCAGACCGAGGGCATGACGCACACCTTTCAACGTTCCTTTAACTCGGCTTTCATAACGGTGACGACCCCCCTGCCCCCTCCGATCATCGACCCACTCACTCTTCAACTTTTTTCTCCACCACACAGGCACGGAATATACTCGGCCTGGGCTTCAAGCGGAATTAGCCCCGAGACCTCTTTGCTTCACGCAGTCCAAAGAAGGAATGGCAATCCATTGGTGTGGATTCCATGGATCCTCCCCCCCATTCAACGATCTACACTTATATATATACCTTAACCCTACATGTTTATATGTATGTACATATATGTACGTACGTCTTTCTACAATCCTGTGGTTTAGCTGGAGCTGTAGCTGGAGCTCGCCTGAGGCTTCTTTCGGCGGTGATGATTATAGTTCTTAAATGAATATCTTAATAAGAATTTCTTTGGGGGTTTATCGCTTATGAGGGGGTTCGACCACAACTATATTTTAAATTTGAACAAAACAAACTGCATTTATCCAGGAGGCAGCCGATGGCGACAGCAGCTACCCCAAAACAGGGTAAACGTTTGAGGGCAGCAGCCATCGCCAGCAGGCACCTCCCTTGACTACTCATGCTGCTTCGTCCTTTTTCCGGTCTTACTGGGTCGGCAGAATAAAGCCTTTCGAGACGGAACTCTTGGGCAGCACGCTACACGTTTCCGACGGAGCCCTTTTGGTATCCAAGTGTTCCTTGAAGAGTTTACGCAGCTCGGTAGCAAGATAGCTATGATTATGTCGCGAAGGCTTGGATGTGGTTAGCTCGACCACACTTCTGTTGCTGGTCTCCGGGTCTGCCGTTTTATATGCCGAAAACCATGGGGGATTTACGATCTTCTTTGCAACACCTTTACATGGGGGGCGATGGGGTTTCTGGGGTCCCGCTACACCAGCGTACAGCTCCGAGATGCCCCTTATCATGCTGGAGCGCTTTCGATTCAACGTCCCCTTGCCGAAGACGACAAACAGATCCAAATCGAGCAGCGCCGTGAGCAGACACCTGATGAACAACGAGTCGCTGTCCCTGAAGGTGCCACGCAGCAGCTTCAGCAGCTCGTCCTGCTGCCCCAGCAGGCCCACCAGGTCGCCCTGGTCCTGTCCGTTCCTGAACCACTTGTACTGGTGGTTCAGCAGCTGCATTTGGAACACATAGTCCTGCATCATGCGCATCAGCTTCCCGATAGTCTCCGGAGCCATTGGCAGGGAGACATACCCCTCATCGTTGAACAGAGAGAAGGTGGAGAAAAGGGCATCCGGATAGCCACTTATCTGCACCTTGTACGCTCGTCGCCTCCGCACGATCTGCAAGAGACCGGAGTAGTTGGCGTGAAGCAGGCGCAGCAGCATGTAGTGTATGGTCCGCGTGGAGCGTTGCATCTGCACGGCCAACGTGGCGATCAGCTTACAGTTCAGCTCCAGCCATTTATCGGGCAGCGTGTCGCACTGGTTGGGGTAAGGCCTGCTCTTGTCCGCCAGGCACTGGCACCCAGCGGCGTCACGGTAGTTGAGGCTTCGCTGCATCGAATAGCTGCTGGCTATGGCCCGCACCGGACAGTGCGGACAGGCGTAGGGAATCTGCTTAAGGCTGCGCGGGCTGCGGTAGTTGCACATCGTGGGTCTTGATAGTGAGAACAATCGCAAGTCTGAAGGGTTTTTTGTACTCTGATATTTTCTAAAATTTTGATAGCTTTTAAGAGCTGAACGAGCAAATGTCCAAAGGGGCCAAATCGAATAGAGGTCTACACACCACTGAAGAATAGAAAGAATCGTACGTTTGGGAATGATTAAAATTGTTTCTGCTGCCAGGAGCACTTGCCCGCGTAGCGGATGACAGAAATGGCACAGCAATAGTTGGAGCCTCAGGTTCTCTTGAATCTGTTTTCAGTGTTTATTTCAAAGAAATGGTAATCTACTTGTAGCTGCTTCCCAGCGTTGTCTGTATTTGATTCGAATCTATCATATTGCACATTAAACGCATTAATTTGCGTACTTAATGAACTCCATTTCGTCTGTCGGTTATCCCACTAATGCAAAGGCTCCAAGTAAGTCTCTTCCTGCTTGGCTCTGCTGCTGCTGCTCCTCCTCCTGCTCCCCTTTGCTGCAAGGCTCTGGCTGGGGCTGTGCCTCTGTCTTGGACTTCAAATTGGCTTCTGCTTGCTTCTGCAGGCGAAGCGGCATCTCGTTGGTGGCCAAAATCATGCCGCCCAGACGCTCTTGGAGACATGTGAACGTGGGTCTATGGGAGGGTATCGAGCTCCAGCAGCTCTCCATCAGCGCGAACCTAGACAAGTGGCGGAAAACCAGTTGGCAGTGGAGATTCACTAGAGTTTGCTTTCACATACGTTTCGGCTGTGCAGCCCTCCGGCCGCTTCATGCGGTGGCCTTGGCGCAGCATCTGGAGCAGGTCGCCTGGCGACACAGATGGATAGGGCATTCCGCCGAGGGTCGTAATCTCATAGAGCAGCACACCAAAGGACCAGCTGAAATAAAAATATGTAATCGTGTGAAAAGCAATCGATTTGGGGACGACTTACACATCGCTCTGACTGGTGTACACCTGGTGGGTGAGTGACTCCAGGGCCAGCCACTTAATGGGCAGCTTTCCGCTGCCTCCGGTCTTGCGGTAGACGTTCTCGTGGTAAACATCGCGACTGAGCCTGAAAGCAGGTGGGGACGATGACTGTGAGAAAGCAACGCTACGCCTCCGGTACACTCACCCAAAGTCGGCTATCTTGATGCTGCGGTCCAGGGAGATCAACACATTGCGCGCTGCCAGATCGCGGTGGACCACTTTATTCTGCGCAAGGAACTCCTGCAATGCGAGAGATGGGATATGGGATATGGTGTCCCTCGATCACATATGAAATGCGGCTCCAATCACTCACCATGCCCACGGCGACCTGCTGGGCAATATCCAACAAATCCGCGTACTTCAGTGGCGCTCGTTCGGGACTCAGCTTGGGGTCTGTGCGCGAATCAAAGTATTCCTTGTTCTCGAAGGTACGCTTAGTTCCTAACCCTTCCCCTTTATCTGGATCGACCTGCTGGGGCTTCAACACTTTCAGGACTGATGGCAAGGTCAGACCACTGCCAATGTTTTCAATGTCATCGAGTCCATAGGACTTGTTGTCTGCGGCATGGCTAAATCTAGCCAGAGAGTAGGTCTCCACGCGGCTGCTGGTGCGCGTCTGATCAGCGTCGGACTCCTCCTCTACGGTGGACAGCATGGAACAGTTGATCTCCTCAATGCGCATGTTCTGATCCTGATCTAGATCCAGCGAGGGACCACGCCTCGAACGTTGCAGTCTGCGCTTCTCCAATTCTTGCTTTTGCTTCTGCTTCTGCTTCAGGTGGACTCCACTGCGCTCCTGCCGAAACTTCCACTCCTCGCTGGATAAATGGAAATTAGATTTGGCTGCCGCTGGGCATTCCCTCCATTCAACTTACCGCAGAAAGTTTTGCAGGCTGCCGAGGCTGCAGTACTCGATGAGCAGCATCATGCGATTGCTGAACCGTGTCGAGTAGCCCACTATGCCCACAATGTTGGGATGCTTGCCCACCGCCTTGAGCATCTGAATCTCACACTTGAACGCATACACATCCTCTTCGTTGGGCTCATCTTTCAGCAGCTTGACGGCCACCTGTCGCTTCTTGTACACGCCGCGTCGCACCAGGCCAAAAGCACCCTCGCCCAGGACATCCATCAGGAGCACAGTATGCGGCTCCACCTCGAGATCATCCACAAAGTCAAAGCTCTCGTTGGCCGAGAGGGTGACCAACAGGCCGCTGCTGTCTATCAGTGAGAGGTGGAAATCGTTCTGATTGGCCTTCTCCTTAGACTCCATATCCACGGCCTGAGCGTCCTGCCGACTGCGCCTGCAGCGTGTCAGAGAGCACAGCATGGTGAGGCAGCAGATGGGGACAATTATAAAGGCGATGAGCTTGATCAGGTGTCCCTCTATGCGAGTGAAGGAATATCATCAGTTATATGATTGCGGATGGACCTGACTACGCCTCACCCTTTAGCCACTCTTCGCGAGGCGCCTTGTCCAGCAACACCCCAGAGGCATTCCGGCCGCCCGCCGTATGCGCCACCAAGTGCACCTCAAAGCTGGATCCTAGCACCTTAATACTGGGAATGAAGCAGTAGCTCGCATTTCCGTCCAATGTGAAGTTCGCCTCTTGGCTTTCCTGGTGCAGATCGAAGATGTGCAGTGTGTAGTAATCGGGCAGGTGGCTGGGCCGCAGCCAGCTGACATTTAGTGCCAGGGTGTCCGTTAGATACTGCTTCTGAGTCACGGACAGATTTGACGGTTTGGCGGGTGCTATAAGATGGATAATGTTAGGTGGATTTCATTACCCACCGCCTTGGGATGGGTTTGCCTACCGCAGAGCGTGTAGTTGAAGTGATGCCAGTCCAGACAGTTTGGAGCCTGCACCTCCAACCACTCCAGGTCGCTCTCCAGCCTTCTCTGTGTGTTCACCGTCCGCACGCCCACCATGTACTTCTCTCCGAACTCCAGGCTGTCGATGGTGTGTCTGTACAGCTGACGCGGCTGTGGATGGCAAGACGTGGGAATTATTATAGTCCGGTCCGCCTACTTCTACATTGCTGCCACTTACATCGCGAAACTCCACTTGCATAGGCGTATCCATGGTCTCGCTTTGCGTTGAAAAATACACCAAATCGAAGAAACAGTTGCGGTCTGGAGCGGAGCAGCAAACAATTGTTACGGTTGCAGATGGGATAAGATAATGCAAAGCACCCACCTGCAGTCGGCTGCCACTCGATCTCGGCGGCAATGTGTTGCCCATCGTCCTGCGGCTGAAGAAATCCACGCAACTTAACGGCACCCATCTTGCTGGGCTGATAGCCACGCTTTAGGGTGCCAAATGTTTCCTCGTTGGCTATCAGGGAGTAGCTGCCATCGCTGTGCACAGCCAGAGCGGTGATGTTGTGGTCAGTGTAGTTTTTCAGTGAGTGCAGGACCAGGAAGTTGTCATCTGACTGCAAGGGGAAACGATTAGCCTCAACAAAGATCGCCAGCACGTCTTCCACTCACCAGAAACAGCTTCGACTCCACAATGTCCTCACTGGCAGCATTCACCTTGATTATGTAAGTGGCGTTTGGTGTCTGCCCCGGCTCCAACCGACTGTGCTGCACCCAATCTATGCGGAAGACCAGCATGGACTCTGTGCGGCATACCATCTTCAGTTGGTAGTTCTCCTGGACTCTGCGCAGCGCTGCGGGTGCATAGTCGCTGTCCTCGTGCTCCCTGCACGTCTTGAAGCACTCGAGAAAGCTCTGCAAAGCGACATCCGGTCATTGGGATCGTGTTAGTAATCCCTTCTGGAGGCTCACCTTTGTTTCTTCCAGACAACGCTGGGTGCAGGCGGACACCTTCAGCAGTGTCTCGTCCTCCGAGATCTGGCTCATCAGCAGCAGCTCTCCGCGGTTGCTGCCAATCGTCAGCCAAAAGAGGAACGCGTATTTGACATAGAAAATCATCATTTTGGTATTCCTGTTTGATTTCTTCAGTTCTTCTTGTTCGACTTATGTATATACACGCGGATGTATGTGTGTATGCAAAATATATTTATTTCTTCGAGGTGCTTAATAGGTTTGCTTTCTTTCAGGGCAGTTCACGCAGCGGTTATTGCACTTTCAATTCGTATGCACTTTGCATCTTCAATCGACTTCCCTGTGGCCTTTCAGTTAATGCTGGATTACTCTGCACAATATGTGATTTTATAGAGAAATTAATTCTTGTCGAAATCTGAACCACCGCACACGGATTATTCAGCTAGAGTTAGGCCGTGAGAGTGAGACGACAGTGAAGCAGCGAGAGCAGCGAAAAGGTATGATAAAGGCGGTGAATAACAGAATGGAATAAATTTTATTCTGTTTTGTTTTGTGCTGCTTCGATGTCTGTCTGTGTGCCGTATGCCTGTCTGTATGTCTGTGCCATGCATTTGAAATGCAAAAATTCGAAAATCATATCATCAGGGGATCAGGGGAATTGGGCAATGGATCAACGATGCAACGGAATATTTACACCCGCAGCTTTTTAGCAGACAAGCGCATGTTTGGAATGTGCCAGGAATCTCCGCTCCTAAAACGCGTACATTACCTTATCCTATTTCATGTTATATTTTATTGTAATAATCATATTTGTCGTTCCCGCAGTGTAAGTAAAACTCGGATTCGTATTTCTATGATCGTTCTTCTACCAGCATATCAAACTGTTATTAAAGACTGGGACTTAAGAGTCTGGAAGCTCTGAGTTATGTTTTATTTATAATGCCAAATATCAACTACATTTACTTTCACTTGCACAAATTCGTATTCGCCAAATAACTGTTAGTTCGAGTTTTCGAATTAACTTTCCGAAGCTAATTCGAAGTCAACGCATAGCGATACTTATGAAAATGCACCTCTGTGAACGCAAGAGTGGCGCCTGAATTTAAAATGCGTTGTTTCGAACAAGGAACAATTTCGCTGAAAATGTATTTATTGTAACGGACAGAGAGGAATGGAACCGTGGGTATCTTTATAATTATTTAGTTATTAATTTAGTTTATCTAAATTACGTTCCCTTAGAAATTCCCACCCATTATCAGAAAATGATTCACTAATCTCAATAGACTACCCATAATTTCGACAATCCCAAGTGCCTGTTGCGACCCAGAGTTGAATTGAAATTTACCTTTCACTCATTGTGCTAAAGGTCGAAAAGCGTCTAGCTATGATACAGAGGAATATGTAGATTTCGGTAGCAGTATTGGTGTAGTACCATAGTCGACTTTGACCCAAAATATATGATTTCACAGAGGCTGATTAAAAGCCAACCAACCATTATCATCATAATCGGAATTCTGTCGCCCCCAACAAACAAAGAACTGTTGAGCAGTTGGTGGCTTTTAGCAACTATTTCATCAACTCAAATACTGATAATGATAAGTATAAGTGTTATACATTGGAAATTGTCTGGCTACTGCTCTGGCTGTCGCTCAGTAGCTTTTCAGTAGTTAGCAGAGTCAGAAGACTGTCTTTCGATTCGCAAATTGGTTTTGTGGGACAAGTGGAAACATGAAAATCGAATGGGCTCCTCTCAATGTTTCGCCGGCCAGGCGTTTGCAAACGGCAATAACGGCTCTCTTCACCATGGCGTTCTCCGTGCTGTTGTTTTCATCCTACCTATTTGTTGCTGCTTCACTGGTAAGCCAGAGATTGCTATAATTGTCTTTGGTTCAGTACTCGTATATACCATCTTGTGTCTAGATTTATGGCGGACTCATACTGCGCAGCTTGATACTCATCTACTTGGTCTACATGTACGTGGACCACAAGAGAACCCACTCCATCATTGATAGCAATGGGTAAGCCCTGCCATAACCCTAGTGGAAGTATTCCTAGTACCCATCCTCCACAGGTGGATGTTAGCTCGTACCAATTACCTGTATCGGAGCTATCGCAACTACTTTCCCGTGGAGCTAGTGAAGACAGTAGAGCTGCCCCCAAACCGAAATTATATTCTGGCCAGCTTCCCTCACGGCATACTCGGGTAAGTGCGTCGGGCAGGGCCAATCTTATCTAAAGCCACTCCAATTTCGATTCGCTACTGATTTCCCGCAATAGAACTGGAATCGGGATTAACATGGGAGTGGACATATCGAAGTGGCTGGAGTTGTTCCCCCAGATCCGGCCCAAGGTTGGCACTTTGGACCAACATTTCCTCGTGCCATTTATGCGGGAGGTGCTGCGTGCTTGGGGTCTCGTGTCGGTATCGAAGGAGGCTCTGACCCACATGTTGACCAAATCGAATGATCCGAAGCATGCGGACAATCGCGATGGCTTCACATCCAATGCGGTGGCCATCCTTGTGGGCGGAGCCCAAGAGGCCATGGACTCCCATCCAGGCCAATACACACTGACGCTGAAGAGCCGCAAGGGATTCGTCAAAATGGCCATACGAACAGGGTAGGGTAAATGCAGGAAATAGTCCGTCCACATCTTAACTTAAGTTACCTTCCTCTTGCTGCAGTTCATCGATTGTGCCCTCATTTTCCTTTGGGGAGGTGGACATATTCGATCAGGTGCCCAATCCCCCGGACTCCCTACTCCGTCGCGTGCAGTCCGTGGTGAAGAAACTGACGGGCGTTGCCCCGCTCATACCAGTGGGTCGCGGTTTCTTTAATTACACCTTCGGCTTCCTGCCCCAACGCCGTCGCATCGTTCAAGTTGGTGAGTATCTGTTGAAATTAGGGAAGTAGAACAAACCTTAATACCTAATATATGTTCTAAATTCCACAGTGGGTGCTCCCATCGATGTGGTGCAGACTGCTCAGCCGGATGCCGCCTATGTGGACAAGGTGCATGGACAAGTTATAGAGCAACTCGAGCGGATGTTCGATCAATACAAGGGCCAATATATACCGCATTCAAAGAACACCAAGTTGGTTATACAGTAACCTGAAAAACAGCAATACAATACATGGATATTTTCATTGAGACAATGTGATCTTCAATCTGCTTTAAAAGCATTTATTAAGAGTATAAATACATACATATATGTTTGCTTATTTTAATTTAATTATTCTGCTCCCTATTGTGTTTACTGCTAATTTCTTGGACTAACATATGATCAAAATTTGTGCAGAATTTTGTAATTCTACCGAAAGATACTTCCATCTAGGGCTAGCAATTATCGTGAGATATATTCATGGCTTCTGGGAGTATACTACATGGATATTTGTAGTACATATATTTTCACCATACGTCACTACCTTCGATGTTTGCCGCTTATAGCGCACATTCTATATAGTATATAAGTAAATGACTCAATTAATTCGCTAGTCGCATATGTTTGTCGTGCATTACATTCAGCCTTTTGCCAGTTGAACATTGTGCGCCAGCGTTGACGGTTCTGTCTGTTTGCTAAATGCGAGAACATTCTTGGCACGGGATCGCCTTCTCGGTCAATATATAAGCGAATCGTCAGCATAATTTACGCAGAGCATGAATGACCGGCATTGAATGATACAAATCTTTTCCACGCGCTCAATTCTCAGTGAATTTTCATTAACGTGGGAGCGCTGAGAACGGGTTGCAATAACACTTTGATATAAATTGTGAGTATTCTATATACATATGTGCATGTACCCGATACTCGCCAGACAGGTCGCATTTATTGCATTAATTGCACAAACGAAATCCGACTCTTATCAAGAAAGAAACATTTGGCATTTGGCTGGACAGAATGCATGTTGGGGAAACATATTTCCCAGAAGCCGCACTGATTACGTGGAGAGTGAAGAATAATGTTCTAAAGGTCGGACATGACATGCCAAACGTATATCGAAATCGCAACGGCCCCAAACTCTTATCGGGGGCCCACTTTGAACCCGAAACATATAATTTGCCAGACGATGATTAAAACTCAGCCACTTGGATTATTATTACTGCCCGAACGACGATACTCGTAGATATACAGTAGGAGGGGTTCGGGGCTATTTAAAGCGTTGGGATACCAGTGATAGCTACACTCTTAGTTTCTGCGAGACGAGTACCGTGTACACACATACACACTAACAAGTTTTTAATCGTTAACACCTATTGACAGCTGGGGGGCCCACTGCCCACTGATAAGGATAAGTGCAAGTGCTTGTATTACGAGTACATACGAGTATATGTACATATTGTATATTTAAAATCGTTAAAATCGTGACTGACATTCAGTCGCTGGAGTGCCGTTGAAAAAGGCGGTTGATTGTTTGTATTGGTATTGGACTGCGGAAAATATGAAAATTGAATGGGCTCCTCTCAAAGTGCCGCCACGCCGGCGACTGCAGACCCTGGTCACGCTCTTGATCACGTTCACGTGTTTTATGCTATCAATATCTGCCATACCGATTATTGTCGCTTCGCTGGTAAGGCAATGGATGTTTTACAGAGCTATGGGATCATTGGATCAGCTAAATACATTTGCACTCCCTTCAGATCTATGGCGGACTCATTCTGCGTAGCTTGATACTCATCTACTTGGTCTACGTGTTTGTGGATCACAGGAGAAATAACTCCGTAATTGATGGCAATGGGTAAGTGCAGCTCACAGCAGACTTTTAGGAAGTAAATCCCATTTAAAAATCTCTTTTAGCTGGCTTTTGAACCGATCCAATCGCCTGTATCGGCACTATCGCAACTACTTTCCCGTGGAGCTGGTGAAAACAGCCGAGCTGCCACCAAACAAAAACTATATCTTGGCTAGCTTTCCGCACGGCATACTGGGGTAAGAATGTCGACAGATAGCCAATCTTATCGAACCACTCCAGTGACGTGTACACACATATGTACTGATCCCCGAAATAGAAATGGAATCGGCATCAACATGGGCCTCGATATCTCACGGTGGCTGGAGCTGTTCCCCAAGATCCGACCCAAGGTCGGAACTCTGGATCAGAACTTTCTGATACCCATTGGACGTGAGGTGCTGCGATCTTGGGGCCTGGTGTCGGTGTCGAAAGCCGCCCTCAACTATTTGTTAACCAAATCGAATGATCCCAAGCATCCGGACAATCGCGATGGCTTCACATCCAATGCGGTGGCCATACTTGTGGGCGGAGCCCAAGAGGCCATGGACTCCCATCCAGGGCAATACATTGTGACGCTGAGGAACCGCAAGGGATTTGTCAAAATGGCCATACGAACGGGGTGAGTAAATGTCGGAAATACGAGTAGTAAATATTTTAATATGGAACTAACCTACGCTTCAATGCAGCTCACCGATCGTGCCAACGTTTTCCTTTGGGGAGGTGGACATATTCGATCAGGTGCCCAATCCCCCCAATTCCCTGGTCCGTCGCGTGCAGACTGTGGTGAAACAGCTTACGGGCATATCCCCTCTGATTCCAGTGGGTCGTGGCATCTTTAACTATTCCTTTGGCTTCCTGCCCAATCGCCGTCGCATCGTACAAGTTGGTGAGTATCAATCAGGTTGCGATTTTTGTGAAGGGGAAGACTTAAACTAATGAATCGAATTTCCACAGTGGGCGCCCCCATCAATGTGGTAAAGAGCGATGAACCGGATGCCGCCTATGTGGATAAGGTGCATGGACAGGTTATTGAGGCTCTGGAAAAGATGTTTGAAAAGTACAAGAACCAATATATTCCGAGCTCAAAGAACACCAAGCTGGTCATCCATTAAACGGAAAAAAAATCCTTAAAACATTGCGACGAAATGTGATCATAGTTCAACTTGCATTTAATATAAATCTTAATTTGTTGTTGTTTATTCCAGTTTGTTTCTCCCTTTTTCATCCCTCACATTTTAAATAGGAGTTGGGCGCCTGGCAACATTTGGTTTTTCTTTCGCAGCATTGGTTTTTTATTCGCAACATTTGGTTTTTTCGCAACATCTGGCAGCACTAGGAAAATTTGATTTTTTCATTCGAATATTTTACATGAATAGGCGAATATCTTACATATTAGTTTCTTTAAACTTTTTGCCACTTCCACTGAATATCAAAATTGACGAATTTCATATCACAAAATATCACGGTATGGCAGCCCGCAGCACGAGTCTGGCAGCGCCACAAAACGACGACAAATTCGTTTTATGCTGTTTTTGTTTGTACCTTAATATGTAAATAATCCAATAAAAAAGACTTCGGAAAACTTGCCAATCTCTTAAAAAATGTATGTATCTATCGGAGAAAATTATTTGTTTAGGGCTGAGAGAGCCAACTATCTAGTAATAGTAAACTGAATATTAGGAATATCAACGCATCTTGTCGTGTCCTTTTGAATACTTACGGTATATTATTTAATCAAGTTCCAATTTATTTGTTTATATATTAAGATACGCTTCAAAATGACCGCCAGACTCCATTTATCGCATAAAAATATCGATATTATTCACTCTCAATTCGTGGAGAGTTTTCAAAATTTGCTCTCAATTCGTGGAGAGTTTGCAAAATTTGCTCTCAATTCGTGGAGAGTGCTCTCTTTTCAGTGGAGAATAGGGTGTTTTTGTGGAGACTTTCCCCTCATTTTCGTGGTGTGGCAGCATGTTGCTGAAATTTTTCCCATACAAAATCAAATGTATCTTACGGGAACGCGTATGGAATAAAGATTCATTGTTGCGTCATTCCATACGCGTTCCCGTATGATACATTTGATTTGTATGGGAAAAATTTCAGCAACATGGGGAAATGATTTAGCAGCATTGTTGTGCAACTTTGGCACGGAATGAGCAACAATCTGCATACCTTGGGAAAATGGATATTATGGACTTGAGATATTGTTTGTAATTTCAGGCTCCAAGTAATGCAGAAACTACTCAGTCTCTTATTAAAAGACATCAACGAAATTTTGTAGCTCATGGGTACCAATAATAGGTATCAGAACCGGGATAAATGTATATATAAAACACAAAACATATGCATAGATAGGTAAAAAATAACTCAATCTTACGAAAATGCAATATTAATGTTTCAAAGCAGCCTGAAACAACAAATTTAACATCAATTAAAGGAAATAAGGTATACTAAAGCCCATACGCATAGAAGAAAATTGGTTGACCAGCAACAATGACGTTACATTTAGTCAACATTTAAGTTTTATGCTTTGGCCGTTTTTGTTTGAACCTTAATATGTAAACAATCCAATGAAAAAGAGTTCTAAAAACTAACCAATCCTGAACAAAAATTATGTATCTATCGGATAAAATTATTTGTTTACGGCTGAGAGGGCCAACTATCTAGTAATATTAAACTGAATATCAAAATTGACGAATTTCATATCACAAAATATCACGGTATGGCAGCCCGCAGCAACTACGAATTGCACGAGTCTGGCAGCACCACAAACTACGTCACATTCGTTTTATGTTGTTTTTGTTTGAACCTTAATATGTAAATAATCAAATAAAAAGGACTTCTGAAAAATTACTAATCTTTTAGAAAATTTATGTATCTATCGAATAAAATTATTTGTTTAGGGCTGAGAGTCCCAGCTAGCTGGTAATATTAAACGGAATATCAATATTGAGGAATATCAACGTCGAATGTTTGGAAAAAACAATCGATACTATCGTGATGGTATCGGGCTGAAATAATTATTAAAAAACCATTGAAACCTTTTAGGAACTTGTCCATTGTAAAAATTAGATGCCACCTGTCGATTTTTTTACAAATTTGTCTTCGTATTTTATAGCAGCCGCAACGACTGTAGAGCGCAACCGTCGATAGTAGAGACTAGCAGTAAAATATCGATACTATCGATAGTGCCCTCGATGGTTTGACATTTCTGTCAAAGTGGAAAAATAGTAATAAAATAGTAATTTTAACAGCATTGTGTGTGTGTCGGACATCGGGCGAATACCGCCTACCGCAGTTGACAAAATAGCTGTCGCCAATACGTCAATATATCAAGTTACCCATCACATCACATCATCTTGGCTATGTACATACATACATTGCCTACGAAGAAGGGCAGAGCAGAAGAAAATTCGTGGTCAATCGCTGTAATTTTGTGAAAATTCGGTGGCCGTCTCGGTAATATCGTAATAACAAAAGGCAATAAATAGCAAGAGAAAAAAATCTGATTGAAAACCAGAGCTACTGCTGCTGCGAGCGAACGAGTGAGTGTGTGAGCGAGTGAGAAAGATATGTATGCATTTGCATTTCGTTGTGTGTGTCAGTTGTCGTCTCTTTCGACTCTGTTCGGTAAAAGTCGGCCTTTCCACTGAAACCACTGTGTGTGAAAATCGGAGAGGAAAAGAAAGGAGATAAATTAAATAATAATAATGTGTTACATCGATGGACACAGTTTGTGCTGAATTAAGCACTGTGCCTGCCTAACCCCCCGAAACCCAAAAAGAGAGCAGCCACAGCAAACGCCTAAACACTTCTTCGCCCCGGCCCGATCGGAAATTTTATTTTATTGGTAAGTATAAGAAGAGTGCCGCGCAGTTGGACGGATGGGATGGCGAGTCGGGGCAGCCAGCGCCAGCAAATCAATACTTTAAGGGGCTGCCATTCCGTTTCGTTAGTTTTTCTTTACCATTCGTTGGCAGTACCAGCCCCCGCCTTGTCCGCCAGCGACACCGCCCCCGCTTCCGCCCAGCATACAGCGCTTTCAGTGCTTTTGTGTGTGTGTGCTGCTCTGTAACAACGAGTACAATTTTCTGCACATACGAAAAAAAGAAAGACCGAATAAAGAAAGAAATTCACATAAATTTATGTACAAGTGTCTCTCTCCCTTCGTGACCATCTCTGTGTACGTGTACGGTTGCGTGTGTGTGGGGTGCTGTGTTTTGCGTTAATTTTTAAAAAACAGTTGTTTGGCAGAAAGGGAATTTTCGGTGCTTGTATTTTTAGCCTCCAAGCTCCCGTACTTAAATTATTTATAACCCACTCGAACGTTTCCACGCAATGATTTACGCGATAAACGCTTACGAAGCATTAATGTTCCCAAAACGAAAATCCATTGGGGAAATGTAAGTTTCCTATACATGTATGTACTTGCTTACGTATGTTCGTTATGTACAATATGTATATATACATACCAATGAACAGACCTATTCCCATGCGTACATACGTATGTACATGGGTGGGCGTGTGACGACCCGACCCAATCCTGCCCCCCGCAATCATTTTCCCGGCTATTGAAAAAAAACCGAATTGATGGGATAAATAATTGATTGGCCCTTAAATTTCCGTATTTAGATTCGGGGGCGTGGCAAGGAAAAAAATACAGCTGTTGCGAATGTTAATCCATCTAATTTATCCAACAAAAATTAAAATTTCCAAAAGGAACAGAAGAATCGTCTGTAAAGAACAAGGACAACCAGTTTCCATTCAAGTTTATCAAAGTTAAAATATAAGTAAATATGTGTAAGCCATTGAAAAATGTCAATTGCAGTTTAATTAAATAATAATTATGTGTAAATAATAAGGAAAGTCATTAAGTCATTGAACAAAATTTGTGAAATTACCCTAGATTTGAGTTCATTTGAAGCGTGGTTACAAGTCAAAGCTACCTCATTTACCCAAGATTAATATCTAAGATAAAAAAATCTAGCATTATATCATTAGGAACAGAAAATGAGCGACGATGTTGAGGGTATTGTGGTGCGACTCTTGGCGAGCTTGGTGCTCCACGGCGATGCCACGTTCAAGATACCACGAATGGGCCTGGTCTCGGGGAAGCCCGGGAATGGGAACGGATATCGCCGAGTTTCGTACAACAATCGACGGAGTCGCCATCGATTCTGCTTGGTTGTGTACATGCTGGCCAAGATTCACCGCCTGCAGGTGAACGGCGGCAGCTACACCGTCCGGGGGCTCTACTACGGCGATCCCCAGCTGATACGGACGCAGTTGCACATTGCCGCAGCCAGACTGGACGTCTGTCGTATGCTGAACACGTCGCCCACTCGTTTGGGAGTGCTCTCCGCCTCCAAGGGTCTCATGGCAGGTGAGTCGTGGTAGCTAGGCGATCCGCACTTCTCATGCTAATCAACTGTTGATCTCTTGCAGGCAACATACGGATGCTCATGACTAACGGAGATGTCCTGGACTGCAGCGTATATAGCGGAGCTATCACGTTGCCCACGAATACCGAACAGGTGGACCGCATTGTCACCCAGGCGGATCTTGTGCTGGTTGTCGAAAAGGAGTCTGTTTTCGAGAGCCTACTGGCCCGCGATGTGTTCAGCACCTTCGGGCGTCGCTTCATCCTGGTGACCGGCAAGGGATACCCGGACTGTAGCACGCGGCGCATCGTACATCGACTTTCCGTAGAGTGTCACTTGCCGGCCTACATACTCGTCGACGCCGATCCTTTTGGCATTGAGATAATGCTCGTCTATCGCCTCGGCTCGCAGTCCATGAGCTTCTCATCGGGAGACCTTGCCACGCCTACGCTCCGGTGGATTGGCCTCCACCCCTCCGAAATACCGACACTCTCCAGCGGTGCGGTTGCCCTTAGCAGTAGGGATAACAAGAAAATCGATGACATACTCGCACGCGGCCACATAGGTCTTGGAGTGCGACAGGAGCTGCGCTCGCTGCAGCAAATTCAGCAGAAGGCCGAAATCGAGAGTGTCATTGACTTCCTTTCCACCGACTACATTCCGAACAAAATAAATCGGAATTTATTTCTATAGACTCTCCGAAAGAGAATTATTGTACCCACCTAAAACCGAACACTGAAAGTGTTCTTAAATAATTTTAAAGAAAGAAAAACAAAAGGCAAAAAATCAATCATGTCAAATCCATTTTCAACTATATTAAAAATATTCGAGTATTTTTATTATAATTTCCTTTATAAGTAAGACGTAAATGAACTTCTGCTTGGTCTACGAGTATTACTGATTGATTGGTTAAATTCAATTCAGTTCAACATTTTTGTAAAAAAAAATTAAACTTGTGGCAGAATTCTAAAGTTTCTATCAAGTAGTGTAGAGTTTAAGCAGAATCGATTTTGATAATCCATAAAATTGGCACAATGGAAACTCGTTTAATATCAATAATCAACAGAAATATCAAATTAATTAACTAATTACATTCATCTTTTTAACCACCAAACGCAATGTAAATGGAAAAAAAGGAATATTCCGATTCCTGAATGGACTTTTTAAAGCGTAAATTGTGTAAAGTATTAGACTTAATATAATATATAACTGGTATAACATATGGTCTGAGATTAAAATTAGTGACTGGGAGATTAATTTAGGCAGGGGTATGAGTAAACAATCGATCAAATAGAACAGGGTTTGTTATTGTTGATTTGCAACGATATTAATGTATTTTTTACTCTCACTCTATTTCCAGATGTTAAGTAGCTCCACGGATGAGAAAGGAATGAGGAAGGCCCCCTGGCATTAGGATAACTTTAGGAGGAGAAACAGTATAGACTCACCGGAAAGTACTCAAGTGCAGTTCGGGCAGGAGAGAAGAGCCGATACGCCCGATTGAAACTCACGATCGTTGTGGACGTATCAACCCCAGCAGAACCTGCACGGACCTCACGATTACTCATTACTGAGCCATAAGCAAATTGGATTTGGTAGAACTATGTCTACAGCAATGCGAACCACACTGCAGCCAGTTCCTGAAGCCCTGCCAGCCGAGAGCGTTTCAAATGGCACTGCAACCACCGTTGCCGCGCCATCGGCCACAACTTCGAGTGCCACTGCGACGCCTCCCCTGGCGGCTGTCTCAAGCACAACCACCTACGCAACCAACTCGATCAGCACATCCTCGCATTCTGTCAAGGATCAGCAGCAGCATGATTCCGCCAATGCCAACATTGTTTCACTGCCACCAACGACAACGTCTGTAGCCAGCACAACGGTGATGCCCATCATAATATCCTCGAACGCGGTTAGCAGCAACAGCCCTGCGGCAGCTCCCACGCCTACGGTCACGGCCACTCCTGCGCCGGGTGTGGTGACATCTACTCCCGCTCCCGTGCCTGTTTCGGTGTCCGCTGTCTCGGCCACGGCAAATACAAACCACTCGCACCAGCACAGCCATCAGCACCACCATCACGTGGCCAACAACATGACCACGGACGGTGCCAGACTCTCAAGCAATAACGCAACTGCTGCGGCCTCCACGATCAACCATCACCACCACCACAACTCTGGCACCGGCGTGGGCTCGGTCGTGCCCTCCTCCGTCAACAAGAACGTTCTCAGCACACACTCGGCTCACGCCTCTGCCATCAAGCAGCGAACCGCATCCGCCAAGGTGAGTCCCGTCCCCAATTGATATGCGTTCCATTCTGTAGCTTTAGCTGTATCTGTTACCCGTCCAGAACTACACATGTCCACTACTCATCCTTCTCGTTCGACCTTCTCCCTGTTACTCAGAGTATCGTTGTACTCAGGTTTGGGTTATCATTATTCCCTGTATAGTCCATTAATTAAGAGTCAAATGTCCTATATTCTCGTCGGATGGGGGAATTTACTATTTAACTTATGTATAAATATTCGTAAACCAATCTATAATTGGGGTTGTCGAAATATATCATTTGTGAATGCATCATGGAATATTCGGCACAGATTGGAAACCATTCAGAGTGGTTCAGACTGCCTGAGTAAACTGTCTGTTGTACGAGTCCATTAAGGCCCATGTGAACTCATTACCAATTCGTACTCGTATGTCCTATGATCATATTTCATTGCTTTGCTAAGGCAGGCGGCTCTTCAAAATTTGATTATTCGGAATCTAGAACATTTTTGTGATTTTGGGAATCTTAGAATATTGAAAATTAGTATACTACGTATTAACCGTACTGTCAGTGTTGGACAGTGCAAAGATAAAAAATACAAACAAATGGGGACTGAATAGTGTTGGGTAACAGCAAGAGCAACCTCGTCAAGATTCAAATTTAAATTTTAAAGATATTAAGAATTGCTACGAACGTGTAGGTGTAGGTGGTATATTATCTGTTCCCTCAAGGCAATAGTGAGATCAATAACCAGCTGCAGCTGTAAATGTGAATACATACATATGTATGTTCATAAAAAAGAATGTTTGTGCAACTTGTAGACATGCTAATTGTTAATCAAATCGCAAATCAAACAATCTTTAAACCACTTTGAGTTGGATTCGCAATGGGAAGACACATTCTTAGAAAATATAACAAGTGAGTCAATAAAACAATGCACACCTTCTCCATTCAGGAAACCACATTTATTGTATTTAAATGGTCAGCTGTATTGATGATAAAGCTGCCAACTCTTTTGTTGTGGAGGGAGGGATCTGCAGGCGCTCACAGAGAGCAGTACAAACTTGTAACTGTTTTGATTTCCATTTGGTGTGCGTTATTAAACACGACCACACATAAAGTCTACAATAAATACATTGGTATATAGATACAGGCGAGTAAATAAGCTTAACAAGCTGCCTTTTTCGATTACGATAGGTTGTGTGTGTGTGGGCTCGTGAGTAACTGTGGGAATATAACCGTTCCTTTGCCATTCGCATTGTTCGGTTGCAACAAAGCTTTCGCAAGCTCCAATCCAATCCACTCTTTGTTTGGAAGCCAAGTTTAAACTTATGCTTCCTACTACTGCTGAAGATCCGTTTGAAGCATGCCAAAGCTTCCTATTTCTCTGGCTGTCCCGCTCTATCTCTCTCTCTCTGACGAATATCTTATACTCGCATTAATATCAGTGTGTGCGTGAGATACACACATATGCGTTGTGAATCACCTGCAGTTTACCTGCGCCCGTCTCCGAAGACTGTGTCTGTGTGTATAGGGTGTGTCGTGGCTGTCTTTGCACATTGTACGACCGAACAGCCGCTCTGAGTAAGCCCCGATGCAGAACTTTTGCGAAAACACAAACAAGCCCGAAGCTCGCCACAATAATAACAGTACGAGCAACAGTCGAGTCGCCTCCACAGCCACAGCAATAGATACAAGCGATGGTCGAAAGCTTGTTTTAGTATTAAGTTCCACTTCACTCGTGTGGTCACTGTCGTCGTGTTCGTCGCGCCTCGCCGTGCCGTACCGTCGTTGTTGTCATTATCCGTCGCGTCGCTGCCTTCCCCGTCGACGATCCGACGATATCGTGGTGGTTATCGCCCAGCGATGATTTGACTCGGAACTTTTTAGCATTATTCGCATTATACGCGTTTGCCATTGTGACCGTTATCGCGCCGAGCACAAGGGTAACGGGCGGGCGTTACGTCAAAAAAAAAAACCTTAAAAAAAGATTGCAAAAAATATAAAAATAAAAACGAAACGCAGCAGCAGCAGCAGCAGCCAACGCTCTCCGGTTAGTGGCTGCGCAGTTAGTCAGAGATCTCCCCCAGTGGCAAGAGTAATCCAACAGCATCCGCGACAGAACTATATACATAACTACATAGGTATTACGACTGTGTATTAGACAGAGGCTTGAGATGACATCAAGGGCAGCAGGACGGGCGGGCGGCTGGAGAGGGTGGGATTGGGGGAGTCACAAATACACACACGCACGTGCGGACTTGTTTAAAAATAAATTCGGTAAAATAGTGTTTAATTTATAAATTTCAAATGTATGCCAGTGTGTGTGTGTGTGTGTGCGGGAGAGAGAAGAGCAGAGCGAAAAAAAAAACCACAACAAGGCAATCACAAGCAACAATTCCAGTGGAATGAGTACATTCAGCTGGAAAGTAGCTTTACAGCCACTTCATCGCCGCAGATTCAATAAGAAAAGCCAATTGGGATGATAAGTTAATTTAATTATAAAGTATAAAAAAGTGGCATGGTGCAACAAGCAAGCAAGAGAGAGATAGAGAGAGAGAGCAAGAGCAAGAGCAAAGGCAAGAGCCAGAGAGCAAGCCAAAAGAACGAAAGCGGAATGAAAATGAAATATGAACAAATTCCTACACACAGATACACATACACACCGCTACATTGCAGCAGTGAATGAGAGTGAGACGGAGACAGACAACAGCGGAAAGCTAGTGTGTTTGTGTGTGTGCGGACAAGTAACGCTTTAAAAACAACGTAAACGAGGTAACTAGCAGAAACAGCACCAAGATAGAGTGATAGATAGATGGATAGAGGGAGGGATGGGGGGGTGTGGGGAGGCAACAACAATAATAGCTTTTGCCCCCAACGTGTGGGGCTTCATCGTTGTCTGTCTGTCTCTCTGTATCTCTGTCTCTCACTCTCTCGCTCTCACTCACTCTCTCTGTGTCTCCGCGTTCGCCAGTGTGGCAGTAGTTTGTTGTTGTTGTTGGTCATCTACTCTCTGTATCTACGTTTTCGCCTTCGGTTCGGGCGTGCCGAGGCTTACGATCCACACCTAGACATTGAAGCTGATTCTGCTGCCGTGTGGATCGCATTTAGGCGACAGTGGAAATTATCGGGAATGCGTCTTGTACACATAGATACGGATATGTAAAGTGCGATAACTGATAAGAGCAGTTCCCTCCCCTCGGTCTCTTTTAGGCCTGAGCAGACTCTGTGATCTGATATACAGGAAGGTAATCTAGATATGTAAATAGAATGTGCAAACACCCGTACATCTGGATTTAAGAGGCGTATCAGACAGGAATAATAAAGACCAGAATAGTTTGCCATAGGCTATAGGATAGGTTACTGTTACGGTGACTGGGAATGTTGACTGCGATTGCGACTGGAACTGAGACTGAGAGACAGAGACTCGCCTCAATTCTCATTTATTTGTGCTGTTAATGCTCTAATAGAATTAAACAAGATGAACTTTTGAAAAGTCGCAGATACAAAGCTGCGAACGAATCGTGATTGTGCCATACAGACGAACAAGTTTATCATACAATAACAATAACAATAACATAAAATACAATACAATACAGTACTCGTATGTATGTATGTACATACATACATATAAATATAAATAATTCTGGAAAAGGGCTCTCAATGCTGACACACGAAAGAATACTATTGCTGTTTGGTGGAAATTGCATCTCCGTGGAAAGGAATATGTGTCACTGCTTCATTGGAATTGGGACAAAAACTGTAACAACAAGAATCGACTGCGATCATCCGTAAGGCCATAAACAACCATTCAGCAGACCAGACCAGAGCAGACCTTCGAGAATCAGTTGGCTAACAAAGAAACCAAGCTCCCATCATGGGCCAGACCTCGAGTCACCGCCAGACCCACTCGAGC